GCAGTTTAAGGTAAAATCATTTACCATGCTCACGGACCTTTCGACAACATAAGTGTACCGATTGACGTAATATCAGTGGTAAAAACGAGCGCTTTTTACTGTAGGACGATGACGTCATCATACAAAAGGCGTCTTCACTCTGGCATCCAGAATTTCAAACAGTCAAAACCTAATTTTCTCTGCTCGTCAAATGAAAAACGCCTCTGAGGGCAAGTAGTGGTAATGTGCTTGTTAGTAAGACGTCCAACATAAGGAGACATTCATGCCCATGCCCTGCAGGCGTTTCTAAACTCGAAAATGTTTCCGTATGGAACTTAGTCAACAAGCATAGTAATAAGAGAAATCTATTTGGTCTAAAATAGTTTCAAGGGGGGACGAGTGGGAGGCGCAGGGCTGCCGTTGAATGCAAAATGTCGCTTAATCTGCTGAAGTGATTTTGAAATAATTCATTGGAATCTTGCGATCAATTTTTACAATTTTACTGTTACTCCTTGTCATGAACGTACCTTCGTGGAACGTTACTGTAGTTCCTCTGAAAACTTGATCATGAAATCTTGCGGAGATACGCGGCGCGCATGTGTCCGAAAACCTTACCCTTGTCATGAACTTACCTTCGTGGAGGTGGACCACTTTTCCCGGTCTGACCGGTCGGAATTTTGGTTGAATGGATCGCGCCCCTTGTAACCCTTGCCAGACCTTTCAGATTTGCTGGCGCAAAACTTTGTCCTGAATCGAGTCATTGTATTGCCAGTAAAATTTGTCATGAGAGCTGCTGAAAACGCCAAACTGGCAAATTTGTGCCAGTGAGCAAAACGAAATTGGTGCGTGTGTATGGGTGGGTGTGTATGCACAACTGTTTTCTAGCGATAACTGTGACTAGAAGGCAGTTTATTCAACGCTCAGATGAACTGATACAGGTTAAGTTTTGGCAAAACGTGTTTAAACATTGTTTATCACCGAGTCTCGCTATCCTCGACTATCCACTTGTAGTTTAAAATGCATGAACGGAAATTTCAACGAGAGGGCCTTTGCTTCGTATATTTCGAACTTTTTCAGCAATAATTGAAACCGGAAAGATTTGTTTTTGCTTTCTTCTAGGTCAAAGAGGCCTTGACCCTCGGAATATGAACCGACAACTGATAGCCGTCTTAAATTATATGTCCCTTCAGGCAAAGGTTTCAAAGATGCAACTGAAGCCTGCGATCAAAACCGCTATATCAACTTTCGGGTTTAACAAACTAGTTCCTCAGAGTTCCTTGGAAATGAAGGCGAGTATATAACTACTCATTTTTCCTCAAGTTGCTCTTCAAGTTGTTGCAGTTGTTTATCAGTCTTGATTGTTGGGAATATTCTCAATCTTGTAGTGATTGATGGCTGTTAGAAATGTCAATTGGTAACGAGTATTTACAAGAGAGAATTGATCTCTCTTGGTATTTACTGATCAAATTGAAACCACACGCATATTGCGATGATCATACCTGCAGAACAAGCCCACTGAGAAGTATTTCTGAAACAGTAAACTGATCCTCAGCTTACGGCAGGAGGAGTGATAGGAAAGTAAAGAAAACAAATCCATGGTCTACCAAAGTTCCTGTTGTCCCTCAGTGGTTTGTCGTCGTGCTTTTGCCATCACAAGTGTTTCTGATACAATTAAATATTTCAGCAGTGCAGCTAAATTCGATCGATGTAACGTAAACGGCTTAGACAAATCCAATCTTCAAAACCAATATATCCTATTATCTAATAAGGTTATTGGATCTTAATATATTTGTGTGCTCTGCAAAGTACATCCACGCTTATCACGTAATACCACTTGACAACACAATACAATGTAAGCAATTCTCGAGAAAACGTTCACTGGCTGAATGTGCGGGAAATTTATTCAATTTAACTCTGGCTATTCTTAGTATATTCAAGTCAAGAGAGGCTGTAATTGATCGATTACGAGGATTAATTAAAGGGGTCCTTCAGAGAATTAAAGTTAAAAAGAGACCGATAGTTTGGGTGGTGATCAATAGTGGTTTTTCCAGTACACTTCATCCGGAATAATCCCACCTGAACATCTTACTTTTATTTCACTGCTACCTGCTAAGGGTCTTTATAGCCAGGGTATCGAATGGAATACTCCAGGTCGAAGGAGAGGAGAAGAGAGAGCTAAGGGCAAGATAATCGCGTTGTGGACGCCCTGTCTGATCCCTAAAAAATGGAAATGGTCTATAAAAAAAAGGTGGCGATGCTCTAAGAAAATCATGGGAAAAGGTTATGGCTATTTGAGGAACAGAAGCGGGTCAGCTGAATTTCCCAAGTAGGGGGTGGGGGTGGGGGGTTGTAATGTGCCCCAGTATAGTGCCCAGATTATCCAAGATGGCGGCTTGACGTTCGAACTTATTTCGTATTGTGACAGAAATTCTCACAAACATAATATTCCTGTCTAGCTGATTGCTTTTAATAGCTATTAACCAAATTGTTAGCACGACGAAAGACGTGATTCGTCGGTTTCTTCAACCATCCTCGAGCTTCAGGCTTTCAACACTTGATGGAACAATCAATTTCAACAGGAAATTGCTATTAATAGAACAAGGGTAGACGAAATAACCGAAGTGTCACTGAAGCGAAGACAGTCTTACTGCTTATAGAAACTTGGAATTAAAGACCAAGAAGCATCTATGTAGAAATCAACTCCCATATTAAATTGTGCAGACGTTTGAGAACACATCAACAATTCTTAAGTCCCGTGCCCAGGTCTCCATCCAGCTCGTCCCGGAAGAACGAGTCCTAGGAATGAGGCTGTGACCCTGGACGCACAGGGCTAAATGGGCTATTGTGGCCGTCAAAAATAGTTTCGATAGAAACGTCAAACCGAGAGCCGGAGACATTAAAATCAATCATGTAGCTGGATATTAATCACTGGTCACGAAGTTTGGTCAACTTTGTTCTAAATTTGTTATATTATGTCTTAAATGCGATCAAAATGATGGTGATCTTGCTGTCTTACCTCCCTAACTATAACATATATTTATCTTACCACCTGCAGACTCATTAGAACTTAAAACAACTTCATAAAAATTCATTCTATTTGATTATAAGTTCAATCAACAAAACAACCACAAGCCGCTTTATTAGACTTTTGAAAGCCGCGCACTTGTTAAAGCCTGAAGCAATTTGTTTTGTTTCGTATAGTTTATTCTCGATAGTTACGCCAATAATCACGGTGGGGGGTTTCAACAGCTTCCTGTAGACTCCACGCACACGTAAAGCAATGCTTTCCTTTTTCGATCAAGAACCTTTTTGTGTGGTTTCGAAGTAAGCAAACAGCATGATTATTGCGGGTTTCACTGGGGCCGACGCTGGGGTGTTTTTGTTATAGATTCTGTTATCGGCGTGTTCTCTTGAATTGTTGGAAAAACATGCTAGTAAACGGAACGGAGAAAGCGGTTTGCATTTCCAGTCTCAGGGACTGATGTCTAATATCACAACCCCTAAACTTACCTTAAAAAATGAGCTTTAATATTGTTGATTGGAAATAGGAATAGTTCCTTATCTCAATTTTACTGCTTTCTAAGGACTTTCTTTAGAAAGCTTTCTTTTCAGAAACGTAGGATAAGTTATGTAGCTTTGCCTTTTGAATCGGGAGGTTTGAAGTTTTTTATTCTTGGTATGGAATGACAAACTTGTTTTTGCTAGAACATTCCTTTTCCCACCTGTAGCTGGTTATTTCCATGGTTGCTAAGTTCCCAAGGTTTGGGAGGGGGGGGAGAGGTACTCAACAAAGTCTGTTATATACCCTTTTGACAGAAAAAAGTACCTCTTCATACTCGTATACCTTCTATTGACAAATAATACCCCTTTAACATACCTATAGCTTAGAACGTTGCATCCCTTTCAACTGCTGTAAATGCATTATCTTAAAAATATGAAGAAATCACAAAAACAGAACGTTTTATCGACTTTTTCATAGCCATAGAATGCATTTTATTGGCCCCTTTTGTTTTTTTTACCTAGAGAAATGACAGATTTCCCTACCCTTTCATATACTTCAACAAGGGAAATAACCTCCCCTTATAGGCCACTGTAGGAAATACCCTTCCCCCCCTTCCTTAGAGTTAAGTTATACAGGAATGCCTTGAAGGTTTGATTTACTTGATACAGAATGGCAAACTTGTTTTTTGTTATTAGAATGTTCTTTCCCACCTGTAGCTGATTATTTCTTGGAATATACGAAACAGAGATAAGTAAAGTAATCAGGACGGTATTAAAGAATTGGCAAAGTTTACCCATTGAGATCAACATCAACGAGATTGTTGTGCATAGATTTTCTTTTTTCATGCCGCTTTCTAGCCTGTTCGGCAAGCGTTTAGATGATGGGGAGCATGTTAAATCATATGCAGTGAGCGCCCTCGTTTTTTCCCTCGTCATTTTTTCGCGCGCGTTTTACTATCTGAATGCCTTGAACAGGCTATATGCGCCCATTATATGAGTATTGTGATAAGAGAAAGAGAATTAATTTTTTTTGGTGGGGGACTAAACGTAAAGAGTCAGCGATTCCCTGGTTAACAAACTGTTGGTTTATAAATTGCTAAGTGAACAATCAAACGACAGAAGCATCTTTCTTGATTTGAGTTTTACATTACAAAGCGCTCTTCCGACACTTGAAAGATAATTTTCGGCAATAGTAACTGCTTTGAAATTGATACTTTTCAGTAAGAAAGATTTAATCTGCCTCCATCTGCTGAATTGCTATGTGGGTTTTGAAAACTACTCGATTGTTAAACGGTTTGATTGCCACTTTGAAAATGGTACTTAAAATGCACTTAACATGTAATAGGACTGTTTTACAGCATCTTTTAGTCAAAACTACAGTCAAAGATCATCAGGAGAGGTGAACAAAATGTTCTGATTACGACTGAAACGTTATATGATCTAATCATTTGCTTATCTAAGATAAATGCTTATTAAATACAGTCGTCGGCAAAACCGGTGAGTATAACTTGCAATTACTTCTAACAGTCTGTTTGTGGAAGAACTATTAAGGACTCCAAGTTTCCTAACTCTATTGCGATGTTCCCTTCGCAAAGCAAAACGTTGATTGATATACTGCAGTTTCTATTTAGCACGTTTTCGTTACTCGTGGATGCGACCCTCAGGACAGAGCCACGCAAAGAGTTAGCGATGTCACCTTTTGGATATTTACCCTCTGGCAATTTATTAATTGAAATTCTGTTAAACATTTCAACAGAGAATGATTTCTTGTGATTTTCGAATTCGGCTCCCGGTACGTTTAAGTGATTTTCCATTTTTATTTCAGGGCTTGCCTTTTCTTGATCTGCGAAACTCACGGAATGTCCGCTTTGGAAAGATCCACGAGGGGTCAACCAAGATGGAGTGCGGGTCCTCATTATGTTGCGATCCCACGTTCCATATGCACTTATGGCACCCAGCTGTGTTTCTTTAACTGCGCTCTTATCTGCACGACATGGGGTGCACTTTCTGAAGACGTTTGAAAACCCTCTGTTAAAATCGCGGCTTAACTTGTAGAAGATAATCGGGTTAAGGCAACTATTCGCATACGTGAATAAACGACACATAACTGAAATAGCCGGGTAGACGCGACTTGTTTTGCCATCACCAAACTCCGACCACATCCATAAAACTTCCAGTGGTAAAGTCATCACAGCAAAAACGAGCACAATCACTATAAACATCTTGGTGACCTGAACGTTGTGTAGGCTTTCTTTGTAGAAGTGTCTTTCTAACGAGTCGTACGACCGAGCTTCACAAGGACGAATCAACCCGGCTTCCATTGATAATGAATCATTTCCAGATCCATTTCTTGATCTCCCCTCTGCCGTAGATGAGTTTTTCCAAGAGCTAAGCGACATCGAACGCGCGCGTTGAGTGGATTCAAAGAGGCTTTTTGCAGCCGAAATGTACATGGCAGCCATGAAAACAAGCGGGAGCGCGTACTGACCCAGGAAGAGGACAACTGTGTATATCTTCGAATGTAATTGACCCGGATTGGGCCAAACTTCTGAGCAATGTCCATCGGCAGACAGCTCCAAAGTTATGATATAAGGAAGGACTAATACACCTGAAAATAAATGCACCAGGACTATGAAGGTCTTTACGGTCTTCCTGTCCAGACGTTTTTTAAAAGGATGCAGTAGGGTTCGATATCGGTCCAGAGAGATCACGGCTAATGTAAGAGGCGAAACGGTGGCGATAAAGGTGGCTATTGGAGGAAGCAACTTGCATAGTACAGGGCCAAGATACCACTTGCCGTTGCTTTCCACCAAAGCAAGGTCAAGAGGAATGCTCACAAGCGGAGTAAGCAGGTCACATACGGCGAGATTTAGGATGAAAAGATTTCCAGGCGCCTTTTTCATTTGCTTAAATTTACAAATGATCAGTATGATCATCGTGTTTCCTACCGTCCCGACGATGAGGATCATGGCGTAGAGTACAATCTTCGTTACTTTAAAAGACAGAGGTTCCACGAACCAACTTGTGCTTGATTCATTTACTTGAGCAGTTGAGTTCATTATCAGCGTATGCTTCAAGAAACCAAGAGACGTCTTAAATGATAGTTTGACGATGACTCAACACCTGGTAATACAGCTTATGCTGGACTTTTCCAAACCCCCACAACTCTAGTTAACAATCATCAATCTTATTTTTGCATTAACCGCGATCTAAATAATACTTTTCCGTTCTCTTTTTCACCCAGCAAAAGAAACCAGTACTGATGTTGACCACGAACCGATTCAGGATTCTTTTTTGCTGCAAGATTCAACGTGCTACTCCCCGACGCCCCAGTAGAAACTATTTCCGTGAGAAGAGTATCAGTGATTTTAATATGTACAGCCCGTAAGCCGGTCACATTTCTTCACGTCTTGTCGTAACCTCAAAAATGATAAACAGGAAGTCCGAAAATCATTACGTTAATACGTTAATCCGTAATAATGTAGTTTAAAATGTAGCTGTTTACATAACATGGTAACTTTAAACCCGTGTAACTTGTGATAGACATTGATGGAAGCTTTCTGTAACCCCTTGATATCTAGAGTCAAACTTTAATCGAGACGTTCTACTCGAGTTCTTCTTGTGGGTGAATCCAGAAACGTAAATTAAAATTATTAGACAGCACCTTTAAATTGAGATACTTTCTCAATAAAAAGAACACTTTAATGTAAACTTGGAGTAGTGAGATGATCGCATGTTCTAAACTGAACAGGTCCACTGCACCATGCCCTTGGACCCATATGTAGCAGAATCCAACTATCTCCTAGATCGAAGTTGTGTGCTTTAAGCTTCACCGCCCAAAGCAAGGTCTTCTATGACACTGAAAAGCGGTATTTTATAATAAGTAACTTCATATTTTTTACTTCTTCCAAACCTTGCGTGTTTCAAGATCACTGGTTTGAATAAGGTTGTTCCGCTTTGATGAAGCTTGATAACGGTATCAGTATTTATTTTAAAGGCGCTAAAATTATCAAAGGTCAGTCAACAACATAAAGCGAATTTTTCGAGATATTTCTTTAATTGTTTTGTGCGACACACGTTTTGTCAAGATGCGTTCACCGCTCCTAAGTTTTCGTATATTTGAACTTGCTCTCTCACGCTATGCGATTAAATTAGGTTAAATCAATCTCGATTTAATTAAGTAGATGTAATTAACTTAATGCTCTTTAATTATAATTATCGTGATACCTCTCACATGAAAAAGGAACGCCATAAAAGATCGATTGCCTTTGGATTAGAAATGTAAACAAAATATCTCGTTCCTCTTTAGCCTACATTCATTTATTTAGTTGATTGCTTGTATTGTTCGTAACTTGCCGAGCATAAACTTCCCCTAGGGCTGAATCGGGGAGTAGAAGCCCCGCTGTGAGTGAGCCTTTCGTTAATTTTTTGTCTATTCAGGTTGATTCCTGCATATTGCCTAAGGTTTGATGAGCGCCCCCACGCCATTGAGCAAGTAACAACCATATGTTTTACTTCCATAGACTGAAACAAGAAAGTTAGCGTGCTATATTAGTTTCCTCTGAACTTACAAGCAACGTGTTGTTTGCTTAAGTATTGTTTTTCTTATAATTGTGTTGGACAAATCAAAACAAAACAACCGCAACTTTATTTTTCTGGAGTAAAAAGCAAGTTCTAAAGCTACTCAGCAAACGTTTCGAGATTTGTATTACTTTTTGTTTCAAAAGACAGATAGCTTTAATATTCCAAATACTTTGTAAAATACTTAGTTAATTTCTTTCGTAAAACAGATTTTTTTTAAACAACGGTTACCATTCATTGTGTTTATGGAGATGACATATTGAACAAAGGAAGTCACGAACCGAGTAATTAATTGTTTCAGTGCGATCTGATTGACTCTTAGCGATGAAACAATTGACGCTGTATAATTGGACAAATTGTTTCACAGAGGGTCCTCATTGACCATGTCGATTGATCCACTGTATACTCAAGTCAACAAAGGAAAACACACTTCGCTGTGGTACCATTTCCAATTGATTTGCTACTACAATTTTCCTTTAGGGATACGTTCAAAATTCTAAGTTGGTGGGCCCAACTTAACTCTACCTTGACAGACAGTAAGCCGGTGACGCCCTGTAGTCAAAGTAAAAATTGATCGAAACTGAACTAAGAAATTTGTACTGTGCGCGATTATTTTGGGCACGGCTTAAGTTAAGAACCTTCCTAAATTAGCGATTCTCATACTTGTCACATTCTTGAAAATATATAGTTAATTATGCCATCTTGATGTGGCTATTTGTGGCTTGTTCACAATCTAATTATCCTAAATCAACTGCTGAACGTTTTCCACATCACTGACATGTGTAAGCACTAAAAAGTAGCGAGAGATTTTTTTTTTCTTGAATAGATTCTAGTTTGTTCACGTGTCCTTAGTTTGACTGTAGAAAGGCTGAACGTAAATTCACCAAATGGCGTTGATGGTATGAGCCTGCAAAAACAGCCGTGACTCTGCTCCTTTTTTTCCGCGCCGCTTGGGACGTTTCGCGAGCAAGAGGAGAGATGGCTGGCTGGTTGGTATTGGATGTGCGATGATAATTTGAAACGCGTTGTAAGAGCGATGCGATCGCACCGAGTGTCCTTATTGCTAGTAGAAAGGTAAGTTCGTCACGTTCATTTATTGGAAACCGTGGGAAAGCGTCCCAATTCCGGAGAAGTGGGGATTGAAAAAGGTCGGTTGCGGTCTGTGGCTATACAGCGCGGTCAAAGCCGATTTCCAAGTGGCCACGCGCGTTGAGATGGCGTTAAGAATGACAAATGGCATCACGTTCTAGTGTGGTCCAATTTTATTAACCATTTCACTATCAAAGTTAAGGATAGCGTATTTAAGGTAGCTTTACTTTGTGAGTCTGTGTACGAAATCCTGTTAAGTGACCACTCAAACCGAATGAGACGTCATTGGCAGCAATTTCACTTGTTACGAATGTTTTTTAGTATTTTACAAAATGACTGATTTGGAAACTGGGTTGAATTTCTGGGTTCATTGTGGTGGTAGTCCAGTACGGGGTGTTGACATGGCGTCCGATCGAAATGGCGTTAAATCACCTCCAAGAGTTATTTTTTATATGGCGTTCAAATATTGTAAGAACAACACCCCAGTGGGTGGGGGAAAGACGACCAAACAGTGTCAAAAGAAAACCAATTAATGTTGGAATTCATAAATCCAATAAATGTACTGAAGAATGACATCAAAAATTACGGTCAGTGAATGGTGAATGTTACATCTGGTATTGCTAAAGGCAGTTGAATTAACAACAAAACCTTGTTTTAGAATACTCTGATCTGGCTCCAGAGGTCAGCTCTCGAAATTTCCTCAGAGAAAAAGCCCCTGGCACTCAGGGCATTGTTGGAATGTCCTCGAAATAACAAAGGAATGTACCTCCAAACTGGTTTGGAACGAAATCAAAATGGGGGACTACAGGATACCTTTTCCATCTGGTGACGGGACATCATATCCTCTTTGCTTATCGGAACGAACTGATCCCAATTAACATGTGGTACAGTTGGAATGCGACACAGAAAAGGCGTTTTGAAAGCGGAAGTTTAAGAAAGTAAAAATTCAGGGTCAAGTTGTGATGGGAAGACAATTGTTACAGTCGATGGGAAAACTGACAGGATGATCGTTTATTCACTTACTGGCTCACCTTGCATTGTTTGCCACAACTTGCCACCTCCTTCCCACCATCTATGACGATCCCATAACTGAGCTACACTAGCACGTGAATAACTCCTGCATATGTGCAGCAGTTGTGAACATCCTAAATGTCCAACTAGCTGATTATGTACGTACGTTACAATGAAAGACAAATGTTTGACGATTTTAGTACATTAATTGATACTGGATTTCGATATCTAGTCGGGATAATTTCTCTAGCGTTTGTGTCATGATACTAGACAAGAGCGGTAGATTGCTGGCAGTCCGCCTTTTCTCTTAAAATCCGTCTAGTTCTTATCTCATCCAGCGCTATTGCAAACCACGACGTTATTATTACAAAAAGGGATTGAGACCAGACGACGCCCTCGTTTCTCGCGGCTCCCGGCTTTGCCGCTCGCGTGCTTAGGATTCGTGTGTAGTAACTTTGCAAAGAAAAATAAGAGACTGCTCGCAGTCTACAAGAGCGGAGAGTCCAAAAACTTGATCTAAGTTTTATTCAGGGACTTTTACAGAGCAGCATTTCAAACCACATGTTCTCACCAGGCGTAGCCAAGAATCCACAATTGATGTTTCATGTTTTTTCACGTTTTGGTTGGGAATTCCAGTCTTAGATACTGTTCCATCTGGGAAATGAGGGTAGTCGGAGATGAAACGTTGAAGACTGAGATTTCAGTCCGGTCCAATTCAGTACCAACTCCTCCCTCAACCATGTCAACAATGACCCAAAGTGATAAAAGACTCAAAAGACTGCGGAAAATTGCTGAAGAAACCATTTAAGGTGTGATGTGGTCGGATATAAGCGATATCATGATTTGAGTCATCCTTGTTTGGTTCCCTGGATCGATGTAATCCCCATTTCGTTTAATGAAGGTTGTCTCATTAGCTAGAGATCACTTTACACGAAAAAATAGTCTATTTTATTTGTTGATCAACTATTCTTGGGGTTGTATCGCCTGTTTATGTTGCTCATGTTTTTTCTTCATAGTAAAGGCTATAAGAGAGTAAACGTTTTTATTTACTTAGATAATTCAGTGGAAAAACAATTTTCTTCAGTTTTATAAACTGGTGCCAAAGAAAGCTTAGCTGAAGATAACATTTCCGACAAAGGGTGTATTCGGCAACCCTGTCAATTTACACACTGCGCTGCGATGAGGGAACAAAAATACTAAAAAATCTCGTTTATTAAAGGAGAAGCTTGAGTCGGGCATCCAATGTCATCATTTTTCATCAAATTGAAGAATATTTTCGGTGGCACAGAAAGTGAAAGAGGCCAGCTGTCGTATGCTGAACCTGATACTGAAGGGTCCACTTTAAAAGCCTTTTCTAAATCAAATATATAGCACTCGAAGACTTAGTTGAGCTCCAAACACTTCGGGGAACTTGGCTATGTATCCGTAAAAGTTCTGAATAAATACTTCTACCGCTCAAACCAACTCTATGGCTATTGCCATATTAATGGACATGCCACTCACCGAAAAAGAAATTGTCTAAGAGAGAAACTCGGTTGATGAACCACCTTCTGCTTTTCGAGACTTGCGAACGATGTTAGCAGCACGTAACCTCAATTACGGTGGCGGTTCGGCGAAACACGACACCGGGGTGCACTTTTCTCCTGTTTTCTCGGCCTCCATCGGACAGCCGATGATGAACAAGACGGCTGAGTGCAAGACAAGAGTAAGACAAAGAGCAATGTGGGCGAAAAGGGGGATAATTACAATACAAAAAGAAAAAAAAAGGAAAAAAAAAGAAATATCGCCCGCACCTTTAAACATGAAGATAACTTTCATTACTTTTTGATACCTAGGAGTCTGGCTTTCGGCGCGGCTGATAAAAGGGAGGGTTGTCACGTCATTTTCGTCATTTTATTCAGTGAGCCAGGTGTAAATGACTTCAAATGTTATCTTATCAGTATCGCATTCTTTATATTGGCTGTGTCTTTCTTTTCTGCGCTGAATGACGTTATTTAAATTCTAGAAACAAACAGGAAATGAATAGCAGCTTATCTTAAAGGGTGGGGCCCCAATACTTAGCACTGAAACCACAAGGCAATTAATAGCAGAAAAAAGAGGTACCAAACCACGAAATAAATTGCATATGTTTCTAACATTTGACCTGAGCTCGAAGGCATGTTTAAGCACTGTTTGCTAGTGAGGCCTGTATCATGATGTAAAAAAAAATCAGATATTATAATCGAATGAAACCGCGCGCGGTCCACTGGTACGCTCGCACGGAAAAGGGAGCAGGCTAGTTTGAAATGTCATACGTCTACATCCCTTAACGAGTTAGGGGGGTGAAGACGTGGGACATTACAGACTACAAGCAGGCCGGCTTTCCAAACTATGGCAAAAAAGAGTCGACTTTTTTCAGTTAGTTCTTACGTCTGAGCAGATATTTTAAGCGAATAACCCGGCAATTTTCAACCGGATTTTGTTGATTTCCTCGGTGCAGTTTTTATATAAATGTCGCCAGTGATAAGTTAAACATACTCCAAACATATGTTTTCGCTGACGTCTTTATCACATTTATCAGAACGTTTTCAATCTACAAGACGCACCGCAACATTTCAAACGCCGTGAAATAACACTTCTTGGTTTTCAATACTGTCCTCGTAAAAAAAATAAACAATAGCTCTTTACTGTGGCCCCAGGGAGACGCCAAAATTTGACTCTTTTCAAGTTTATTTTGCTTGTAATGCACTTCTTTTCATATTGTAAAGAATGAAATATCAGACACAGGTCCTTGACCTCAACGCCAGCAAGAGAGAATTGACGCCAGCTATAATGTATAAATTGTGAAAGAGCTCTTTGTTCAATTCGTAATTATTTCTTGGCTTTATTTACTCTATTTATTGATTTTTCTTTCCCAAGAACAATCTTGTTTATGTCTATTATATTACAATGTTTATTTTATGAACGAAAACTCTGTGTCTAAAGAAAATTGTACACTGGGCTGGTGAAATTTACTTAACATTTGATTCTATTTTAATTAAATTTCGGAAGGCTTCTTTAAAGGGTCCAAATTAAACTGACGGAGATGAACTACACAATCCTATCAACACATGTAGAAGTTCTTCCATTAGTTTCTTGACAGTGGTAACAGAAAGCCTCTTTCAAAGAACTTTAATTAGTCAAATATATTTGAAATTGAAATCATGACTTTTAATCAATTTTAAGACTCTTATCGAGGTAGATATTAAATAAGTTGGCAGGGTTCCCTGCTTAATTAAATGAATTGACTAAGTATGTCTTGAAAGCAAGACCCGTAATTTGGTATTAAATATCTTCAACACATATAAAAATGTTTTTTTTTTTTTTTTGCTGGATCGCGGCTCGTGTAAGACTTTCACTGTTGAGACCGTGCTATTGAGTAGTGGGCGAAAAATTGAAGAAAGCAAAACGAGAGCACAAAACAGTTCGTTCAAATTAAAAATCTGTCGACTCAAAAGACATGTTTTTCATGAGGAAACAAAATAAGTTAATTATGTATGCGCCACAATTCGTATATACAGCCAATAAAAAACCTATCAATTAAAACACATCCCGCGCGACATAAAAGATCCCTGTTATAAACACTACCTTGCCAATACGGTACTCTGTACGAGGCTGTTCTATCGTACTTCTAGCTACTATATTAAATGAGGCAACTGAGCAGTAATGCTGAGCAGAAATACTAATACTTAGGTGCTTTTTTTTGCTGTACAACAGGATCATTTTTAGTTGGAGGACTTAATGTCAAAGCCTCCGAACACTTTTCTTTTACCATGTTCTGTACGTTTCTAATGAGGTATAAGCGATACTTGTTTATATTTTCAGTACACGGACGAAATCCTCCCCGCGAGATTTATTTTAATAAAAGCTATTGTACTCTACGCTTTCCTGTTACCGAAGTTGATTTATGTGTGCGTGGAAACGACCGCCTGTGGCCTTTCGTCAGACAAAACTTAGGACGTGTCTTTATTTCTTGCGGTTCATTTCGTCTTTACACAAGTAAACGTTCCTTGTTTCCTGTATTTAATACTTAGAGTGATACTGGCCTAAAACAAATAAAAGACGAACTTTAGGGTTGCAGGGTTTTTTTTTTCAAGCATGGGTTAAGGGTTAATCATAGCGTCGACATGTTCTCAAAAGTGATAATCGCCGTACTCCCCAACACGCGGTACCCTCCTACACCATGCTTATTTTAGTGGACCAAAAACGCTCATTTTGCAAATATAAAAATCATAGATCGACTTATCTTTCGTTAGGTTAGAGTATAGTCTCTCTTCCATTACACCCGTAAGCGTACTTTTCTCGACCCTGCGAAGTATCTCGTTGCGGCGAAAAACGCGCCCCTTTCTCTCCTGTCGTGTCGACGTCTAGTTCTTGACAGAGCCTGTTTAGAAGAGCTTCTGTTTCGCTAAGCCAGTAAGACGTGTCATATTTTGTTTCAATTGGCAGGTTAAATACACCGTTTCTAGAGGTATTTTCGTAAAGAGATTTTCGAGAATTCGGTTTTGCAGAGTTGTGCTGCATTGGCCTGTCCACAGGAAAACAATTCGCATTTATGTCACTTACTGCCGATTCATTGAATGTTTGCTCGTCCCTTATCACTGTTCTGGGGGCACTTCCGTTACTTAAACTCGGCGCAGAGTTTTTAAATCCATTTGCAGTAACCTTTTTATTTAAAACTTCCTTCCGTAAATGCTGGTCTCTGTTGTCTTTGGTTTCTTTTAGCAATGCACTAGTCACAGAGTCCATTGTGGTCGTGCTTCTAAATGTCGAATCTGACCTCAATCGCTTTTGCTTTGGCTTAACGCCGAAGGATTCTGTCCTCTGTTTTCTTGCCTGACTTCTCTGACTGGCCTTACTGCACTGGCACTTAACAATCGCCAGACAACCTCTTCGAAAGTTGCCGTTACACACACCATAAATAATGGGGTTTAGTACAGAATTTGCATAAGTGAAAGCTCTGCATACAAAAGATATCAGTTCTTCATAGGCTATAAACGTTTGGCTGTGCGACAAGAAATCGTGGCTCAGCCAGAGCAACTGATGTGGCATCATAAACACCAAAAAAATCACAACCACAAACAGAAACATTTTTGCAGTTTTTTCATTCTGGCGCTTGCGTTTCTGAAGTGCATACTCGGCGGCGTCTGAAGCACTGTGATACAGTTTACCAGAGGTAGATGAAGTTCGTGATTTTCCGCCACGACCGGTGCTTAGCGCCGCAGCTTTGCTAGAGTTTTTGCAGAGTTTTAGACCAATGCGCGTGTAAATCACAGACATGACGATGAGTGGAAGTCCGTACTGCAGCGCAAATAAAAATACCGTGTAAATTTTAGCCAAATAGTATCCCTCGGGCCAGTTTTCTTTGCAGGCGGGTAAATGCGAAGCACTGTACTTCAAAATCACCGAGTAAGGTGTTACGGCTAATGCTGAAATGCAGTAAATTGCCAGGATCATTTTCAGACACTTGCCTCTCGTTATGCGGTACCTCAGATTAAGAGGACAGATGATAGAGACGAAGCGATCGATCGATATTGCCACAAGAGTTAAAGCAGCTGCGTTAGTGGAGAACGTAGCTAGCGGCCAGATAATCTTGCACAGAACCCCACCATAAGGCCAAAAACCAAGCTCTACCTCCGGCAGATCAAATGCTATGCTTGATATGGTCGTAGTGAGATCGCAGGCTGCCAAGTTGGCGACGAAGATCATAGGCACGGTTCTCATTTTCCGTAAGATCAACACAGTCAATATAACCAAAGTGTTACCAGTCACGCTAAACAGAAATATTGGTCCAAAAACACAGTATCTTGCAACGCGTAAATCCACTTGAACCGCGGGAGTTGACGAAGTTAGGTGTTCTTCGAATCCAGCGAGCGTAGAAACGCCTGTGGCGTTTTCCGACACGTTAGACATTTCAGGAGGCGAAAGAGGACAACAGAAACTAACCTTGATTTCCAAGCGGGTGAATAACTGATCTCAATTTATCAGATAACTCGCGGAACAGCCGTTAAAGTATCACTAGAATCGATGAAAATGCCGGATACTTTGCTTGAATACGTTAAAGGCCACCACGTCCTTTTCTGCAAATATTAAGGCTTAACGGTACCACGGTAAGCCCAAGAGATTCCTACTTTCTCGCTAATCTTGACACGAAAGCTGGGAGCAAATAAGGAAAAATCTCTGCAGGAAGCATCTGATATCCGCGGAGTCGAGTTGACAAAAAAGGCTGATAACATCTCTGTGCGCACTCATCCGGGCAAAAGACGAGAAATTTTCGGCATTCTCATTCTTTGAGCAAACAAGGATAAAGTAAACATATAACAAAGTTAATAGCTTGGGAAATGAATGTTATTGTAAAGGTCACAGGACTAACGAACAGCGTTTAGCTGAAGGTTTTTCTCGGCAGAACTCGCTCGAGAGTTCTAAGAGTCATCCACACTGCTATCAAATTTATGCAAAGTTGGAGGTACGGGTCTGCTGAGTAAGATAATTACTTCAATAAGCGTCAAATTCGGGTCAAATCAAATCAGCTGTGTTAAGACTTCGCTTTGCCTCCGCTAGCCGAACGTCCAACGAATCATCATCGTAAGCTTTCGTCGTCTTCACATGTATTGCCGGCCTATAAAGCCTTCGGAAGGATGAATTTGGTATTATAAAATGGAAAAAATATCTTGACTCTTCGAAACCATGTTATTACGTGAACATGCACGGCAAGTGAATAGGGACACGCCTATCTGGGTAAATAAGCCAGAGATAATTTGTTGGGGAGTAATAAGCTGTCACGGAGACACTGTTGTTCCCTGCAACATATGATTTCCTTACAGATAATCCCATCCAGAAAGGTTAACTAAGGTATAAGGTAATGCAGAGTTTATTACATCTTGTTAAGTCGCACGCTTTCTCATAGTTCCAGTTCCCTTTTAGTCGGTTACATTAACGGTAGAGTCAGAATCGTGACTGGTAACGGAAAGGAGCGTTTAATTATTCCGGGTCCGTGCTCATGTGTGGGCTATTTTAAAAAACTCCCTCAAGCGTTCTACGCACACTGAGTACTGAACTGGCATGGGAGGTGCTGTTTTGTGGTTTTCAGCTTCTTGGGTCTGGATAAAATAAAGCCATAAACTGTGACAACTGAAAGAAAGCTGACCTTTGTAGCCCTTGCGCAGGACGTTGAACAAACCAAAAAGAAAAAGAAACCTTTTCGGCTGCTTTTTTCAATGGCCTTACGTAAGTTACGTAATGTGTTTCACTTTGCCATAGATTGGAAGCTTTATCCGGTCGGTCCTTTAAACCTCTGGTCCTTTATAAGAAACTGAAATTACCATTGTTTGAATACGGCTTTAGAATATAATTACAAACATCATCAATTATTGATGATGGAGGCAAACAAATGGTACATAGATAGATGGATACAGTTTATTCACGAATTTTTAGAAGCAGTTCTGAGATCTTAGGATTTTTTTTGCCCGGTGACGGAAGCGAATCCCGTCGTCAGAAGCAAACAAAACTCATAAAAAACAGCACGGACGGAAATGATTTAGGTTTAATTTGAAGAAATAGTTACTAAGTAAACATAGCATTAGAAAAAGAGGTCTCAATAAAAACTGAAAACTGTACAAACAAATGACACCTTTTCAGCGAGTACGGAGTGTAATAAACTGCGGGAGAAGTTGAAAAACAGAAGAAAAGCTTACTTGTCATGAATCAGAGGAAACAATCACAAACATCCTTGATTTAACCTATTTTGCTTGTTTTTGTTGTTGTTTTTCCTTACTAGCCTGTGAACAGGCCTTTAGTCGAGCGGGGTGGGAAGAGGGAAAAGCGAAAAGCCCTTTCCCTTCCCTTTCCTCGCTATTTTTCCCCAAACAGAGAGCCTGTTCACAGGCTATTCCTGTGATAAAAACATACTGAATTATATGCATTCAACACTAAGTTCTCACTTAAGGCAAAATGTTGGCTCAGGAGAGGGGTAGGTGAGCAGTTTCCCAGAAACGTATAATACTTTTTGGGCAGTGAAAAAATCAGACTTTATACGTGTTCATTTAATACATATTCCGGATAAAGTGTTATTTTGAGTCTGATAACTACGAGTAAAAAATAAATAAAAGGAAAGGGGAAAAATAAGAAAGGAATATAGTCTGCTTGTCGAAAGAGCGGATCGACAATTTATAGTTAGATTTCTGGGAAAGTGCCCACCTACCCATCCCCTAAGTCAACATTAACACTTACTTCTCCAGTTAGTGCAAAATGTTGGGTTAGGGGAGGGGTAGGTGGGCAGTTTCCCAGAAACTCCAATTGATTCGAAAGAGCTTATAGGTACAGTAATAAAAATCCTTTAATTTATTACATGATAGGAAAAAACGTTCTAAAAAATTGAGATGTAGGCGTGACTTTAAACATTCCGGCAAATATCACCAGCCTGAGGGAGCGGACTTGAAGAGGTCTTAAAAAAGACTGCAGCTGTATTTGGTTTGGTCGTCTCAGTGGTATTAGCCTTACTCTTTCAAAAAACCAAGGGAAACCGCCCAGTTTATCAGATGATCAATTCTTTCACATCTTCAAATATACTAGGAAATATGGGAAGCACTTTGCGAGCGCTAAGGCCGGCGACGCAAATCATGAAAGTTTCATTCGGATGTTAACATTGCTCTCGCACGTTAGCGCTGAGTTATGTGAGTCTTTAAGACTTTTAGTAGTTCCAGAGTGACCTTGGGTGGCTGAAGGCACTCGACAAATAATAGGGGTGGAATGTTGTATTGTAGGTGCGGCAGCGTTTCTAGTCATTGTTCTACACAATAATCTTGAGTTAGCCACTAACTCGTTCTAGAAATTCCCCCTTTTAAAGCCTGGTAACGGAGTACCCGCACTGGGACTAGCTCCTACTCTTGGGCTCGTGCCTCACGCAGGATAATTTGGTATTCAAAGCCTCCAGATATCAAACCTACAATTTCACGTACAGGGGACACAGACTGGAAGTGTCTGGATGATCACCACTTCGCTTCGATCGCAAACTTAAGAAAGTGCCAGATTGTGCTGCATAAAAAAGAAGCGATTTTATTACTAAAAAGCCAGGGATCATAATGTAGGCATTAGTTTAAGCCGTTCCAAGTCGCTTTTCACGGCTCAGAAAGGCTTTATAAGCCATAAATATACGAGGGTACATCGAGGCCTCTTTCCGTGGGCACTGTTTGTCTCAGAGGACTATGTATGGACTGGTTGAGATTTACAACATTTTTAATTTGCTCTCAAAATTTAAAGTACTTTAAAGGATACTGAGAAATATGAGTGTGAGATAAATTTAAAGGATGTGCAACTCGCGATTTCGTGATGTTTGGGTCAGAGATTACTTGTCAGTAAAGTAATTACTGGCACGAGTCTCATGTTAATTTTGTGTGATAAGTATAAATCTTCTTAATTCTCCAAGACCCATGCATAGTCGGTTGTCAATCCTGTCTGACACCCAGATAAAAAATATGGGTCTAACGTTCGAATAAGTGGTTAAAATCCTATAGTATGATTAAGGCAAAACGTTTACATGTTACTCCGGCTCTTAATCGTGAGTCTCATACAAATTTCAGTTTGGGACTTTTATTTTTTAACTCTTATTTATGAGACACTCAAGGGATTTAGAGTCAGCATTTTAAGCTGACTCCGAATTTAGCATCAACGGTGAGAGACCTCTCTCGGCATAATCAAACATATTTCAAGTTTTCGGCTTAGGTTATCAAAATATGGATTTTCCTGTTAATCTCAGTTGACTTACTGCTGTCGTCTCGAATTATATTAGGCCTTATAAGAACCACAGACGGTAAGCGGTCGTTCGTCATGGTTCTTTCCTCGGAACTACGCTCGGCGAGCGAAAGAGTGAAATGATGGGGCTTCGCCGCTCGCCCCTCACACGTGCTCCCGATCTCTTGCAGTGACACAAAAGAAAAGTGAGAGAATGCTCGCAGTCTGTAAGAATTAAAACTACCAAGATAAACTAAAGAAACTCCAACGTAATCGATCATTGCATGACATTTTATCCCAAGAGCCTCGTCCAAAGCGTTGCTGCACCCGCAAAATGGAGAGTTGATAAACGCTGAATACGTAAAACAAGCAAAAAGGGATATCTTGGTTCCGGGCCACACCTGCTACAAGAAAATTACGTTTGGCGAAGACACAGAACAACCAGGGAATTAAGAGTTGCACAGACCTCAAATCAAATATACTGACTTAAGGAATTCGCTTTTTAATGTGTCACTACAATTTGACCAGATTTCTTTTCATACAGTGGTTAAATAAAAACCTATTTGACATATTTGGAACCTAAAAGAAGAATTTCAAAAAAAAAAACTCTGTCCCTCTGTTACACGCTCTGTGTTCGCCACAGGCGATTTAAATTATACACGAGTTCCATAGTTTTCATGTAGACAATAGAATTCAAGTCGAAGGATTATCCGCGGAAGAACATTGAAGACGTCAATTTTGAAGCCAGGAGGAGTCTATAACAGGATTAAAATTTTAAAGTCATTTGTGTTGTTTACAAAAATACAGTTTTTCTTTCTTTTTTTTTCACATCATACGCGTTCACATGCTCTACGTAAACAATTGTCTTATTTATCCCTCATCCAATGCTCTACCCCTCAGTTTTCTCAGACTAGATTTCCTAGGCTCGATTACCAGCCGCTGTTCGGGAAAATGAGCCCGCACTCATCCCCCATCTTTCTTCGGCCTACACTTAATTCCATCCTCCAAACTGACGTTGACACATTAATGATTCGTACACAAAGTAGGGTTAGGGTTAGGGTTAGGGTTAGGGTTAGGGTTATATATTTAAATCAAACAGGTATTCGTCATTCAATCCTCGGGAAGAAAAATTGAAGACACTTTGACTTTTATGAACATTTCATCAAGAACTTTCATATAAGAAAAGTGAAATGTCTTGTGAGAGGAGGATGTCAGTTTGGTGGATGGAATCAAGTGACCCCCTCTTTCTTCGGGGAGGATCAAAGACCTGACCCGGGAGACGGCGGAAATCGAGCCAAGAGATTTCCACGCACTCTCTATTATATGATCCTGACAAAAGAAAAGAGACCTTTCGTGGTGCCTTAAGTATTCTCTTATTCTAAAGGAATATATACAGAAAAAGCCTTAATCCCACAAGTCCTTTGTAACTGCGACGTCAAACTAGTTTACGTTAGCACCACGTCTGACGTGGTCTTAAAATATCACGTGATGTTCTGCAGTTCGTCTGATTGGTCAATACGTGTATGCGAAACCATGAGTTGAATTTATACGTTGAAAGAATACTTTTAAACAATTTAACTACACAGATTCCTCTCAGACTGACACATCGTAACCAGAAGTAGGTTGATTTGCCCCAGTATGAACTGCTTCCTTGTGACCAGAGGTACGTTGATTCGCCCCAGTACGAACTGCTTCCTTCAAAGAATGTATGTTTACAAGCTTCAACCACCAACTCATTTTTTCAGCCTATTGTGAGTCACCTTTTGGTATTACCAATTGATTTGTTTAAACACATGATACCAACTGAAACGGTTTCAAGACTTTCGGTTCGTTGAAACGAGCGGCTTTTGGTAACGAGATCGACTGTGAACGAATACGCCTAAATCCATCGCACTTGCGTGACAAGCTCAAGCGCAAACGAGAAACAATTCACGTGAACGTTAACCCTCACGGACACTTGTTTCTCTCATTCATCATTTACGAGAACCAGTGTCAAAAGCGCAAATGTGCAACGTTACTGCGCATGCGTATTTTTCTTGCTTTGAGCACGAACTACCGTTACACCACAATGAAGCGCTGCGCTTACTCATGTCGCTTGTCACGCAAGCGGAGAACGATGTTAAATGAACGTGTTTCCTGCATTTACATTATATAATGGACTGATTCATTCATGAGACGTGCTGTAAATGCTTAGGAGCGTCTTTAAACATGTACTCAAGTCTGTAAGCCTCCGCTAGCAAGAGACTGATTTGCTGATCATCCCAGTTGCTTGTTGGTAAATTCTGTAGTAACAGCATTAAGCCCTGGTGACAGAAAGGGAATGAAGTATAAGATCAACTATGACTTTGACTGTTCAAAGTCCCAGGCGATTTTTGAGGTCGATCACCGAGTTACCGAGTTTGAGAGCTGGGATGTTATGTTCTTGGTGAGGGGATCGGGTAAACCCGGGGGGAGGGGTACTCGACCATATTTGGGTATAAGTGTTTAGGAAAAAAAAATTCTAAATTACATACCCACCCTCAATTTTATGATCGTGTTTAGGACAAGGAGTGAAATGCACGCCGTCTTGTTTTAAAGCCATTGCGTTAGTATACTTGGAGTACAAACAAATTTCACCTAGCAAATCAAATCGATTGTGCAGGCGATACCCAAGGGGCACATGCAAGAAGCAAGTTGTGAGAGCATATCCCGATTTTGCGCACGTTGCCCTCGCTGTGAAATGTGATTAGGGACTTTAAGATCCAACGACGCGACGGCCGCGAGAACGTCGCTTAAAAGAGTGTGTTTGCTTTTTTTCAGTCTTTATAGCGATTATTCGTACCCAATTACTTTGTCAAATGTAGGCGAACCCTCCTGAAGCTGAATTTCAAGGGACCATATCCAAGCTCAGAAAGAGAAATAAAATTTCGTCGTTGCTTGTTTACGTCCTCTATAAAGCACGAAATTAGGCATTTTCACGTCGTATTCGTGCAAAAACGGGAAAGAAATGTACAAAAAACGTGTGATGCACGTGCAAAGCTGTTGTTTTGTTTATAAAACCTATTGTTTTTTTGACGTTCTTGTCGTCGTCCGCGTCGTTGGATCTTAAACTCCCTACTACAGCACGACGACGACGGCAGTGAAAAAGTCGCTAAAAAAATGAATTTGCCTTTTTTCAAACTTAATCGCGTCTATTTGGACCAGCTCAATATGTCAAATGCAGGCGACTATTCCTGGAGCTGAATTCTTAAGGATTTTATTCAAGTTCAAAAAGAGGAAGGAAAATTCGTCGTCGTATGTCCACGTCCTCCATAAAACGTCAAATTAGGAGGTTTCATGTCGTAGTCGTGAGGTGAACGTCAAAGAAATGTACTAAAAAGTGTGATGCACGTGCAGAGCTGTTATTTTGATCATTAAACTTATTGTTTTTCGAAGTTGTCGTCGTCGTCGCAGTTGATTAAGCTCCCTATAATATGCAATCGAGAAAAAGACGTCTTGCAACGTGACAAGTACAAAATGCGAACAAGTGAAATACAAACAAACAAACAAACCTGAAAATCATTTTCTTGTATAATTTCTTGAGAAAAATTCTTCAGGAACGCCGCACAAACGTACAGATGAAAAGATGCAAATCCATTTTCTACAGACTGGTAAAATAAAATAAAAAAAATTACTTTTTTGCCCTATGAAATCAAGAGAAACAAGACAGAGAAATGATTTGGCATGCGTTCCTATTGTACATGATTAAAAAAATGGCCCAGACATGCTTAGTAAGTTTTCTTCTTCCCTGTTACACACTTCAGGAGTCATAAGTGTTTACCAATGTAAAAAAAAGTTCCTCTTAATTACAGAATGATTTCAACAAAGCAGTGAAGGTAATTTTTCAGTTTAAGTGTCCCTCGGGTTGCTGCTTTTGTTGAGTGTCAAACTGCATCGCCGTATTTCCTTAACCAATCAAAAGTGAGTCCAAAACTTATTTTCCTAGGGTGAACTTGGTAGCAGGTACATAAATTTGCGTCAAATTCTGATCGGTTCATTCGTGTGTATACATATACGTCTTTGTGACGCAAAACCATCCAAACGCAGAGTTACCCTCTGGCCAATCAAAAATACCCAAGCATTTAAATGAGCCAATCGCATTCAAATACATGTACATGCAGCTGCTACCGAGCGCGAGAAAACCCGTGTGGTGTGAGCACGTCACAATTTCTTGCGGTTTTACATCTGATTGGTCGAGAAAAAATCGAGAAAAAGGCGCGTGATTTTTAAGCCAATCACAAAGCGAACAACAGAAAACCAAAGCATTTACGAAAGTACTTTTAACATCCAAAAGAAACCACGGTACAAACCAAGTATGTATCCCAGAGTCGTATCGTAGATCTGAGCGGCATTTCTCGCATTAACAAATTGTTCATCCACCGGAAGGCAAATTGCAGGTACTCCACGTTATTTTTTTCTAGATGAGCATTGAGTGGTTCTGCAAAGGAAGAAAAAGTCGTAAGGAGGTGAGCTTAAGCAACAACGACGGCTAAGCCACTTAAAACGTGAATTCGCGCTGCTTCAAATTTTATCGAGTTTATTCCATCTCATTCAATTCGACAAATGTTAGCGTACAAAAACATGTATTTTTATGGAGAGGAATTCTCGGGAATGTATCGAAGCATCCTCCACAAAACGTGAAATTAGGTATTTTCACGTCGTAGTCGTGCAACAACGGCAAAGTTGTTGTTTTGCTAATCTCAACCTATTCCTCTTTTGTCGTCCTCGCTGCCGTCAACGTTTCTTGCTTAAGCTCCCAATTTTTCTTTTCACAACACGAAAACTATTATCGTCTTTAATGATCTGCCCCTTTTAACCTTAGTAAGATGTCCGGGTATAAAGCCTTGAAAAGCCACGAGCACCTCCAAATTATTCACCAATGGTTGGCAACCTTTCGAATTATTTCAATTCCCTCATGTACGACTGCATAACGTGCCTCTGTTTCTATTTTCTGGAAACCGTTTTATAATTTTAGGTCAACAAAATCTGGGTAAAACATGACAACATTTAAAGCCAGCTAGCCTGCATCCAAGACTTTTGTTCACCTAATAAATGTAAATTTAAGTTTGTGGATGGTTCCCGCACAACCGTGGAGCAACTTTGAAAATTAATGATCCAACTTGCTCACCGTCAATTCTCTGAATCAGCTCTCTAAGAGCATTTACTTTCATTTGAATTCCTGGCTGTGCGAATGTGTAATTATCCTGTAAGAGAAAAAAAAACAATCCAAATTTAGTGGCAAAATATCGCACCTAGAAGAAGATTAGTATTTTCAAAAAGTCTGCACCGACAAAATCTGACCGCATAAACTTCGAAAATGAACTGACAATTTTTTTTCTACGATACAGGTAAAGAAACTGCATAACTCCACCCCGAGGAGCCAATTAGTGCCATTGACAGGAATTCTGTAAATGTTTAAGTGGCGTTACATACCTGTATACCATCTAAAAGTTTGCTCATACACCAAAAGCTGTCAGCCTCTATAATATCTAGAGTTTCTTTAGGTAACTGGCTGACATCATGGTTCTCTAAATCACCATCTAGAAAATACATAAAATAAATCAATACAACGTAGTGTACAGTAATGTTTATTTCCAATCCATTCAGGGAAGCGAACTTCCAAATGGAGTATTTGACTGAGAAAGTAATTTTGGTATTTTGGATAAGTGGTCACATGTGAACTGGTTGCAAATGCCGGTATGAGCTGAGTGACATTTGTGACTCAAACCATTCACAAAGCAATAAGGTATCTCGTGCTTTTTGAGTATAGACATACCTACATACGCAGACAAAAACACCACAAAAAAGGGCGTGACCAGGTCATTGATTCCTTGGACATAACCACTGGCAGGATGGCGGATAGCCCAGATGTACAAAATTCTCTCAAATATCTATAAAGCAACAAAAGTGGTATGCACTTTTAGGCAACCCTTACACTGGAGCTCCTATTAAGAGAGAAACCACTTTTGGGACAAACTAAGCAAACTATTAGTAGGCATTTGTAAACGGCAAACAAACAAGATTGTGTTGAGACTGTGCAGGTAGTCAAGAAGGTACACTCCTACACTCCTTTGGGTTTCCTGTGTGTACATGTGTGAAGTTGCTGTTTCTACACAATACTCATGCACAAGACAAGAGAAATGCACATGAGAGGTGGGGGGTAATGGTATTAAACTGCCATGCTGTTCTCCTATGACTCTCAATCCCCACTTACTGTATACTGGTAAATCATTACAGAACACTAGGCAAAGTCTGTCAATTGATTGCTGTTGATTTTTTTTCTTATTTGTATTGTACACTGCATATGAATGCCTTACATGCCATTTTCATGGCCATGTAAGAATCGAGTCAAGAATTGAGACTCGCAATGGACCATCAACTCACTTTTGAATGGTACTGTATTTGCTTTATCAATAATAATAATAATGTGCAAAGATTATCACTGTACATAATTAAGGCCATTGCATGATAGTGCCATTCTACTACTACTGCCAGAATCCTTCAGGGTTTTGCTTTCTTGTGCAAATTAGGGCTTTTACTATTTAAACCTCACTGGAATTAAAAAATTCTGGTCTTAGTAGTAAAAGGACATCGTCAGGCAAATGGCCGATTGAACAAAGCACAAGATATAGTAGGATATTTTTACCATTTAACAAAGAAAATATCCTTACCTCTTGTACTAAGGGTTGCTGAAAAAGTGGTATGAGAGGATTTGTCCTTGGAATATCAATATGAATCTGTTGAAAAAAACCAAGCAACAAAATTAGATATCTTTTACAATTAAAATGAGGATAGAACAAAATACACACATGTAATCTTCAATAATACCTGTCTAAATGTGTCATGATATGTATCTTCATATCTTGTAGGATAATACTGTTTTACAAAGTTGTGGTACTCATCACGCTTTCGATCCAATGTTGACTGCCTTCTGTCAATATTTGCTGGTAAATAGCCCTAATGATAAAGTATTGAAATAAAAATTAGAGATGCTAACCTCTGGAGATCTAAAAACTGAAGATTCTCTTTTGCAATACTGCCAACATCAAGCACCCAACCCCATTTTTAAAACACAAATCGACTCGGGTCCAATGGGTGAGGCTTAGGACATCTGAAGTCTTACAGGTACACCACAAAATTGTCTTGTCACTGAAAAAATATGTTCAAAACTGCCACAGAAACCATTGATACTATGAATTTTTATAACAAAGGGGTTAATTCCAACCTTAAGCACAGAGAAGTAGAAAATTGAATTTTCTTTAGGAAAGTTGGTGACCTGTATGGGGAAGGGCAGATTTGTGCAGTATCTGGGAGACTACTGGAACAGTTTGGGAGGGTTGCTTTGCTGAAGAAACCATACAATATATAGCATAAGAGCCAATTACAACTCAACAAACTTACACATAGTAGCTGCCAAGTTGTTGGGCGTACAGTGACTGGAATACCTGACCAACTCAATTTCCGTATGGCCTCTGAAAATGTAAAAGCCAAGATCAACAAATGATCACAATATTGTAACAGTATGTAAAAATATTATATTCTTGCCTAGATCGGTGTTGGGACCAGCCAGAAGCTTGCCAAATTTTTCAAGTTTATGGATTTCTTGATCTTGAAATTCCAGTTTCACTGCTCTAATGGGAGACGGAGGCTTAGGCGGCTGCACAGGGGGAGGTGGTGGGGAGTGAGCTGATGATTTTGAAGATGACTGATTCTTGTGCCGTGCTGAAAAATAAATAAGCATACAGTGATCTCGAGTATGAAGTATGAACGCCCGATACTGACACTGAGATCCACTTTCATTCAATGTGACTTGCAAAGGTGAGCAGTCGCATTTCAATGGTGGAAAGTTTGCATTGCTCAATGTTGTTAGGTCTACCATAAGTATTTCCAAACTCATTAATACCTCATAACAAGACTAGTAAAAAAAATGTAATCAAACTATCATAATGTACATTTGGATACTGGTTATAAACTTAAGTCATGATTTTCTCCAAAGATGTCCATCTTGGAGGGGGCTGACTTTAATCTTTTACTTCACTTATTAACTATTCAGGGTTTTAATTAAGAATTCTAGTGGCCTGGGAGAAAGGTGTAGCGTTACAGGAGAATAGTGTGAAAGAAGCACCATGTCTGAATAAAAAACAGTCATAGGCTATTGCACATTAGCTGGAGAATCCTGTGTAGCAAACAGAGAATTCTCCAATCTCTGATGCCTAATAAACACCCTGACTATCCAAAAAAAGTAAAGAAGACTCAGATGCTTCAATGATCAAGGAAGAGTCTATGCTTCTTACTTAGTAGACTTAGTGGAGAAGGTCTTGATGTTTTGTTTTCTTCTCTTTTGACTAACTGTTCTGGAAGCTTTTTTGTTTCCTTGGCCACATTAGTAGGAATGCTTTCCCTGACGTCACCCCCACTGATTGTACGGACGCGAGACTGGGACAGTGCATTCTTTTTCTCCTCGGGATCCACCTTAATGGCATCATCGTCATCTTCACCCCAGGCATCACTTGTTTCGTTGTTGAATTCTTGGAAACTTAGGGGTTTAGGTTTTACCTTACCATGAACACTGAAACAATAAAAATGTTATGAAGGCAGATTCAGCTTAGGAAAAACAAGTAAATTATTTCATAATCCTCACTATGGTAACAAAGGGGTGGTTTCACTTTTCTCTATTATCACAGTAACTGTATCAGCACTGGTGAAGGCAAGTTTTTTCAATAGGGAACCCAACAGCCCTCCACCCTATATATACCCTCTTAAATTTTGAAACAGAATTCCAGCATTTAATTTCTAGATATTTCCCCCCCCCCCACCCCCAAAAAAGGAGAAATACTTACCAAATAGTTAAATTCAATCCTAATTTTACCTTGCACACTTACAAAACCTTGAATTTTCACAATAACACTTCTTCTTTTTCTCTTTCATTATAAAGAGGAACTGACTTTAAGTTCACCATGGGGGTGCAAAACAAAATCATTTGTTGCGGCAGTAACATTGTGTAGCAACAACTAATCAACATGTGCACCTTTTCAAAAGCATGATGCAAGTCTTTTATCACGTAAGGTTGGTCAGGCAATCTCTGCCCAAGCCCCTTCCCCACCCCTCTTAAAATCATAAAAATCAACCAGTCCATCCACACTCCTTGTAGTTCCAGCTCATTACCCCCTCCCTTTGTTTACTGTCCTTCAAAAGAAATTTTTTTTGACATAGCAAAGTAATATTGTGTAAAATATCTGAATATGATTGTCTTGTTTCTTGGTCAAAATGGAAAAGAAAAATTTCTGTACATAGCAGATGGGATGCGTTACTACAAGCCTTAAGAATATTCTTGTGGTTTCCTTGTCTCTTATTTTTGTCTTTGTAATTATAATTACACTATCATAATTCTTAAACATCATTTAAAAGCAACAATGACATATCCTCTAGATCATACACAGATCTTTTAACGTAAAGAAGACTAACTGGAAAAAAATTAAGCTTAAATATCACCAAAATCATACGGTACAATATTAAAAAAATATCATTGATGACGGAAACAGTAGAATTATGAAATGTATTTAAAGCAATATAAATATGATCCTTTTCAAATATTCATTTTTACAGTTAGTTATAAACAGCGTTATTATTAGTTGGAAGGTTACGAGATACGGTTTTCTCTATCTATTCGCTCTACAGGAACGGTTGGTATCATTTAATAGTCAATAAGCCTCCCAGTTAATAAATTGAAGTACATCGCAACAACTTTCAACAATAGAAATCGTCAAATTGTTATTGTCTGATCTTCTGAGAACCATTTAACGCATTGCTATGTACATTTTACTGTTATCTTTTAGCATTCATCATCAAAATCAAAACAAGTATTAAGCTTAAATACTTGAGTGCTAGTTCGCCGAACACCAATAAATTTCAAGTAAACAAGAAACTCACTTTCTCAGCGACAATACAACACGAGTACAAAAATCTGTAATCTCTCTCTCTTTGCCATCGCGATCCAAAACTCGCTAGAAATATTACTTTGCTCCTACTTTGACCTGAAACGTAAACACTCAACTAACCTTGTTTGCCCATGAACTGCGGTAACACTTGTTGAAGAAGAGAGTAAATCTTGTCCGCCATGTGCGGGTTTAATACTGTTTAAAAAGCACATTTAAGTCAACACAAGGGCTTCAGAAATTGCCGATGCCTCTCAAATAAAAAACGACAATACCTTCCAGGCAATTTACTTGTGTTCCTCTTCCAAAAGGACTTTTTTGGGCTGCCAGTTTCAAACGTCACTACGGGAGAATCCTCAAGACTGGGAACTTCGTGTTCAATTGTGTTGAATTGTGTCCCTAGCGCTATCACGCGCTCTTTAGCAGCTTCACTCATATTTTTTGACAAAGCTGGCTTATCCGCCCATCTTTGATTAAACGAAGATTACATTTTTTCGCACAAAGAAATCAAGATCGCGAACAAGGCCAATTTCCTGATGATATTTTGTCTTCGATCCAATATGGACGAATGAACAGGATCAACCTTTATGAGTGTATCCGCTGGCAAGTGATGTTTGCAGGCCGTTAATACCGGAAGTAAGTTGTGACCCATCGCAGTGCAGCAAGAACATACATGTACATATTCCTGCCACAACATCTTTCCTTTCCACATGCATGTCTCGTATAACTAATATATTCACAATATCTATGAGTATTTTGACTACGGGAACCGTTTGGAAACCAAACTTTGATTTGATTTGAAACACTATAAAACTATTGTCAACATATCGACAAAACAAAGATATACTGAAGGAAAAAAAAATGTTCTCTTGGTTTTTGCACTGTACAACCTTCCCGTTTATACTGACTTCCTTTGGCTAGCTTTACTACTGCTGATCGTTATTCGATGTACAGTGAAACCTTTTTTGCGTATGCAAAAATGCCAGTGTTCGAATAAAAGTTTAATGCTCTTTGTTTTTTTGGAGTTCCTTGCATAGAAATTTGAGGCGTTGCTGTCGACTCGGAATTAATTTTAAAATTAAATGCCCTCTGGACTTTTTCTTCCTCAGCTGCCCTTTCTGAAGACTCAGGTGCCACTTACCGGAAAAAGAAAAATCACCTTTACGCTCTCGCCCTAATTTCTCCTAAAATCACCAACGTATAATTGAAATAAATTATGACTTTTTCATTACACTGATTTTCTAGCCGCTAATCTCCATGCCTTTCCAAAAGTCGCGCGCGTGCAGCGAGTACGCCACGCAAGCTGGCGTGTTGCTATTACACTGTAATGATGTTCTATCGGCATTTCTATTTAATACAGAGTAGAAGAAATTGAACACTGAAATACATCGGAGTAAAAGGAGTTAAGCTTTTTATATATCGATACCTGAATGTGAAATGTAGAACAGCGTTAATCACTGAGAACAAGTATTTTAAAATTTTCAAAGGCTTATTCTCTTGTCACAAAGATCAAGGTTTGAAATCTGAAATACTAAAAATTATCTATTAGGCAAATTTTCGAGCCGATTAATAATTTGTTAGCTCCGTCAGATGTAAAAGAATTTTATCTAACCAACCATAAGTACAATAAGACATCAATCGGAGAAAATTTACCTGAATCCTGACAACAGAGAAACTTCTTCGTCTTGGCTGGCGAAGTCATTTCCGATGGCCGACAGTGGGCATAAGAATTTCGCGAACAAAAGCGAGCGGCTGTTGGTCTCTGAAGTGTTAGATGAAAAGCTGGTGGATTCAGTCAAGTCCCTGTTCATCTGTGCATAAGATCAGTCCGCCAAAGAGGACTGTATATCGTAAATATGAGCTAGACATTTACAATCACTGTAAATAGGTAATACGAAAGAGTGTGGAAACAAATCTGGCGTGACACAATTCTCGTATTGTCGCGTCACCTGACACCTTTTACAAACTTCCGGCGCATTATCAAACAAAAACACACCCCGCGCAAATAAATTACGCGGCAAGCTTTCTGCTCCACAGAGGCCTCTCTGCGCAATTAATTTGGAGAGTGGGTAGAGAAGGAAAGAAAGCGCAGGGAGGAGCCTCTTTTTGCCACAATTCACTGACCATTTTCTTGTATTTTTGAAATTAATATTTTATTTTTGATCCTGACGCGAGATACTGGTCACGCGCTCAAAGGAGAAGGAGGACACGCTTTTGTTCGCGAGTACCACTATTTTTTATTCAACTTTTTTAATTTTTTTGTCAATTTAGTGGTTTATACGCTTACCAGGCTTGATGTATCTTAAAGAAAGCAGAAAATAAAACATAAAGATAATGGTAAGAAAGGTAATGAGGACTCCAACTCCAATATTCCTCGGGAGGACCCGGGATGGGGGGGGTAATCCCTTATAAGGGCTTAATGGGGACGTGCGGCCAGCCAGGGTATTTTTTTCGGGATTTTTGTCCTAAACAGGGTATCGAAGTTACCATTTTTTGTCTTAATTAAGGTATCGATTTATCAATTTTTGTCTTAAACAGGATATCTTTTCTTGGACGATAAACAGCAAACTTTTTACAAGCTCTAATGTTAATTAAATGTCTTAAACAGGGTATCAAAAATCGGAATTCTGTCTTCAACAGGGTAGGAACTAGCGATATTTGACTTTACAGGGTCACGATATGAGGGGCCGCGCCGCACCTCCCCACCCAGGGATATATCGAGTACCCCCCCGGGGGAGGACCAAAAGGGGTAAAGAATCACAGAGGACACAGCTTCATGTACAAGGACCAAATGACACACAACAGTAATTCGTTAATTCTTACATTTATTTCTGAACTTTTTTGGCTTAAGAACTGTTTACAAATACAATAGAGTATGGACGTTTTGAGCTACATTATTCCTACAACTTGGTATTCAAAAAAGTTACCAAACATTTGTCCTACTATATATACGCATACACAAGGTATCAGGATTATTTTTAAAAAATAGAATAGGGTTTATAGTATATATTGATCGATATAAAACCAAATTTTGATTTTTAATATATTCATTGTCGTACTCTTGGCATTTATTCAAGGAAATGACTACAATAATGTTCTTGCGAAAACATTGCAATCATTTAAGCTTAAAATACAAAGTGGGCACATTAGAAGTAACGAGAGCTAAGCTGGCCGCTATTTCCGACTGGCATGAATTTTTTTAATATACAAAGTCAGGGCTCACGTAATTTTGTTATTAAAACGGCAGACGCGAATTTGCACCACGCGACCAAGTCACCCCTTTACTTGTCGTTTACTGTTTATTGTTTTATTTTCTATACATAAATTAGTAGTTTCACGCAATTTTTATCCATAAGAATTGTATTGAGCTGTTTTTATTTGCTCATTTTTTATTTCGAGAATTTCTCAACTTGAATCTGACGTAGTGCCGTTTGCCGTATACGTGAAGCTTAAACTCTCCAATATATTGAACTTCAATGCAGGGCTTTCTTTATAACAGTTGTAACAGCCTCACATTTAACGCTGTTTGTTCTAACATTACCTATGGGAAGGCACTCCTCCGAACAGACATTCCGTGATGATTCCAACTTGTTTACCTCCACTAAAGCGAATTCTAAGCGTTTCATTACCACAAGTTGTGATTGGATAAATATTCTCCCATGATTTTCTCAATCAATCGCGGTTGTTCCCTTTATTTTCCCGCGCTCGGCACCGGTCTTATGAATTTCATTAATTCGACGTCTGATTGGTTCACTGGACGACGGCGTCAGCCTCTGATTGGCTAACATTATAACTTTGTGTTTGGAAGTACAACAACCAATCAAAAACCACTCTACGCGGACGCCCGTACTCGGCAAGCTTTTACCCGTGGTCTTTATCTCTTTCAGACACAACGTTTTTATTTAACAAAGGTGGTTCTCCTCTTAACAGAAATTAAACGTAGCTCCGAGGGCGTCCTCTCATGGAATGAACAGCATTTGTACGATGTTTAAATATCTAGACTTTACGTACAGTTATTGCTAACAAAGTTACTTACTACTTTCTCAAGAGACTGTATAAAATCGAAAGTACTTGAATTCCAAACGAATCGCATGCATAAGCATTATCAGCTTAATATAAACTGAAATAATACCAAACCTACTTCCCTGCAACTGACTAAAGAGAACTGCTAGCCAAAAAATATTAGCTAAGAACGGACTCTTAAATCTTTGCAGTTGGCGCTCTAGTACTTGAATCTAAGTCTAATCCGAGGTTTAGTTAACTTCCGGTTGATTCGCTTCAGGTTGCTGCATTTCCTCTTCCGGTTTCGGTGCTTCCTGTTGTTTTAACTTCTCTAACTCTTTAGACATGGCATCGACGTCCTGCAAACAAATCGAAAACAAACCAGCTTGAGCGTTAACGATTGTATAAAACGGTATGTTGCACTGAGACGAAAATAAATAAATAAATGTTGTAAGGAAAAAACAGCATGCAACAAAGTTTTTCGTCCAAAGAAATCCACTTTAATAGACCAAACTCTGAGAATTTTCAATTTTCTTACCCTCTGAAGTTGCACGTTTTTTGTGAGTGTCTCTTCCAGCATTAGCTGGATTTTCCTTGTGTTCTCTGCCTTCCCTTTACCAAAAGGAGACTTAATCTTCCCTTTCAACGCCGAAATAGAGGCTGGTGATGATTTTGGAGACTCAGCTACCGGACCTGAGGAACAACGAATCAAACCAAACAACATCATTGGTCAGGAGATTGCCTTGGTTTTACGTTGTTGTGCTTTGTGATTGGCTGAAAAATCTCGCGCCACTTTCTAAGCCAATCAAAAGTAACACCAAACCCAATTCGTGACCAGTTCTTTTGTGTTTTTCCCGCGCTTGCCGCCCGCTTCTAGTAAGTTCGCAATATCAGATTGACTCATTTGAAGTTCAGCGTGTGTTGTGATTGGCCCGCAGAATGACAAATTTTATGACACTCATTGTAAGACTGCTGTACAGGAAAAAAATCGTTTCTTGCGTTTGCAACGGAGATGTTTTACAGTACATGAGGGATGGATGCCTTTGAGGAATCCCCCTGTTAACGACTATTTCGGTAATAGAATTGTTAAAAAACGCAGTCACCTTGTTAAATTCTTCATTGCCTTCAAAAAACCTTCAGTAAAATGCCCAGGACTCAATGAACGTGATACAATTTGCTTTTTTGTGGTTGTCATAGATGGCACAACATTTTCACTCACCGATTTTCGTCTCCATGGCGTAAGCTTGGATTATGGCTGACTTCTGAATTAAGTCTTCCGCTAAAGCAGCTGCATTTTCCTCAAGATGATGTACCTATGAAGTAGACAAAAGGTAAAAAGGAACAAGTTCAATCCGTGGGGAGCTGTAACAGTAGTGATGGAGGGGGTGTGGGGGGGGTTGGCATGGGAGCGTCATGAGTAACCACTTAATTGACAAAATCCTTTATCAAAGTTTAATGGTTAAAAATATAATTGTTACGAAACTAAAATATTTAGAAGGCTCAGTGGTACAGAAACTATTTCTGTTTTACCCTAGATGTACTGGTTGATACCTACAGAAAGTACCGTCTAAAAACACCTTATCTCGAAGTAAAAAGAAACAGAATTTAAAATTATCTTCTAACAGCCGGAGGTATGACATGGAAAAATGGTTTTCAGTCTCTTGACAAAATACTCCAGTGTGATCATCCGTTCAAGGAACCTCTTGAAAAAAGCTCCTGAGTTTGTCACTGGAATTTTTTCACATCAATTATCAATAGAGTATAATGAAAAGAAGTGCTGATTCTTTTCTTGTTATCACTATAATTTTACCTTCTCTTCTAACAGCCACTTTTCTTGTTGGACATCTGCAAGCCTTTCTATAAGGTCAGTGGTGTCATCATTGAGCATGCTCACTGTGGATGCAGCAGGGCTTGGAGGCTACAAAGACAACAACACATTTAACACTAAGACAAACGAAACAGAGAGAATTTGACAAAATTTCTAAGACCTATCATTACCCTAAATTCAGGACTGTCCAATTCACTCCTCGATGGATGACTTGATGAATCACTGAAAAGAAATGCGGAAATGGTTATTTCACTCAGTATTTCCAGTTCTTAGCAAACATTGAGCGGAAAATGACTTACTTACCCGCTATTTCGACGCTGATTTTCTCTTACAGGAGAGAATAAATCTTCAAATGCTGCAAAGGAAGAAGCGGCAGCAAATTGTAATAGCGTGTTAAGTGTGATACTTTGAATTTTCCTGTAGTACACTCTATGGCGGAATTTATGGATTCATCGCTTCTTTTTTTTACTACTTTCTTTAAGCATTTTAATCAAACGGAACAAAATGATTTCAGGGTTCCATTCTAGTCACGACGAAGGTGGACTTTCAAAAACAACAGTGAAGTAACCGATATCCAAGATAACGGCGCGCGGAAAATTTCGAAGAAAAAGGAAAGGAAAAGACATAGAGATTTAGACTCTAACCTTAAAATTTCTTTTTACTCTAGTTTGGTACAGCAGAAGAGGCTCTCTTTAAAGAAAGAAAAAAAAACATACCGGGTTTAACTCGGTTCTCAGATAACGCTTCTTGTAATTTCTGCTGTAACTGCTCTGCTCTTTTCCTTTCCAGCTTCAACTGACGTTTCAGATCTTTAACCTTAAGGCAAACAAAAAAGGAGAAGAAATAATTCAATGACATTGTCTCGATTAGCCCTAAAGGTTGTTACTGCGACTCGTGTTTCTGCCTCGCTGTACGATCTACGCACGTTGTACACGCGATGCGAATTAATTTCGACAAAATAATAACCTTCTTTCGGCCCTCGTTTCGCGAGGAATTATTATAGTTTAAAGCTGGTTGCATCCACAGACCGCTTTCTGAAGCAAAACCATAACCACAAAACACAAGACTAACTCTGAGGGGATTGGACAGTTCATAGACTGCGAGCAGTCTCTCTGTTTCTTCAGATTTAGTGAGAGCAATGCACGCGCGCGGGAGCGGCGAAGCCGCGAGACGCGCGAAACGAGGGCGGCATCAGTCACGCGCGTGGCCATTTGCGTGTCTCGCGTTTTGCTCGACGACTACAAAAAAGAGAGACTGCTCGTAGTCTACATAGTTCACAACAAACACGTTTTTACCAACTGATCTCCTTTTTTTCCAGCAATTCTATTTTCGACCTCCTTGTCCTTTAGTTCCTGATGAAGTTTGCTCATCTCCTGGCTTTTACCGTCTATTTCCTCTTGTAGAGTCGTTATCTGTGATTGAAACTCTTCTGTTTCTTTTTGTCTCTCCTCTTGTAACACTTCCAGTTCGCGTTGACGTTCTGCCTGCAGATCTGCTAAACTTTGTTCGCTTCTTTCCTTCTCTGCTTTCAAGCTTTCCTATCAGTGACCATAAAAGGAGTTATTATGAAACCACTTGAACCAATCAGTGAATTAATCACGTCACCATTAAAATACCCAAGCAGACAAAGGGTCCTAAAAGCGCGGGAAAAGCTGTAAAGGGAGCCAAGCGCGCTAACGGAACTGAGTCTGAGTCCCCCCCTCCCCTTCCCCCCAAACAAGTTTAAGCGCGAGATAGAGAAGAGAAGTCGTTACGTCACGTTGCCATGGTAGCAAAAGGTCGGGATCTCAACAAACCGTGGTCCTGGCAGAAAAAAAATGGCTTGTATGACTTTCCTATGCAGGACCGCACTCAGGAACAAAACGGTAGCCAATACTTTTTCTCCAGCGTTCAACAATGCAAATGGCCGTCTCTGAGATCCAGAAAATTTGCTACCATGGTAACCTGACGTCACAATTCTTCTCTATTAACTGGTGACCAATCCAGAGTACTATGGCAAGTCACAGCTGGCTTTATATCTGCACTCATATTAAAGACAAGTTGTTCCTGCACGATGCGATAACGATTTAAACCCTACCTCGGTCTCCGTGAGCCTTCGCTCGAACCACCCACTTTTGCCCTCAGCAGACTGCAGTTTGCTCTTGGACTCTGCTAGCTTCTGTTGTGTTTCTTCCAGTTCCTTGCGTAGTTTCTGTGAAAAGACGATTAGTTAGAACAGAACAAACTATTTGGATATTTTAGTCTTTTCACTCTAAGTTTGACTTGACCGCACAATAACCGTACTAACCTTTTCTCCTGTTAGGTGCTCCCTCAGTTCGCTGAGCTCTTTCTGCGAGAAACAATAAAAAAAATAAGCTGATTACGAGCATTTCTCTCAGAGGCCGCTTGATATCGTTACCCATCACGTGATTAAATCCACAAGGCAAGCACTCTCTCGGCTCTTTTCTTCCGATATTGTTGGCTTGCAGGTGGGGTTGGGGGAACACAGTCTCCAAATTTGCCTCCCCCCGCCCCCCCCCGCCGCCCCCCAAGTCAAGACTGGAGATCGCCGAGAGAGACTGCTCGCACGTTACGATAGGTTTAAGAAAACATTCTAAGGGGCAAAGAGAAAATAACTCTTCTCCCTTTTTTCTTTGCAAATTTTCTCTCCCCTTTACCACAAAAGAATTCCTGGATCTAAGGTTACATTACATTAATCTAACCTTATGTTCTTCCTGAAGCTTGTCCATCTGCTGTTTGTAGTTCGTCTCCGCCGTCTGTTTGTCGATGGCCATCTCATCAACGAGATTCTTGCGGCTTTCAGCGACCTAAATATAACAAAAGCCAAGAGAAACTTACCTAAACTGAGGACCAAAGAATTGTGCCATTTGTTATTCAAAGTAAGTCTTTCGCTTGCATAAATATAAGCAAACACTGCTCTTGAATTCTAAAATTCGCATTGAGAAAAAAATACCTTGGTTATTTCTTGAAGAGAATCCTCCAGTTTATCCCTTTCAGCGGTTAGTTGTGAAATTTGCTCGTTCCATCCGTCAACAGCTGTGGTCTGTTCCTGTAGTGGCGTGCACCAAAAAAATCGCCATTCAGTAAATCTTATACGGCACAAAAGGGGCACCTTACATTGCTTTGACCAGTGCATCTTTGGAAACAGCCAGCTCCAGGCGACAGAAAGACACCCACGGTCAAAGGCGGGAAACTACACGCGAGGGAGTTCCTCCATCATGAATATGGGCTTAATTTTTGTGACGTGAACTACAGACTTGTGTGAGAGAGTAGGGAACATTGTTTGCATGTATACTTGCCTTCACGTGAGCTTTCAATTCGTCGACTTCCATTTCGAGCTCAGCGCAACGAGATTCTGTCGAAGAAACTTTGCCTTCCAACTGAGATATTAAATCCTTAACAATTGAAAACAAAAACAAAAACAAAAAATAAACGGATTAGTTAGTCAATCATTACCATCTTACACAGTGAAAGAGAACGCGGAGTAAAACTTCGTTTCATGTGTCGACCTGTGAAGGAAACATTAACCTTTAAGGCTCTTAGCACAGGGCCCATTTTCTGTAAGAAAAGTGAAAAGAAGTCACGACAGAACTTCGGAATAATGATCTACGCATTCAGTAAAAACTACTCAAGCATTTTACCTCAGATTCCTCCTGTTCTTCTCTTGCAGTTTTAACTCTCTACATAACCAAAGGAGAAAAGTTATAAACATACGTGCTGTGAAGAAAAATTCTTAAGTGTGCGAACTAATGTACATGCAACTACCACCAAGAAGTGTCTCAGCGTCCTACAGTTATGCTGTTTACTATGTTGTTTAGTCAGGGTTCGTACCCTTTTTTGAACAAAAACTTCAAGGACTTTACAAGGACTTTCAAGGACACATTTCGCATTTTTCAAGGACTCCATTCAGTGCCAACGAAGAATTTTCCTCTATGTCTTTTTATATCTACCACAACATGAGCAAATTTTATCCTGAAGGTCTTTCATATTAGGTCCATGAAAATCTCGGGTTGGAAAAAGTTAGCATCAAATTCAAACTTTTCAGCATTATCCCAATTTTCCTGTTACTTTCAAGGCCTTGAACTTTTTATTTCAAATTTCAAGGACTTTCAAGGACTTTCAAGGTGCGTGCGAACCCTGTTTAGTGGTCATGGTCTTTTAGACTGGGGGAAAACACTTCAAAGAGTGACCAATCCAAAAGAAAAAAACTCCTTACCTCCCTTAAAGATTGTACCTCAGCAACCAACGAAGAATTTTCCTGCCTGAGAAACATATATGGCGGTATGCGTTACGTTGGAGAATACCTTATAAACGGCGAATTCCGCCACTTTAGAAGCAAGAAAAAACTGGGTCGAGTTAACTTTCGCAAAGACCTCTGGGACTGTTACTAGTGGCGGGGAAAAAATTGGCCAATAGCTGACAGGCGCATGCTCAGTGAAGATCCCAGAAAGAACTGCGGGGCGCATTTCGGCTCCAGTTCCCGGACTCCAGTGACGAACTGTTTGCTTAGAACTGAATGTAAATTACGGGAAGTTCGACGTCGCAAGCCCGAAAATCAAAACAGGAATGGTTCGCCTAGCTGTTTTTGAATTCTACACTTTTTATAATTACCATTAGGCAGTGGAAACCAAACCTGCGAGAAAGAGGAGGGGAGAAGAGACTGGGACTGGTGGAAAAGGCATTGAAAGATCAGAGTGGTGCAAAAGAAGGAAGAGCACGAGCAAAAGAAGCTGACTATCAAAAACCTCATTTATTTCTCTAATATGGACGCACAAGTACCTGAGACTTGCGACAATCTGCTCCGTTTCTTCTGCAGACGAAGTGGCCTAAATACAAGGAAGCAAAAAAGAAATAGCTTGTCAATATATCAACACAGGCCTTCCATTCTCATTTTGACTTGCTGATAAAAACAAGAACACTTTAACTAATATTCGAGTTCTTCTTTCACCTGGTTCTGCTGGGCGGCCATGGTTTCTTCAAGTCCGTTGATTTTTCCTTCCGCCTCTCCCTTGAATTCCATGTATCGCTATCAAGTAAAAAAAATGAAAATAACTGATCGAAATGCATGGCCTGAGAAAATATCGTTCAGTAAATGGATGAGTTGCAATCGGTGCCTACATTTCAACTTAGATGAAGAGACACAATACGGATTATAAAGCAAAACTGAGCTCACCAGGGTTCTAGATATCTAAACTTTTCGGGAAAAGGACTGTCAATTGAATAATTATAGTAGATAATATTCTGTTAACAAAGAAAAATACATGTAGTAAAATAGCGATCGCATTGGTATAAATGCACACACCTGATTAGCTTCATTCAATGTATCTTGAAGCTTGGCCATTTGTTGAGTAAGGATCTGCACAAAAAAGAAATACTTAAGATTTAATTTCAATATTAGTGCAGCAGGACAGGTGAGGAAAGAAGACAGTAAACCTTGTGTGACGAGCGTGACAATAATTTTGTTTGAAACACCTTTTCCCCAAACTTCACTTACCTTTAAACAGATCTTTTTGTAAAAGACCAGAAAACCATAATGTTAAGTGAAGATCACGACAAAACACGCAAGTAATAGCCCTGTCTCGTTTGTCACACACAAACGTTTTGCCGTTGTCTTCTTCCTGCCGTCCTATTGCGTAAACTCACTATTATTAACTTCTCGCGCAGCTTCCATCCACACGCAAACTTACATTACATTCTATTAAAGCCTAACAGGTCCATGGTTTCCCAGCCAACTGCAGCCCCAACCAACTCGCCTTTCGCGTTAGAGATAACAGTAGCTTTGGACGAGTTTGCGTTGCTTCCTAGCTGACGAAATTCACTAAAAATTAAACAATTTGCAACAAGAAACGACTCTTTAAGTGACAATGGTGGCGAGAGTCAAGTTGGTTTATGGAAACGGCGAGGTGATAAAAGAGACGAAGTAGACTACCGTAATTTCACATTTAGGGTAACATGATTGAGACCTTCGAGGAAGTGAACGACTGCGAGTATGATATTTGACCCCGGAAAGCTTCATTGCACTTTTTTGGACCGAGAGAGTTGAGAGAGCAAAATGATAAATTTTCTAACATTTGATAACTTGTTTCTGCCACTGCGACATTCTCGCTAAAACTCGTAGCAGAATGACGACAATCACATTTTCCCGCCAAAATGATGCTGGCTCAGTAAATCTCGTCTTCGTCTTAGAATCTCAAGGTCTCTGATGAAGGCTAGGGTGCGACTTAAGCTGAGAGAGACCGGTAAGTTCGCAAGGCACAAGGTAACAGGCTTTTCATGCCAATCAACGTAACACTTCATTTATGCTATATCTTCACGTACCTCTATTTCCTGTTGTTTAGAGGCTTTTAAATCTTCCAGAGATTTCCTAAAACCAAAAATAGAAAAGGTGTGTTCAAAGGCAGCTATTTTCCGAGCTTGCGAAGTATTCAACAAATTCAACTTTTTCCAAGGAACAAACCGTGACAGTGGCACTGATCAACGACGTTATTCTCCCATTCCAGAAATTATAAGGTGAATGGGAACAAGCCTTTAGCGCAACGATTTCTGGGAACGTTTGGACAAGAGTTACTTGTGATTGGTTAATGGTTGCCATGAATACCATCGACCAATCATAACTAAGCTCGAGGTGCTCTTACTTGTTTTCTGAGTAGAGTTTCTCTTTCTCCTCTTGCAGTTGCACATAACTGACGAGAAAAAGATAAACATACAGCAGTGACCACTGGTATAAAACGTAAGTTGACAACTCTACTCAAAGTTTTACAACCTACCCGCTTAGACCGGCGCTCGACAAGGGGAAAAGAAAAACTGGGGTGTGTCGTAATGTTACTTCCACACGGTGATTTGCGGATTTGTCCCGCCTTTTCGAGTCGGTAGAACAATAACAAACAACTACGGTGAGTTTGTGCACCTTTTTAATTTTTGCATCGTCCTGCCGTGAGCTGCGGAACCTTCTGAAATCAGCATATGTTTAAACCACATGACAAACGTTTTCCTTCAAAATCACTACCACTCAAGAAAGGCATGAAATGACAGAACTTTGCAGAGAAGATTACACCTATTTTCACCTACCTTTCCTGTTTTCGCTTTATCTTTTCCGTTAACTGCAGAACATTAAACAAAGTACAGGAAGTTAATTCACAGCAAAAACCGAACAAAACATTTTGAATCATTTCGTCAACACACACCTTAGCAAGCTCTTGCTCCAACCTTGATATTTCCTGTTTGCTCGAGGTCTGGAAGACAATATTTGCACATCAGATGACAGTTTTCCCTTCGAAAATGGACACGAGGAAGTCCTCACACTTCAACGCTGTTTAAACTCGATTAATTTGTCAAATATAGCTAAAACGTCCAGCCCCTAAATTCTAAGGATCTGCATCCAAGTTCAAAAATAGGAGAGAACAATTCCTTGTCGCATGTATGTTCCGGCCTTCCACAATGCTGAACTCCAGAAGAGAGCATGTAATACTTACATCTTTACCTTGGGTCAAGAGAGTTTTTCCTCACGCGCGGCAGGTTGATTCGGGATCGGACGACACATTTTTGACCGCAAGGCCGAAGTCGCAAGAAAGAAACAAGCGCGTCAAAAATTGACCGTAACCGGTAACCGCGCGAGGAAAGTTTCTAGCACTCAGGAGTGACTGGAGTGACTTAGCCTATCCTTGTACGTGTACGTGTCTATAACCTGACCCTATAAACTTTCAAAAAGAGAAACTCTTAGACTCGCATTTGGAAAACATTTTAGGTTAACTTTTTAAAATAAATTCGACCCACCTCAGCTTCCTGTAGTTGTTCTTGTAGAAGTCGCTTTTCCTCTCGTTCTGTGTCAAGTTGCAATTGGAGACCAGCCATTTCTTTGACTTGCTTTTCAAGAGCTATATTTCTTATTTCAACCTGCTAACAAGATCAATGATTTAAGTTAAAGAAAAGGAAAATGGCGTCACTTAAACCAGTTGAGAAGTAATATCAAATGCTATTTGGTAACCGGTCAAGTCGCCCGAAAACAGAGTTAAGTCGCCCGCAATGCTGAGTCATGTCGCCCGAATTTTAACAGGTGAAGTGCACAGAGAAACAAATAAAGAGAGTGTGTAATATATCTCGTTCTATAAACTATCATGAGACGAAACAAGCGCAATGAATGTGTAACATAAATCGTTCTTCAAGCGATAATGAGGCGAAACAAGCGATATATAATGAGCCTTTGTGTGTTAGTAATACATCTCGCTCAGCTTTAACCCTTTATAAACAACGAAACAAGCGCGATAAATGAGTAATATAACTCGTTCTTTAATCTTCAATGAGACGAAAAAAGCACGATAAATGCGTAAAAAGGATGCTAGGATGTTGTTGAGTTTGATAAAATTTCGAGCCATATAACTCAGCATTTTGGGCGACTTGGCTAAACATTTAGGGCGAGATTGGACTTTCGGGCGACTTGCATTTGACAGCAAACAAAATAATTATAACTAGAGGATCTAACCTCTTGGCGTCGTTCACGTGGAGGACTTCTTATGACTGCTGCTCTACTGAGGAAATCTGCCGAATCAAACTATAGTTAACACATGTGTTCATCACAAAGTTGATTATTAAGACTGTTGAAAGCTTTGACTTTATCAAATACATAGTTTGACATAGAAGGCTCATGACTTACATACAACATTTACAACTAGAAAATTTGCAAAGATTGCGAAAATGACCATTTTGCTTCGATTGAGTCTACAGATTACTCAGAGTAAGAATTTTGATGCACAATTTAGCACCCCACCCCACTTACCGATACCCAGCTATGAATTCTCTTTTGCGTGGTAATATATCATAAATGAAGACACTAAAGCTTATGTGGTTGTAATAATTCTATTTATGGCCTTACCCTCAGATGAAGATAAAAGAGGAATAAAAGTTTCAGCAAGTTTTCTTTTTAAATTGTCTACTTCTTTTAAGAAGTCTCGACCTCCCAGTTTGAGTTCATTATCAACCGTAGATGCACTGTCTCCTGTTTCGTTACTATCTCTTTCACCATTAACGTCAGATTTTTCACTATTTGATTCATATGCTTCTGCAACGTCATGTCGATCATTGGTTTCTTGTTCATTTGACACATCACAAGTTCTACTACTACACATTTTCTCACAAAACACAGTTAGTTCTCTGTTCAGAATCTCATGAAATCTGTGCTCGTTATTCTCTAACTGTCCACCACTTTTGAGCTTCTGTTCGGTTTCACTTTCATGTTCTCCATTCTCTGGGGAATCTTCCAAACTGGATGTCGGATCATTTTGTATTGCCGATGAGTGACAGCTGTCATTAGTATCTTGATCAGAGAGTTTTTCACGTAACTGTAGTAGCTCGTTTTCATACTTCTCCTGAGAATCTGTTTCAAAAGCAATATAAAAGCATTATCGGTGTCATTGAAGTTCCAGAAAAAATCTGAGATAGAGCTCTTACTCAACCGATCATTGGTATAACTCCAGGGGAAATAGAAATTGTTTCAAATAATTATCGGGAGACTCAAAAAATCAAGGCAAAATATTTAGAGCTTTTAACTGAAAAAAAGAAGTCAGTTTTGATTTAAATTATCAGAAGCTTCAAGAAATTTGATTTCACTGCTCAGGGAACAAAAGCAATACCTTTCCTTGCTTAATGCCTCACCGTAAAGATAAAATTATATTTGCATTTGCATAATGCACTCTTGGAAATAATAATACATTGTCTGTCACTTGATAAAGATTCTGAGATGGAATCAAAAGCTTGTGTATGCAAATAAGTTTTCTATCCTGGGATTTGAAACCTTGCTAACTCTAAATACATGGTACAGATTTGGTGATAACTGCTATCCTCTAACTTCTACAAATTATTTTGATAAATTGTTAAAGCTTGTTGACAAGGACTTACTTGTCAGACTTTTCTGAAGAGCTGCATTTTCAGCTCTGAGTCGTCGTATTTCAGCCTCTGCCCCTGAATCCTGGCCACCATCTTTAGCTGCCACTTGCTTTTGAAGCTTTTCATTGTCATCATTTAACTGGTTCATTTTGAATAAGAAAGGTATTTAGATGATCAAGGCACATAATGGCAAACAGCACCAGCAGGGGTCAGTGGGGTAATAGAGGCAGGAAATATGATATGGATTAGATCAACATTATAGGAAGCTGCTCACCAACCGCTCCCCTGAGCCAACATTTTGCTCAAGGTGAGAACTTAGTGTCAATCTTCATTTAGGGGAGGGGTAGGATGGGTTTTCCTAGAATCTTACAATGACCAAATAATATAAGGTCAAATTTTTATCTGCAGTGAGAGCATACTTCTTTGAGAGACAGGTTAAGACACAACAGTTAAAACTAAAGAACAGTGTATGCAACTAATCGCAAAATTAAGTAATATTTCAGCAAACATTTGAGCTTCTTCTACATCTTAATATGGAGTTATAGCCTATCACATTTGCATATATATTAATTTCAAAATTCACATGATTACTTTCATAAATCTGTGGTAAAGTCTGTGATTAAAAGATTGATTCATTAATCAAGTGATTGACTGATTGATCAATATTATTCATTATTTGATCATCAGTAATCAAACTGACTGATTGTCTGAATGACTGTTATTAAATTTGATTGGTTGGTTGGTTAATTAATTGATTGATAAGTTGTTGAAGAGAGTGACTGATTAATTCTGGCATAAGTCTTTTGAGTGAGTTCTTCAATTTCATGCATTGTACAGCTCCACACTATGCATGCTGTTACGAGAGGCCCTCAGTGTTTAGAGGTAAGTTTCACATTACCTTACTTATTTCCTCAAGCAGAGTTTGGTTTTGAAGTTTGAAATTCTCTTCTTGTGTCTGAAACTGTCTTTGCAGGTTTTCATTTTCCTCCAAGAGCACTTGATATTCCTAAATGGTTAAAAAATATACTCATGTACATACTAGTAATAACCATAGGTTATGGAGTGCAGGCGGCAACGAAACGCTTTTGCTCCATCGCTGTGCTTTGCGTAAGTTTCACATAACAGGTAGCCAAAACACACGTGATCAGATTATGAAAGGTGGCAGATCCAAACACGCGTGATCAAATTGCATTCTGTACATTCCATTCATTCTTAGTGAAGTCCAAACGAATGCTGTCCACATACATACATACGTAATAACAACCTGGAGAATAGGATTGCCAGCTACTGTTATTGCCTGCAATTAATCTTCATTTACACCATTCAAGAGCACAACGCACAAATGACATCAGTTGAGTGACTAATTTGCAATGTTTGTGCAAATTTTGCCATGGTTGTCATGTAAATGTCAAAAGTCAGACAAACATGACATTTTAAGTAGGTGTACATGGTAACACAGTTTAACCCTTTATGTCCCGATAGTGACCAAAATCAATTTTCTCCTAAAATATCCAGTAATTGTCAAGAGATACAGTTAAGAGAATTAACAAATGATTACCAAAGCGAATACCTTGATCTGTTATTAAATTCTCTCAACTGATTCTTAAAGGAAATGTATGGAGATCAGTTTGGAGAATTTGTATGTTGATATTGGGACTTAAAGGGTTAAAACTTGCATGCTGTGGTTTGTTCATGTAATGTTTATAAACATACTGGATGGTTAATTTAAAGGATTATGCAAAAACATACCTTTCTGTTTTTGCTCCTGTTAATAATCTACAAAAATGGGATTAAAACATTCATCAACGTTTATCATAATATCAGTTAAGTTAAACCAATACAAATAGCCAACCTTTCTGGAGAGTTTTCTACTTTTCTTTAACCATACCTTGGTAGATTTCTGCAACTCCTTTTCCAAGTTAGTATATTTTTCTTGTAGTTGATCCAATTCTGATAAAAGAAAAGTAATCTTAACAGTAAAATATTTACCATGTAGAGCATGACTGTTTTTTTAACATCAAAATATAAAATTTTATTACAACTTCACGTATTGTACACTCATCACACTACTGTGATCGATTCGAATGCAAAAAAGATCGATGCTGTTCAATACTCTGAATACATCATCTGACTTTAAAAGGCGGATCACCTGTTAAAACCGTTCACTTTAATAATTGATCAAGCCTCGATTCAATAATAATAAAACAGCTGTGATATAATTCAGTGATCGATAGTTGAGCTAGTGCAAGCAGCATCCGCAGGTGGATAATTGACTCAAAACTAAGAAAACTCACCAAAAGTAACTATCCATGAAAAAGGAAATCGCCGAGTGCTAAACAGCTAAACGTCAACTTTCTACCTGACATTAAATTTTCTTGGAAATATTGGAATCAACACAAACCTGCCTGCTGTCTTTGGCAATTAGCTTCCAACTCGTAATTCAAGGTCCGCAGTTCAATCAGCTGTGTCTGTTACAAAAAGGGGAAAAAATTCAAGTTTCCACTTTAAATCAAAAGTTCAAGCTACTTTTTTGGCGGAATGTACCTGCATTCGAGTGAACTCCTCGTCGGATAGAGACGACGCCATTTTGGAAAATGACCACTTCCTCTTACCCAGCCAATCTCGTTCCCAGGGCTCTCTCTATTCTTCCGTCTGGGAAGGTTCGTCCCCAGTTTCCTTAGAAAACAGGCCCTTCTCCCGCCGAGTTCAAAAAGGACGCCAAGTACAAACCCTTTCTTGTCGAAATGTGTGACACGAGAATTCAATGGCTTCGCACCTAGCCTCAAAAAGGAAAAAAGGACGCCAAGTACAAACCCTTTCATTGTCCAAATGTGTGACACGAGAATTCAATGGCTTCGCACTTAGCCTCGCTTTAACCCTATTCAGACCGCCAGGGGGGAAGTCCCCCCACCCCCCCCCCTCACTAAAAAAGTTGAATAACTTCAAAACCATTAAAGCTAACTATGACCACCAAAATTAGCGACTTTCCCTAAAAATTATCTGAGGACAGTCATCGTGTTGTTGACAGTCCGAAATATCCCTAATTTCAAGGTCGACATTGACGTTACCATGGCAACCGAGTTTTGACGGCCCTGTTTTCCAAAATTTCTATTTTGTTTTCTTCGAAATAGGTTTTTACATATGAATTCTATTTTACTAGTAGGATTACTATTATATTACACATAAATTAGCATTATTTTATCAAAGTTATTCAGGCTTTTTAGCGACTAGTATTTTGTTTTAACAAAAAACCGGACGAAGATCTATTTTGTTTTCTTCAAATCAGAAAATATAAAGAACAAGAACGAGGTTTTTTAAAACAACGTATATTGTTTTTATAACAAATTTCTATTTTTCACTAGTAGGATTACTAATATATATAGATGGAGAATGTCGCAATAAAAGGGAGAGGCAAATGACGTACAAAACAAAAACTGGAAAGGAAAAATACTAAGGATATGGATTAGCATTATTTTTTATTTAGGCAAAGTTATTCAGGCTTTTTGAGTCGACTAGTATTTTGATGTCAGTAGTTTTAGAGAATCTCTGACTAGTTTGAAAAAAAATGAGTGAATCTCGACCAAATGACAGATGCTGAGTTTAAAATTCAGCAGTGTTCATTTTTCTCAGAATCGCATATTTTGCAGATTCTTTTGCTTCCTAAGCATCCTTTTATACTCAGATCAAGTTTTCTATTAAAAATTCCTCGATTTATACGCGTTTAAAGTAGAATGGAATACCTTTCAATAATTCAAAATGGCGGGTGCTTCCAGTTCCTTTTTAGCACCAAATGACGTCATCATGAAATTACTGCTACTGTTCAAAGGTTATTTATTTATTAACCAACTTCTTGATTTTGTCAAACACCTTACTATTTAAGTATTTTTTAGGTTAATGTGTACTTTGAGAGAATTTATATTCTGCCAATAAATTCGACAATATGACGTCGTTCTGTCGATCAAGTTATTCGGAGTAGTTGGAAATGATGAGTACATTATTCTGTGAAAGTAATTGTGCACAAGTTGTGCTAAAATATTGAGTCACTCGGAAAATCGTGTCCAGCCTATCGAGCTCCACAGCGAAAGAAAAGTGCGCACGGCAATTATCCCGGGGGGGACTCCGCACATGAAAGGGGTGGGGATGCTCGTCGGAAATTTTGAATTAAATCCCTAAAAGAGACCGATCTGGGTGTGGCCGAAGCGTTTTTTTTTTTACCCCTAAAAGAGACCATGTTAAAACACAGACAATACACATATTATTACATTTTTTCACCTGCAACCTTAAACGAACCCTTCGCGGCTAAATATGATGGCGTTTTGCCCAGAACACCCTAAGTGAGACCAAAATCCGAAATTTACACCCCTAAGCGAGACGACGAACATCCCCACCCCTTAAAAATGCGGAGTCCCTCCCCGGGGCAATTATGTCAGTTTTAAGGTTTACGAAGTCTAGAAACACGGTCTGACGACCTTTTTATCCCCTAATAAGAAATAACGTTACCCAGAATACGGTTAGAGACAGCAGGGAAAACCCCGACAAACAACAAACTGGAATGTTAAACAGGTTAGCCTATTTAACATACAGTAAGTGCTCAGCTCAATTACATGATTATATAATTTCATCGATTCAAGAATTTCACTGATGTTAAAAAATTTCCCAGTGGGTTTCTTCTCCCCTTCTTAACGGAGCGTTTAGTTGGAACGAAATATTTGTTTTCTCAGTAGGGCAGATATTACGGCGATCGCAAAAAGGTTTTTCTAAGACTTTTATCGGCTATTTTTGTGCCTTACTTCCTTAGCTTTGATTTTGTTATTATGGCTTCGATTTTCTTCCACGATTTCTTTTAGAAACGAAAGAAAGCTCCATAAAATTGCATGGTAATCGAAAAGGTTCAGACCATATATCGCGTGTGAATTTCCACTTTATCCTCGGAGTAAACACGGACCGTCGAAGATTACTTTAATTTTCCTGACTTTCGCCGCGGCTCAAAACTTACACTTCTTATACTTCTAACTGCATCGTGTTTGATCTGAATTATTTTTGTAATTCGTACCAAGTTTGTTCTTTTTTTCAAGTCGGGTTACAAAGATTTTCAAAAAACGTGCCCAACGTTGAATATTTGCGCCTAAACCGTGCCTAAACCGTACCAAAACTGTGCCCAAACTGTGCCTAAAATGTTCCTAAAGTGTGCCTAATCTGTGCCTTTGCATGTTTTTTCCCCTTGCTTTGGCACAAAAACCGTGCCTTTTCTTGAGCGCGAATCGTGCATAAGGCACGGTGTTACGTTCGTATCCCCCTGGGCCCGGGGGGGGTACTTTAGGAATTTCTGGGTGGGGATGTGCCGCTGGGACCCTGGAACCCTTAACCTATACCAGAGCTAGTTCAGCTGAATTTTGCTACCCTATACTAGAGTAAACTCCCCAGATCCCCCTATCCTAGAGTAGCTGTTTTCCAGAAACTACCGAAGTCACTAGCACAGTCTAACCAAAACAAAACCTTGTACCACAATCCCTAGTCTAGATAAAATCTTCAACCAACTGATCAGTTTCCTGAAGAATGAGACCGTATTCTAGACCCTGCAAACGCTCTGATTTATATACCCTATTCTAGAGTAAACTGCTTGAAAACCATACCCTTCACAGCGGTACATACCTATATAGCCCAGTGCAAAAGTTAATTGCAAAATACGTATTCGACTGCTATGAGAAAAGAAGATCATTAGTTCTTTAGATTAACTTTGATTATAGTTCCACTAGTGTGTAATGTGTGTTATGATTTTAAATTATTTGGATAAAGTCGATGTACATGCATAGGACAGTTTAAGACTCTAAATAAAGCATTGTCTAAGCATTGTCTATATGGCAGTACCCCCCCTCCTCCCGCCGGGGCTCGTGCACACCAGTAGCGTCCGTCAAGCCTTATTTCAACAACTATACTTATATCCCGCTCAAAATTATAACCAAACTAAGAAATATCAGTTTAAGTTCCCCCGAAAAGAAGAAAAAAAAAGAAGAAACAAAACCTAGAAAAGATAGAATTCTCTCTTGGTCTAAACCCATTCAGTTAAGTTTGTGGGCGCCACATTGTTCCGGAGCGCCATCACGCTCAAGTGATGATAAATTTTAGTACCTAATTTTCTGTTTTCGTATAGTAATCGAAATAAGTGTTATAGGCCTTGATCGTACTTTCTCGTAGCTTGTCAATAGTCCGAGGAGCAAGTTTAGCCGTCACAAATTCAGTATCTGGAATCCAGCCATTGAAAAGATTGTTTGATAACCCCAGAACTTCGCAAGCTCTTTCTGGTTCATTCTCATCTGGCACCGCTAGGTAGAAATTACCACCATTGTAAGCCCTGACCATGCCATCTTCTCCCTCAGGCTTTGAAGAGTGGGTGATGTTTCTCTGAAAAATGATGTAAGCTTGCTTGCCATACCAATCAATCTCTTTAATTGGCGAGTTCAGCAAAACGTAACTCCGACTAACAACTGGCCAAGGAGTAACAACTCGCATGTAGACCACATTCTCACCATTAGGGTAGGTCTTCAAAAGTTCATGGTCCACAAAAGTGTCGTCCCACTTTCTTCTGACTTCTATGTGCGCTGGCTGTATCATCTCCAACCACGTCTTGGCGGGTATTGGCATCTTCCACTTGAAAAGCAACTTTATTGGGACCTCCTCGCCTGGGAATGTTTTAACCCAATACTGAGACACAGAGTCGTCCAGCGAGGCAAGGCATTTTGACATTGAGACGACTGGCACAGGAATTTTCTCTTGCATTAACTCACAAAGGTACTCGTCTGTTTTCTTCCAGCCACCTTTGCCCAGATCATCTTTGAACCGCTTGGCTTTATCGACTTCTTCCTCGTAATCAAAAGATGGATTATCATTTTCTGACGGCATGATGATCGAATCCGAACGAAGTGACAGCACACGGTAGCTGCTTATGAACAAATTAAGCTCGCTGGTGGCAAAACCTCTCCTAATACGCTTGCTTGTTAAATAAAAACAATATATATTTTTTTTTAATGAAAGAGTCTGACATTTTTCATGAACACTTACTCAGTTACTTAGATACTACGGGTTATACACGCGTAAAAAGGAGACTTTTTAAAAGAAGTATAGCTACCGTAAGGTTACGTATTTTCATTTTACTTATAGTTTAAACATAAATGATTGGTCAAAATTGGTGATTTTCTTAGAATGATGTTTAGTCCCGCAAAGTCACTTTTGATGAATTAATTAGCCATGGTTGACTTTTGTCTGTTGGTGGTCCGATATATCATTTAAATTGTGCCGGATTTTTGTCGAAACTCTGTGTCACTATGGGGAAATGTTTCAGCTATCATGTCCACCAAGAAGAGGAGGGAGAGCTCTGGCAAAAAAAAACAAACAAAAACAAACAAACAAACAAGCAAACAAAAAAACATCGTCTCAAGCCAATCTCTACCCCAGAGCTCTTCTACGCTTGAGTCAGACGCATAAGCACTGGAGTCGAGAATGGTTTTAAACATGACAATTGCGCGTGAACAGTGCATTGTACACACAATTTATGCGAAAAAGGTGATGATCGCATTTTTGGCATAAAATTTGGAGGGGGCCTTTTGAAGAGCCATGCCTCATCAAAGACCCGGAGATGAAGAAATTCCATTTTTGTTGCAGCCATTTTAGTAAGGAAGCAGATGGCAAAAAACGCCTTTCGCTTAAGTTTTCTGGGTTCAGCCTCGTTTCCATGTTGGAGGATCGGAAGCCTCGTTCTCGGTTCATTACAAATAAAGCCGAGTGGCTCTGGGAACGAGAATGGGAGAGCCTAAAATGAACCTTCCTTTGCAGGTCCTGACAGTCAAAATCCTTCGACTTCAAGGTGGAAACAGCATAATTTTGAATCTGGGTGGTAAAACGAAAATTTTAAGCTATGTTTGCTGCTTCTACCAAAAGAGTTTAGCGAAAAAGAAAAATAAGCCCTTTCTGAGAAAGTGCCTCCTGACTATTTTGCGTTATGTTTCATACTGTTTCTTTCCATTTCAGAGTTTTCCCCAAATTCGTGCCTTGCTTATGTTCCGACAAAGGTCGACGTGCATCACCGAAATTCCAAAAGGTAGTACCCTGGGAGTCTTTACATCAAGCACGCATTATCATCAAAAGGCTATTTTCCCGTTGAAACTCCGGAGATGAAACTTGATTATAACGGCCCTGGGGCCCGTTTCTCGAAAGTCCCGGTAACTTTTCGGGCCCGAAATCAAATATTCAAATCGAAATATAAAGAATAAGAGCGCGGGTCCTGGCTAGCAGACTACTCCATTTTGTTTCTTTAACTGATAGTTTTATCATGTTAGATGCAAAACTGTTGAAACCTCGATCTTTAATGGCAACCGAGACAGCTTACCGGGCCCGTCAATTATCGGGACTTTCGAGAAACGGGCCCCTGATCCTGTAATTTTATCCATATCGCGATCGGGGAGAAGCTCCGCCCTAGACTTTCTCTGAGTCTTTCGCTTTTCATTTCCGGTTCCTGTAGTCGGCCCCAGCGTGAAGCTCCGCTCTCTCGCCCTCTTTTGCCGCAGAAAACATGAAAAAATCTACCGCTCGCGAAATGCTTGAGCTCGACTTGTAGGCAAGTCTCTAGCCTGAGTATCAGGCGTTTCTGGGGAAAAGGGGAAAGACGGAAGCGAAAAAGGGAGAGAGCTTCCCCTCCCCCCTCCCCCATCTAAAATCTCCTCTCCCCTAGCCCCTTAGGAAGGCCTGATACTCAGGCTAGCAAGTCTCTGCAAGTCAAGTTCTGCCTCAGCATCCCCCGCATGTGTGGCTCACGGGTAACCTCGTTTTGAGGTTGATTTCCGGTTTATAGGACTCCAATATGGCCGGCACGATAAGATTTTTGGATTTCTTGGAAATGTAGAATCAATGAAAAGGTGTTTCTTGTTTCTTTCGCCGTAAATCGTCGAAGATAAACTTGAGAAGGCAATCTTCTTGCGAAGATCTATTGAATTTTAATTATGTTAACCGATTATTGTATTTTAACGATGTGACCTAAAAATTTACTTATAATTTTGTTGTGATCACACGTGGCCGATTTGAACATCAGCTTATTTCTATCACTTAGGAGGTAAGTATGGTGCAAGTTTTATCAAGCAGCGCTGATTACCCAACAGAATTTTAAACCCTCTTCAAGCCCTAGGATTTCAAAACAATTTTTCGGTTCAGCGCCCATAGATCATGGGAAACCAAAAGTAACAATTTTTTGGTTCCGTGAAAATTCATAGGAACCCATCCCCTAAATGTTCTTAATTTTTCATAGTCATTTTTTTTTTCTTGGTTCTGGAAGCCATAAACCAGTAATGTATAAAGCTTTTTGCTTTCGTTACCGTGAAATCCTAGGGCCTGCTCTTCAGTAGCTTAGAAAATAAATGCTTGTACAAGCAATCAGTACCAGTGGCTACCCTTAACCCCCCCCCGCCCCGCGCCCCTGTCCTCGCAGCCACGCACCAGATCTTTGAACCCATGCAGCTTAGCAGTGATGATGATGATGATGATGATGTCTGTATTTTTATTCTTACAACAGAGCAAATACAATGCCTTCACCTAACAATGAATACAAGAAGAATGTCAGCAAACAGTTCTGGACGTACCTGTCCTCACATCGTCTCAGGCCATCGACCAAAATGGAGCTCAGAGGGGTCTATTATGAACAATTCAAGAAAACCCTTGATCGCTCGTCCCCCTCGGTCCCATTCTCCACCATTTTATTCCAACTAAAAAGGATGAAAAAGCTTGTGAAATGCAAGGATGGTTCAGATAACTTATTGTACTTTGAGCGCAAAGGCCGTCGGTTAGTGTTGGCTGTGGATCAGTCCTTTGTTCATCGGAAGCAAAGGAATGCATTAAAAGAAAAAGGAGAGAACGAAAAAGATGTTGATGAAGCAGAAACTGAGAATTTTGAGGAAGTTGATGACTCAGCGTACGAACTGAAGAAGATATTTCTTGATCACAAGTAGGGAGAGAAAACAGCTAATAAATTATTTTCCTTTTTTCTTTATTTTTTGTGAGAAAAATAATGAAGATCAAATAATTATGTTTTAGTAATGGTAACAGGACTGAGTGGAGTCCAATTCGGTCTGTAATCATACGAGTGATTAACAAAATCAGACGACCGCGTAGCGGGAGTCTGATTTGTTTAATCACGAGTATGATTACAGACCGAATTGGACGACACGAAGTTCTGTTACCAATTAATCATAACTTTAACAAAATTTGTGATATAAAAGGCTATTTTTTAAATCAAAACACAAGAAATTCGAAATTTTGTTTTGCTAGCAGTGAAAAAAAAGCCATTTAAGCGCGCGTGGTGGCGCGTACTGTCCAATTACTTAGGCATGACGCGTACTGTCCTATTAAACTGTCCAATTAAGGCTGAAATCAGGGCAGTTGAAAGCCAATCAGATTTGACAATTTTGTTATAGTTATGATTAGTATAGGTAATAGCATAATTAGTAATGGTATTTGGTATTAATACCACGAGTGATATTTCAAAATTGTTATACGTAATTTCCCGAGCCGGTAGGCGAATGAAATTTGAGACAATTTTGAAATATCACGAGTGGTATTTATGCCAAATATCACGTACAAATTATGCTATTATTTGTTTATACTACTACCCGCAAAAGGTTTGTAATTTTCACATGTAGGTATTTCAAATTAAGCTGAAATACCACTGCTCTAAGGCGATCAAATTGTAGAAATTTCTCATGTAGTAGTATAAACTCCATAACAATCAAACCTCTGTCAATGTTTAAAACCAAACGGACACAACAGCCACCTCTCTATATAATAATTATATGGACATGTGGTTGGTGTGTCCGCATTTGGTTTGAACATTAACAGTTGTCTGATTGTCATAGAAGTAATACAATATTTATCATTATTGTTGTGGCTCAATTTTGTTCTTGATTTAAATTCTACTTTCCTTTGTTTTAAACCTATCACACAAATACCATGCCCCAAAACAAGGAAGATCAAATAAATGGGATGAAAAGGATGAATAGGAATAGGATGAAATAAGGCCATAGCATCCACATTACAGAGTTGTCTGTATTATAGGAGAAGTATGCCTTGTATTCTATTAAGTTTGGTGTCTTCAGGATTGACAGAACTGTCTGTATAATTATGGAGGTATGTTCTTTCTAAATGAGGTGTTGCCATGCAGGTAAGAACAGATTTGACTGACCACAAAAATGCTGTCAAAATTGCTATCAAAGTAAACTGTAATCTTCAGCCATTTTCTTTTTAGCTGTTACTAAATAGGGTAATTCTCTGACATGTCAAATGACAACTTGTTTGATTTTGTTTTACAGAGAATCTCTAATTCAAGACAAGAATGGAATTCGAATTTGCTCTGATTTAGATAGGGAACATGGACACATTGACTTTGGAAAAATGAATTTAACAGAAAGTGCAAAAATCACGGAAATCATGGTGAACAATGCAGGTTCAAGCACAGTTAAACTTAAACGATTTGCTGCCCTAGATTCTGTTGGAGACTTCATGCTTTCTGATAAGCACAACGTTACCATGAGTGGGCCAAAACACAAGGTTATCAGACTTCCCGCAGGAAAAGCGTACACAATACAAGCGCTCTTCAAACCTAGCAGCCTTGGAGATTTCAAACAGCCAATCGTGTTTGAGTTTGAAGAAGAATCAACGGCTAAAGCGTACCACATTGCACGGTTTTTAACTGGGCAAGGAACTAGTGATGATGTAGAGGGAATCCTGCCAACGCAAAAATATCAGCATCCAAAACCATTTGCAAGGGTTGTTGATCCAGATGTGCTTGTGATTGGTGGAGTGCCACCTCCTAGGTAAACCACATGTATATACCTACTTACATTTATAACATTGACCACACTTGCTAGTTACTGTTGACTTAATGTCAAATAATAATGATGATGATGAAAGGTTTATTGGCAACAAGTCTTACACATCTTTGCATTAACAATGAATTTAAATGTGTTGACCTGTATTATTGATTTTAAATTGTTAATACAAAGAAGCTAATGTATATAAGTTGTGGTTAAATTTATCCTCGGTTCCAATTTCATTTTCCTTTGTTTCTTCATACTTTACCGCACCCCACAAAAGGAAAAAAATTTGAACCAAGGATAATATTGATCCATGATATTATCCAGTAATATATTATAACATTGTTATCAATATTTTTATATTTGAGTCATAGGAATAGATTGTCAGTTTTGGCCAAAAATATTGGTTTAGTATTGATTGATAAAACTACACCTTGTAACTGAACTAATAATATTACAAAAACTGAACTCATAAATTTAAAACCTTAGTGGGCATAACCTGTGGGTAAATATGTCAAATTCACACATTGTTTCATTAAAAAGGCAACTTAGAAAAAAGATCTAGGAATTCACCAGCTTTCACCAAGAGCATTTTCCGGCTATCCTTCGATTACTGTAAAATTCCGAAAATAATTCCCGGGGCTTATATTTTTCACAGGCCCTTTTTGAGGGGCTTATTTTTGGAGGGGCTTATATATGGAGGGGCTTATCTACGGAGGGAAATTTGCGTTTCAAAATTGATTGGGCTAGCCTTATAGTTAGAAGGAAATTTACCGTTTTTGCTTTGTTTTATTTTGTAATTTGAGGGCAATTTTCCAAGTACATCAAGCCCTTGGGGGCTTATATTTGAAGGGGCGATTTAACGGAGGGTTTTTTGCGTTACCGGTTTGCGGGGCTTATATTTGGAGGGGCTTATACATGGAGGGGCTTATTTTCGGAATTTTACGATAACTGCTAAAAGTACACTGATGTACATCTTTTTTCTGTAGGCCTGACAATAAGCTGCAGTACATAGTTCCACTCAGTAACTACCATATTCCTCTCCAATTACGCTTGGGCTTAAATCAAGGCAAACCTGGTGAGGAGTTAACAGCACTCCTGGAGTCAGACACAGCTTTACCAACGCCAGAATATTCAAAAAAACTTGCTGCACTTCTTCACATTGAGGAGCTGCAGATGGAGGTTGATATTCGTCATTATGACTTGGAAGATGTAACTCTTGCACCAGAAGGCGAATTTCTTGTCTTAAAGGTAACTTGATAACGTTGAGGACAGAATGGTTTGTAAAATGTTGAATTGTTTATTGTTGGCCATACAAAATTTTGTGATGCTTTGATTTTTAATGAATCAGAAGTCAAATCTTTCTCAGGCAGACAGGTTTTCATTGGAGTCAGCATAAGAGCTCTTACTGACCTATTGACAACTGAAAATTGCAGTCAAAAGCAAAAGCTTTTATTATATGTATGTTAAGAATCAGTCAGGGTCATACGAATCGGAACATTTATTTTTCTTGCCACTCTTCTAATGACTCCATCATTTACAATCTGGTGTAAACCAGAATGTTGGAGTTAGAAGTAAAATGGAAGAATAAATCAATCACAATGCTTTGTGATTGCCTCAGTTTGGCTTCTGTTTGCAACTCTGACAATCTATTTTTCACTAGATCATATGTGACAGAGATTTGGAAGGCATTTGGTTGGTTTTGTACACTCTTCCAGGAATGAAGGCTCGAATAGCTTACCTTCAAACTCTTTTCTGATTGCAGGTTCCTGGTTTGGCTGAAAACCGCCCATCAGTAATCAGAGGTGATCAAATCCGGGTGAGAATGAAAGACAGGACAGGGCAACTTGAAAAGGAAGCGTATCAGGGATTTGTTTATGTTGTCGGACTCAGTGAAGTTCGCCTTCGTTTTTCACCAAGGTATAAGAAAAACTTATAAGTGTTTTAAGCCTACTTAAAAGAGTGATTAAGAACCAACCCTGTTGCTTAACCTTGCAATTAAACACATTATCAATTGATGGCTGTGGGGAAGTGAGGGAGCCATGAGGAGGCAGTGAATGTAACCATGACAACCCTGTGAGCAGCAACTACCAGGCATCTCCACACTCAGAACCTCAAGGGAGAGTTTTGCAGGTAAAAATAACAGCATGAGAAGGCAACTTGAGAGAAAGGATTGACCTCAGCAAAAGTACTGTAAAATTACTAGGTCGAGCCAGCTGCAAATGCCCAAAGACCTTTCCCAGATATGATTATTAATCAAAATGGCTGGCCAGCATAGTTTGGCGTTGAACCCTTTAAGTCCCAATATCCACATGTAAATTTGGCCATGTGATCTCCATCATTTCCTTGAAGGATTAGTTAAGAGAATTTGATAAAAGATCAAGGCATGTCCTCCTTGGTGATCATTTTATTAATTCACTTAACCTATACCCTTGATAATGTATGAAAATGTTAGGAGAAAATTAAATTTAGCCAAGTAAAAGTACTGCTTTTGTTTTCTCCTGGGCAGTTTCCATAAGAAGTACATCAAAGGAATGAAATTGAACGTAAGATTCACATTTAACCGCACACCTTTAAAACTGATGCACCGTGCACTGGAAATTGGATACAAAGTGATTGAAGAGGACAGGCTCAGTTCATTAAAGCTTCAGATTGGTACCCACTTGGATCCACTCTTAGATAAAGAAGCCCAAGATCTGAGGTAAGAGAAAAGTTGTCAGTGCAGAAGTGGTTGTCAAGAATCGTTCACAATCTATTTCATGCCAAATTGTTTCCCAAAGGAGAAAGTTTGCCTCATAATGCGAAAACCTATGAATCGTAATTATTTTTTTGTAACTCAAAAGCATTATTTCCTGTCTCATATTTCCCATGTTTCCTGGAAATCAGTGAAGAATCACTTAATCTAGCAGTGACAGACAGAAAAACATGTAATTCACCTTAATTCTACTTTCACATCATGTGCATGACTGTTTTGCGGATTACACACTTAAATTATAGAATCATGTAAAGGATCTTTGCTTAGTAAGGCTGCCATGTAGTCTTTTTATAACTCTGGGTTTTTGCCTTGGGCAGTAATTCAAGAACTTTGCTTTCAGATTTTATAATAAAAAACTTCACGACAACAAAGAACAAGAACAGGCAGTGAAAAACATCGTCGCTGGAACATCAAGACCAGTTCCTTACTTGGTGTTTGGTCCACCTGGGACTGGGAAGACAGTTACTATAGTAGAGGCCATTAAGCAGGTAAGATATCTCATAAACTACATAACCGAGTAGCTTTTGTGCTAAGCCCATCTGTGGAGAACCAGGGTTAGCCAATTAGGATGGGATAGTAGCAAAATCCTTGCAGCAAGGCTGTACTCTAGCAGTGTCTTGTGGTCCCTGCTGCCTAACCCTACCTTCCAGCTGGAAAGAAAAAAAATCCAAGTCTTTCTTAGAAATCATATGCGGGCATCTGGGATTTCACAGACATTTTTCTTAGAGCACAGCCTTGCTTCGTAGGCTTCTCTCCTGCTGGCCCCTTTTAAAGAGAACCCTGGAAACGACGTTGTACTACAAGAACAATGAGATCTTTTCTTACAGTAACTTGTTTTTGTTTGTTTGTTTTAACAAGGTATTGAAGATGTTTCCTGAGAGCCGTGTTCTTGCTTGTGCTCCATCCAACAGTGCGGCAGATTTAATTTTACAGCGAGTCATGGAACATACAGTCATTCCAAAGTCACAGATGATTAGGCTAAATGCTTTTGGAAGATCAATTTTATCCCTTCCAAGAGACATTAAGGTATTTTTATGCTATTAGATCAAAATCGAGTTTGGACTGCAGTTTACTGGACTGCATTCTAGTTTAATCTAATCCACTTTTGCTATTTCATGCCTTTTCTTGGTTGCCTTGTATGTTTGTGCTTGTATCAGTCAACTCTATGGCAAATTTGAACATGCAGAAATTGTTTGACGCTGAATGTTAGATTGCTGAAAAAGTTTAATTTCATCTACCCATTCGAAAATTTGAACTTCATACTGATTAAATAGCACCGGTTGAAAGTTGACTACTGAAGAGGGGTCATTTGAATGGATTTCATCCACATAATCAAAAGTTTGAACAAAGTAATGAAAAGTACCGCGGAAAAGTACTTCTGAAGAGGTTTCATTGATTCGAATGGTCACACGTCACATTATTTTATCAACATGCCTTTACAACTGACACTGAAAACCAAACCTTTTTAAAGTGATTATTTCACAAGTCAATGATCTTCTGGATTGGGCTGTTGTATTTTGTTTTAGGATGTTTCCAGTATCACCTATGGTGGCGACTTCTACTTTCCTTCAAAACAAGAAATCATGGACAAGCGTCTTGTCGTGTGCACGCTAATCACTGCTGGAAGGTGAGTTTACAATCTGATTTATTGACTTATTAATTAGTACTGCATGATTATATGCACAACACTTTCACTGCTATTTACTCGTCAAATCATGCAGGTCTATCCTTAATGTTTCATTGCACAGCTTTCATTTTAAGAGCTGAGTTTTTACCTAAGGATAGTCAATGTTAAGTGACCCTTCCAACTTATAGCAGAGCGCCATGCGTGCGCGAGCGGAGCCCTAAAGCTAAGAAAGTTTGGTTATCAATTTTGGTAGTCACGTGGTCGTGCGTCCGCCCGTCCGTTCACACCAGTGTTGCGACTGTGATATCCATGTTGTGGTCAACTGACAGCTGTCAAAACAGGGTGGTTGCTGACCAGTATCACATGGCCGTATTGGGGGTCAGTTTTCAACCCATCAAGGTTACGTGTTTTTTTGAAGTTATCCGCTAGATTTCAACTGATCGCAGGCTCAACTCCAAATGGATTTCTTTGCAATGGTTACAAGTTTATTGCTTGAAGTAAATTATGAATTTATTAGCGGGAACTTTGCCCGTAAGCCTTGGCTAAATCTAATTTATATAAAAGGGGGTTTCGATAGAGTGTTGGAAGCAATTTTGCGATTATAATCAACGTGAAGGAACGTTATTAACTTTGAAAAACCTGCGGTGTTTGGTCAAAGGTATAGTTTTTAGAGGCGAATATTGTTTTACGCCAGAATACATCAGTAGTCTAGCGAGTATTAAGTATGTTTTTTCAGACTGGTATCAGGAGAGATTCCCGAACGACACTTTACTCATGTGTTCATTGATGAGGCCGGCCACTCCCTACAACCTGAATGCTTGGTCCCCCTGGCAGGCATGTTTAGTACCGAGACTCCAGGAGGGGGACAGTTAGTTCTGGCAGGAGATCCCCAGCAACTTGGTCCAGTGTTGCGATCACCAGTCGCAATCAAGGTACAGCCATGTATAGCCATATATTCGAGGTATAACCGCCTTAGTGGATTTAAAAAGAGCATGCTCGTCTGCGTAAGGCTTTGTCTACACTTAACCAGATAGCTGTTGTGCCAATATGAAAACCTTATCAGAGATGGCTTTCGCTCACGCGCGAGAACGGTGATTTCGACGCAGATTCGGTAACGGAGCGAAACTACAGGCGAGGTAGCGTGAAAATGTGAACACTGTTGAGCGTCACAGATTGAATAGGTTTCTGTGCCGCTCTTTTCATGTCGGCATGAAAAACTAGCGTCGTATAGAGCAGAGATAGCCTCAAAGTTCCCTTATAGCGGAGCTCTCGCCCAGCGCAGCACCATGGGTAAGAAAATTTGGTTATCTATGCATCCAAGAAATTTTGGTTCTGACAGAATCGTCCGTGCCTACGTCCGTACGTACGTCCACCCCTTCACGTAAGCCGGGGTGAAATTTCGCATTTGAAGCACCCTCTCGTTTTAGCCCTGACTCGCAGAGAGAAAAACAACATCAAAGCCGAGTCTTTTTTCGATTACATTTTAATGTTTACACTGACGTTGATAACAGAGAAAGATAAAAAAACAAAAGAGACGAATTTCGTCGGAAGAAAAACATGAAAATCTTATAGCGGCGATGAGAAAATGAGAAATGCTAGCGGCAACCAGGGTTGCCTTTTTTCCCTTTTCACTCACTGCTTGTTAACGGTTTTGAAAAAATGCAACGTCATGAGCTGTGACACGCGCGAATATCCTCAACTATCTATCTTCATTTTGTGAACAACTGTTAATTGTTTGTGATTAGTATGGCCTTGGCATATCTCTTTTGGAGTGGATGATGACTAAAGTACCTTTCTATGGACGAATACCCCAAGATGAGGAGGATGAGCTTGGAGATTACAATCCTTTGATCATTACCAAGCTTCTGAAGAACTACAGATCGCATCCGTGTATTTTGGAGGTGAGGTGACTGTGTTAAAAGGGATCATGTAAGTAGACTACTACTATGAAAAGCCAAGAAACGTACCGTGACTAATCTAAAGCCTCCGGACCCCCCACCCCACCCTCCTTCCTTCCGATCCACACCACTGGCACTGCCACATCCCCGAGTTGTAACCTACCAACATATCCTCAATCAAAATAAGCTCCCCTTTTACAGCCTTTCAGTTTACCACCCCAACCTTCCCTACCCTACTCTTCTCCAACAAACTGCAATCTTAACTAGTCTCCTTTTGCGATTCATTCGGATAAGCGAAAATTCTGCTTTATTACGAATGCGCGCTCGGTTTGTGCTGCTCTATGTATAATTCAAGCTGCTTTACGTATAATAGAATACAAGTTATGGCGTGTTTACCGATCAGTAGTTTTCCTCAGATAAGCGGCCCCACATTATCCAAAGAGAATATGGGGATGCTTTGAGAACTTAACGCAATTTTACTTAGCTTAAATGTCGAGTCTGTCTGAGCTTAAAGGGGCTGTGTCACGGCAGTCCAGTTCATTTTGTTTAATTTTGCCAATTACTCGCCCTCACTCGCTATGGAACTTAAATTAGGCAAAGAAATTACATGTAAATGACAAAGTTAGAGATTCGAGACAAACAAATATGTCTCCTGAGCATTATTTTGGAAGTTGCAAGCAGCAGAGATAAACTTTGAAAAACTGTTAGGCTGAACAGTTTTCAAAAACCCCAATTTCAATCCGTTACAATCTTCTTCAATTTTGCCCATCCGTGGCATCTGTTGTATCTGTTGTGTTATTTTAACCTTCCTTTAATGTTTTAAGCGGTTATTTTTATGTTTCTCTTGGATTAACAGGCATTTTGTATTACCTAATTTGGCTGAATTTCGTGACACAGTTTGGTTCTTGATGTTGATATTTTTCATTCTTCCAGCTTCCTAATGAGATGTTCTATGACGATGAATTAGAAGCTTGCGCCGACAAACTAAAGAGAGAATCTTTATATAACTGGAGCCGCCTCCCGAACAAGGAATTCCCGATCATTTTTGATGACGTAAAAGGTCGCGATATGCGCGAGGAGAAAAGCCCGTCGTTCTTTAACCCCGAAGAAGCAGCTGTGGTTGTACAGTATGTCAAAGACTTGAAAGATGCAAGAGGAATCAAGGTGCAGCCTTCTGAGATTGGAGTTATTTCTCCCTACAGGAAACAGGTGCGTGGAGGGAATATTATTCGAGCAGAGGCACTGGGTTGTTCAGTGTACTGGCAAGCTAATAAGTAACCTTGCGAGGTTGCTTATGTTCGCAGGCTGGGTGAAAAACTGTGTGTTTCATAAGGTCAGTGTTAATCAATCAATCACTTTAATGAATTTCAGGTTCAGAAAATAAGAATTCTGCTCAACAAGGCTAACATTACGGATGTGAAGGTTGGCTCAGTTGAGGAATTTCAAGGTCAGGAAAGAAGAGTAATAATCATCTCCACTGTCCGGAGCAGCCAAGAGTTTCTACAACTTGACGCACAGTTCAAACTGGGATTCCTGAAAAATCCGAAGGTTTGTTCACATTTGCCTAGACCCTAGGCCTCATTATTCCGCGCGGCAAAAGCTTTTTGGGTCACGTGGTTCCGAAGTGAATTGACCGAGAGGGCCTGGGAAAACGCCGTACAGGGACTAGGCAATGTTTGCATAAGAATACCAGTACTTTTCTCTCTCCCCGCCGCGTGCCGCCTTTTCTTGCGTGGGGTGATTTTCACGCGCGCTCGCGTTTCGCTCCCTCTACTATCCCTGAGGAAAAATGGGGACTACTCGTAGTCTAAGAGATGTCTAGCAATCCCACATTTCTGGTAGTCCTCAAATTTTGTGTTTTGGACGCCACCCCTGCTCTCCCTCTTTAGCTAGCTGAGTGGGTTAATTAGCCCGGTCGAGCAGTCGACGGATGTTTGTGGTATCCTTCGTGACATGCTGAAAACTGGACGTGAATGGATGATTGAAATTGTTATTGAAACGGGTTTGAAGTAAATTGTTGTATTTTGTGTTCCTCATATTTACGTCATTAAATCCGGCAACTTTAGTAGATGGAAAAGAACTCGATGCACTATCCGAAATAATAGATCCGTATTCTTGCCATGGTAATGTGCTACAATAAGCTTACAGTGCAGGTTTAAACTGGGAACTCCCTCACGTTAGCTTTAACTGTTGGCAAGTCACAGTTAGGCCCGGTCCAGCCTCCGAACGTTTCATTATCCGGACCTAATACATTGAATCAGGTGCATTGGAGTGGCTCAGCCGTTCTTTCCGCCCAGCCCAGCCGGAAATTTTGACTTTGGAGCGACTTTGGAACAGCTTGATTTAAACGCCGAACTTAACATGTGCCCAACGAACCTAATGCATAAATTATCGCAGCGTATTTTGCAATCAGTTTGACCGAAATGAGTATTTTTCTCCTTGTGATTTTAGTTCGACAGGAATTAAGATCGGCGTCTGAATCAATTCAGGCGCTCTAAATAATTTCCATTAATGTAGGAGCTGCTTGTAAGGTTTGTCTTCATTGGTCGCAAAAAGCAATAACACATCATTGTTTATCATTATTTCCCATTGTTTCACGGTTAGGGTATCGAACCAATTGGCTTTTAGAGTTAGGAGAGCTGCTACATGACCGATAATTTGGGTCGGCCTTATTTCGAATTAGGTTCGGCTCATAAGAAGATCGGCGTCTAGACCGGGGGCTTAGTTTTCTCAGTAGTAAACTTCTCATGTCTTATTTATTGTAATCAAACTAGTTTTATTTATCTCTTTACAGCGATTTAATGTTGCAATCACAAGAGCACAAGCCTTACTGATTGTGGTGGGAAATCCTCACGTTCTTTGTAAAGATCGACACTGGAACAGGTAAAAAAAATTAACTCTACCGTTCACTAGGGCGAACAGTGAAAGACTTCGGGGGAAGTAATTCCTACTGTGAAGCACACTGTCACAAGTCAAACGTTTCCCTATTTCTCATATGAGACATTCCTCTCCCCTCCCATCCCCTCCCCTCCCCTCCCTCTCCTTTCCGTTCTTCATTTTCTCTCTCTTACAGAGACATGTAAATAAAAGTATTGCAGACTCCTCCTCCCTCCGCCCCGCAAGGGGACAGAGACCAGCGCCCCGAACTATTAACATTCCCACCAAGAAATGTCTATCCCAAAAGCACTTTTCTAACAACCCTTCCCCTCCCGCTCCCTTCACCTCTTCTAGTCCTCGCCTCTTCATAGTCATCTTTTCGTTTTTAGTTTTGATATTGTATTCGTGGTGTTGACTTGCAGATTTATTCAATTTTGCATTGATTGCCGAGGCTACCGTGGCTGCGATTTCAAGCCTGCAGCCGAAGTTGATCAAGATCTCATTGATCGGCTAAAGCGCGTTCATTTGGATTCTAAAGAAGCATTAGATGCTTTGGAGACTATTGTCGACGAACAACCCGCATGGAACAGAGATGAAGATTACTGACCCTTTGAACAGCTCCTGTATTTAACTTAAGTTTTGAGCAATGCTGAAAAACAAATATCAAGCAAGCTAAATTCATGCCCAGTTGCTTTCATTTGCAAGTCATGCTCAGAGGCTTTCATTTGAATGGTCACATTTAAGGATTTCATCCACAGACTCAAACGTTTGCCCCATCTTGTGCAGCGTAATAGACAGCACTACAGGAAAGAACCACTCAGAAATTTAATTTGAGTGGTCACACTTTAGGATTTTATCTACAGACTCAAAAGTCACTGAAAAGTTGCAACCACCTTGTGCAGCGCAATAAACAGTACCAAAGGAAAGTGCTGCACAGTAGTGACTGTCATATCATTGCTAACAATTTGAAACATTTGATCTACGGACTCAAAGATTGGAACTACCTTATGTAAGACAAAAAAAATAGAGAATATTCCCCTCTCTCCGGATTTACGCCTGTTTTACATCTAGAGTTCGCCTGGAACACACTAAAAAGCTAATGGAATGAGAACAACTTTCAGTGATTTTTCATAGAAAAACGAAATTGTAAGTGATTTATTTGACCAATTGCAATCCACGAAGACAAGTCAATGGACCACTTAAAACTCAGAGCACATGCATGCTGCGGGAGCCAACGGCGGGAAAACGCAAGGGAGAGTTAGTCACGTGAATGACCTTGGATTGAGTCTGGTTGCTTGACAAAGTCGCGCAAGATTTTGTAGTCAATCATAGAGCTTGGCACTTTATGCAGAACCCAAGGAATCGTGAAATTACATTTTATCTTTAATTTAAAACCCTTTAATTATAGACAAGCCTTTGTTTTTCTCTAACAGAAGATAGCATGGTCACTTTTGGGACTACACATTTGCCGAATTTTAAACAGGACCGCGTCTTTTCCTGAGTCTCAAACATCTGTTTTAAAGCAAAGTTTTAAGTGTATCAAGATGGGTGAATTTAAATTCAATATCCTCATTTTAACTTTTAAATAGTTACTCGAGTTTGGAATTTTTCATTATTTTTACAACACGCAACCCCTTTGAAAAGCGTGATATAGAGCCTTATACATGTATTTACTGCGTACTATTTTAAAGTGATAAAATTATTTGAAAACATTTTGTAAGTGTATTTGTTTCGCAGTAATAAATTATCACCACAACATTATAGGACGTGTATTTTGTGGTATTATTATTATCATTATCATCATCATCATCATCATTGTTTTTATGATTATGATTATGATTATGATTATAATTATTGTCGATGGAGAAACACAGTTTTCAACCACGTAAGGCGGTAGGTCTTTTTTTCTTACAAAAACTCGCAGTTTGATGGGAAAGTATAACCTGAGAGTTATGAAAAAGACTACCCAAGTGAAAGTTATATGGGACTCCTTCCCTCATCCCTTTTCCTGTCCGAGTACCTTGCGGGACGGATGTCGCTAACAGACCAGACCCTTAAGGAACGAATTTGGAAGTGAGAGGGCACGAGATTAGCATTCCTGATGGCGTAATCAAATGTACCGATATAGCCTAGCCTATTCCTGTGGAAGGTTCCATTGGTACCCTCCCTTCTCCCCCGCAAAATAAAATGCACTTTATTTCAGTGTCAATGTGTTTAGCACGAAAGTACTAATTCATCATCAAGTCTCATCGCGCCAGTAGGCGCCTATATAAGGCCTCCAAAAGTACTAATTGGGGACACTATTTTTACGTCTCCTACGGGACCGCCATTTTATGTGAAGGAAGTACCTTGATTTCGCAGTTATTTTAGGACCCTGAGTATTGGTCTGGCCCCGCAATCGAACTGGCGACCTCCCGCTCTGTAGTCAAGCGCTCTGCCGACCAAGCAGTTATTCGAAACTGAAAGTTTAGGAACAGGTATTTAGAATGGTTCCATTTAAAAATTTTTAAAGATTTTCTATAAAACACCGATAATCCTGGGCAGTCGGAGACTGAGCACGAGGGCCGAAGGGCTCTGGGGACTCTTTTTTATTCTGGGCACTCTGAGTCGACAAATCATAATGGCGGCCTCAAAAAAATTCAAGGAATCCATTCCGCCATTTGATTTGTCGAGCTTGCAATCCCTTTCTCAGAACGAATGGGGACGAGAATGACGAGTACCGAGAAAAATCATTCGTTTCCAATCCCTTTCGAAATGAATGCACGCGGCTTTCCTGGGTATCAGTATGTAAAATCAACATGGCGGCTTTCCTGTGGGCTAGAAGACTTAACCAATCTTCTTTCTTAGGGTGTTTTCTGTCTAATCTCTCCTTTGTATCCGAAAGCCGTAGTTTTTTTAGGTTAGGTCTGTATGCTGGAGATCTCAAAAGTAGAAAACAGGGGCTTCTTCGACGAGATTTTTCAACTGAAGAGGTGAGTGTAAATTTTGTAAGGTTTCGATGCGGTCCCATGTCACATTGATCAGTACCAGTGCTGGAATGTGAAACTACGTTATTATATTGATCTCCCAAGAGATCGCTTTCCCATCTACGGGATGGATTATTCCACTAATGTTGGGGTACAAAGAAATCTTTGGGGAGGGAAGGGGGGGTTCAAGAGCCATTTCTGAAGGAGTAGCTATTACGGTACCTTTGATCAATCAACAGCAACCCCCTGTCCCTCGAATAGCAATGGCGTTTTTCAGGTTTCCTTTTTCCGTGTCCGAAGAAGGGAATACAAAATGTCAAATGTCCGCATGCAGGTTCGTGGGGGGTGGGGGGGAGGTTAGTGACGGATATTGAAATTAATTTTTTGTGTGTCCTCCTACTCCAATTCCAATTAATGGAATGGCTCATTTCTTAGTAATTAAATAAATTTCTATCCCAAGGAGTGCTTTATAACTTTGTCCCTACATCAGATATTCTTAATCAAAAACAAAATTTGGGGACAGGGATTTGCTCTAGGAGACACCTCTGGTGACCAATAGTCCTGCTTTCTATTTGCAGCAGAGTGATGTAGATAGGCGAGTCATGATTACATTAAAAAGGGAAGAAACTGATGGTCAAGCATTGTCAGAGCTGCATGAAAAGGATCTTCTTGATTACTTTTCCTCTTATGGAAAAATTCAGCATGTAAATTGGATCCGAGACAGGGCAACTAACGCTGTCAAGGGCTATGGATTTGTCACGTTTTACGACACAGATTCATTTAAGGAGGCCGTGAAAAGAAAGCGGCATACACTGGGTGGAAGACAAGTTAATGTGTTTCCAGCTACCGAAAGGGAGAAAAACTCCAGCATTCAAAGAAGGAAGATTGTAGTTAAGCGACATAGAGGATGGAAAGGAGAAATGGATTTAACAAGGATACAGGATTACTTCTCAAAGTTTGGAGAGATAGAGAATGTCGATGCAAAAAACCTGCAAATCAAAGGATACATGCATATCACTTTTAAAAATGAAGAAAGTGTGGAAAGTATTTTATTGGATAATCAGCATGACATTGATGGTGAGATGATGTTTGTGTTGAGAACACACAGTTCTGATCAGCAATGGAATCAGTGGCGATTAGAGAAAGAGCTGATCCATAAATTAAAGTTCCTAAAGAATAAGGAAGGTCTCGAAGTTAATGAGAGGATGGGAACTCATGTAACAGTTGTGATTCCCAAAAAGTTTAAGCATTGTATCAATGAAGAAAGTTTAGAAGAGCACTTCTCTTCTTATGGAGAAATTGAGAAAGCATTTATCCTGCGTAATGAAGTCACGATGGAATCAAAAGGATGTGGGATGGTTACATTTAAAGACTCCCATGTTGTAGAAGAGATCCTTGCAGCTGGAAAACATAAGATAGATGATGTTGAAATTTTTGTGAAGAAGTCGTTGATTGATGACGAGTAAGCTTAAGATGTTACTGTACTTTTAAAGAGCAAATGGCATCTTCCTTTGCTCAGTTCTTTTTAGCAAACGTCGTAGCAAGAAATTTAGTAGCATTCAAAATTCGGTGAAAGGGGAAAGGCTGTCTTCGTTAAGAAGCAACAGTGATTCTGGTTTTATCATCTGAATATTGTGAGTGTAAATGCTAAGGCTATTTTTTGAGTAAATTTTTTTAATCTTACATGTTGTTCAAAACATCACCTTATAAAACAAATTTCAAGGAAATACAATATTTTTTTGAATAGATTGTTTTGTTATATACAGATTAATCTAAGAAAGCATTGTGCCTTCTTTACCTGTTTTAAAGTAGTTGCTATGATGTTGGTAATATATCTTTTCCGAAATTCTTTCTACCTATTGATATATTTATAAATTAATGTTAATGTTTTTTTTTTCTTGTGGTGAGTCAAAGAATAATACAATTTATTAAGGGTATTACATGATCAACAATAACCACTATACTGGCACTCTGAATTCTCAGTTGCCAAACAGTCTTCCAAAAGGTAGACATCCTAGTAAGATGTGGACAAGATGAACATCTGAAAATCACAAGAGGTGAAATGTGATGTCTGTGTATAAGGGGTGAGCAATGCAAGGCATAATAGTGGAAGTAACTTTTTGCCACTATAATTTTCCTCATATCTTATAGACTTTCTTAAAGTCCTTCTCTTCTCATTTCCGGTTCTGGCAGTAGGCCCCGACGCAAAGGACTAGCCTGTGAACACCGGAAATGCATCTGTGTTCGCAGGCTAAAACAAGTCAATCTCCTGCTCTCTCACTCATGTTTGTGGCAGAAAACATAAAAAAAATGTCCTGCTTTCACTTCGTGCTGGAGGAAAACTTTGAGCTCGACTTATCGGCAAGTCTACATACCTTACAGCTTTTGTCTTCTTGCCCTTGCCCTAGCTATTTCGTTTAAAAGCTTTTTAATTTTTGCTCTTATGCAGACATTATACATGTATGCCTCTTAGCATATTTAAGTGTGCTTGTCATGCAGGCCAAAGACACTGTTGCAAGATGTACACCTTTGTAAGGTAGAAACTCCGTTCAATCTTTCTTGTACTAAAGCTGCTCAAAAAATGTTCCCAGTGCTAACTGGAGCTCTTTAAGAACCGAGATCATAGATCCAGGATCTCCAGGGTTACTTCTGTTTGTGGATTTAACAACATGTAGGACTTCAGTTGTCATGTCCTTGATTTCCTTGAGCTCATCTGTGCAGGCTTTGACTTTCATTTCTTTATCTTTGTTTTTGTTCGCTGTAAATACATAACACACAATAACAAATCAGCTAGATTTAACTCTTTCACTCTGAGAGGGCTCCATTTAAACTAGCTCTGCTAAATGGGATGCCCCTGGATAAATATTGAAATAGAATAAAATAAAAAATAAAGAGTGTGTTATGAAGACTTGTGACCTGACTTTTGAGTTTGTGGACAATGTTTTTATGTATTATGTGAATGTAGTTTCACTTGTTACCCCTTGGCTTGAGCGTAATGAGTTTGAAGACATAAAGTCATCATACGCGCACCCAAAGAATATTACTTTGTGGGAACAACCAATCAAAAGTTTCCGAAATGTTTCCTTCCGCCCGCTTAACCAATCAGAACTCTTCATGCCAGTTTTCAATTGTGATCCTGTTTATACGTTCATACGAAAATCCCTTCATTTGCTTGAATCAATGATTATCAGATCGCATCCTGAAACGAGATTCAGGCCTGATTTCCTTCGTATGCTGGCCTTATTGCCTGACAGAGGTTGTACAAGTCACAGTACTCACCTTTTGATGTACGGCGAATGATGACTGCGACTTTCTTTAAGACAACATGTATAATGCCACTCGCCATTTCAACGTGACTGTCAGGAAAACAAAAAAACAACGAAAAGTTTCTTCAACCAGAATGCACTTTGTTTAATAGGGTACATCACTGCAATCATAGTTTGCAGTTTTCCCTACAGGTGATATGGCTCTTTTTCGGGACCTATTTGTAACCTTGCCGTGGCGCAAGTGCCAGTCAATCTGACTTAAATCAAAGGCCAAATACAACGCCTGTTCGAGAAAAAGTAATGCACGTTTTTCTTCTTTCTTTTTCTCTCTTGCATTGTTTCAGTTTGTTGTCCTATTTTTCTCATATTTCGTTACGCGCACGTTATAGTCACCAGCCGCATCATTATGGAGGAATTAAGGCACGATATTTCTACCGTGTAGACCCGAAAAAGTTTTGGGTATGCATTAACTACAAAGTCTGAACCAGTCAAATAGTATTTACCTGTACTCCCAAATACAGTTTTAAGTGTTTTGTTTATGTTTAGCCTTCTATGAAGTTATGAGTTCTAGCCGTTGATTTATACCGACCATAAATACCGTAATACAGGATAAAAGCATAGACTAGTGGTACTTGTTGAATAAAAGCTAAATTATATTAAACCTGGCGTGATGTTGCGCAGAAATGAATCCTTTAAGCTTTGGAAGGACTAGCACAAAGAGATCCAGAGACCACATTGAGCTGTTGAAGAAAACAGAGGAGAGTTCGTTATTTCTATGCAGGAGCGATGCAGGAGGGGTTGATTAGGGAAGACGTTCGAGAGAGGTGATTAAGGGTCATTCAAGTCGTTCATATCTCATAAAAGTGCCTACCATAATTTTTGAAACAGAAGATATTGAAAATTAGCCTGGTTCATTTCGAAGAATTTACATTCTTAAACGACTTTTCCCCATTCAGAAGTAAAGGGTAATGGGGGCAGACTTTCGGCGCAACGATTTCTGGGATTATTTGGGTGGGCAAGCGTAGCCCACGTTCGATATATCAAAATTCTAACATGAATCCGAGGCTTTAGGGTCAAAATTGCAAATTTTTCTAAGACTCCAGTGTCTCGCAATTCCCATAAAAGACTGGAGCTCAAAGAAAACCAAGCCAAATATAGAAAAATGACCAGAAAGCCTCAGAGCCGGTGAGAATCTTAATATATCGAACGTGGGCTATTACTTGTGACTGGATTATGTCGTTTATAGTTGCCTTGAATGCCATCGACCAATGATAACTAACGCTTGTCCAGCCAACGATGTCAGACATCACAGCTGCGCCCAAAGCTTGTACCCATTACAAAAATATACGCATTAATAACAAAACAGCAAAAACAAAAGCGACTTCCTTTTGTACCCATTCTCTCTCAGGAGAGTTTCTAGAGTGGGGAATTTTAATTCAATTGTTCTCACCAGCTGCTGGGTAACTGTTGAAGTATGTTTAGGAACAGTGCATAGTCACGTGCTTCTTGTGAATATAGAGAAGTCTCTTGTTCAACATTTGTCATCCCAGTCAAATTAATGCAGGCCTTTATGGCGTCTATTGGCTTTCCGCCATTCCACAGCTCATGAACATGAAGGATTATCTGAGGAAGGTGTTCAAGTCTATCATTAGAAGGATTTTCACACCATCATTTAGCTTGAATAGGTTATGGGGCTATGGATTGGGGCGATGATGATACTGTTGAAGAAGTGTGTAATTTTGATGGGGATGATGACTTTGGCAATGATAATGATAACGATAATGATGATGATGATGATGATGATGATGATGGTGATGATGACGATGATGATGATAGCTCTGGTTGTGGTGGCGGTGATTGACTTACATTTGTGCTAAAAATTACCGAGGAATGTCTCTTACCCAGGTCCTTCTTGATAGGGAATCGTAAACGTCTCGATGGTGACTTAGCATGTTCTCAAACAATACATCATCCTACAAGTTAAAACATACTGCTGTTAAACTCCAAAGAAAAATTAAAAAGCAATGTGAAAAGATGTGTCTACTTCCTAAACAGAAATCATGGGATAGCTCAACCCGTGCTCAAGTTTATACGGTTTTCGCACCGGTTCAACACGAAACTGCAAAGATAATTTGCATCCATGCCATTTCTAGACTCCTGCATACACCTTGCGCTCCAAAAAAAAAAAGACTGGAAGTTGAAGACATGGCAATATAACCTCATAATTCGCTGTGAGAAATTCTAATTTTAAAGGGAACAAAAATGTTCCTGTAAATACAGTCTTTCGAGGACTGGACCAAAAGCTAACTATGTCTCCATAAAAATAGTTTAAAACCACGGTAATTATTTACTGAAGTCACTAACCTCTGATACCACTGGGCAAGATGACGATCGAAATTGTTTTGTCATAGTGTTACAAGACAACGTAGAGGAATGTGAGCTACGCAAATTTCTTTCCTGGGTCTCCAAGGGACTCCAATGCTTTCTCTCGGAAGCCTGTGATTCAGATACAGTCCTTTTATAAAGAAACCTTCGAAGAAAGGAGGGTTCATTACCAAAAGAACTCTTTTCATCTGCTATCAAGCGTTCAGTGTTTGTTAGATCTACATAAGACACAACTGAACCGAACATTTTAGACGGAACATTCGGATCTTCTTCAGAATCTTTCGGATTGAAATCATTGGAGTCTTCAGATGGTGTCCTATCGGGACACATTTTTACGTCCGTTTGAGTTTTGTTCTTATTTTCCTTTTCTTTGGAATTGCCATGTGACGCCCGCGATCCTAACTGTAGCGTCTGATTGATCAAAGCAAGATTTTCATCCCGTCCTTGGAGAGCTTGTTCGTATGTTGTCATGTGGATTCCAAATCCGGATGAGACATCGTTACATCGCTGAATATTATTCTCTGTGTTTACAAGTGAGTGGTGGGGAAAAAGTTCATTGTCACTGGAATGATATTCATGCCCTTTTTCTGGTATAAAATCCCCACCCTTGTTTTGAGACTTAAGTTCATTCAATTCATCTGACGAGTGAGAGCCGCTCCGCATTAATCCGCCTTCATAACTTGATTCTAGCGAGTCTAACAACGTTCTTTCCAGGAATTCCTCAAACTGGGAATCATTCTTAGATTCCACATCAGCATCTTCTTGGCTTCTTGAGCAAATCTCAGAGTCCTTGTCTAACAGGGGAGAATCATTGATTTTCGGCGATTCAAAAATTTCAGTCGGAAATGAGCGTGAATATTTCCAGACCTTACTAAAACTGGGGCTTTTCACTTCTTCTCGACCCATGTTACCATTTAGGTCTTCGTAGCAACAATTTACCGTTTCCTTTTCCGCTAGTTTGTTTTTAGCCTTAAGAACTATTTCGGCGACAAATTTTATTGCAATATCTTTGGTCGTCTCCTTGACACATCTCGAAAACGCCACTTCACATATCTTTCCAACAATCGTACTAGCAAACGTTTGCAGACTACGCGCTCCATGAGCACCAAAAGGCTCTATTGAAAAGGAGTCTGATCCGGACAAGTTTGATGAACTTTGCCTCTCCATTTCGATTGATCCAAAATGATTTATGGCCCTGCCTCTACTGTTTGATGTTTCACATTCTCTGTTTCCAACCTTTGAAGAATCGTTCTCCTCTGTTGACTTTTTGGACACATAAAAACCAACAAAGGAGTCACTGGCCGAAACGTCACTGGAAGAGTACCAGTCAGGTTGGTTACTTTGCACGCATTTAGGATCTACCCTGTGAGAGCTTTCGCCTTTTTCCCTTTTGCACGATACCAAATTTACGTCATGCTTTCTTCTTTCTTGACAATTCTTTGTATGCAGAGGCCTGATTAAATTTCTCTCAAAATCTGGGTTTTGCTCGTCAGTGTTAGACTTCCTCTTGTCTTTTTCTTTGCCCTTTCTTGTCAGAGAACACTTGATAGGCATGCTTTTATCTTGACCTTTTCTCTTTTCTTTTTCGTTAGCACTTGTTTTGCGCAAGAACTGTGGACGAGACAGCACAGGTGTAGCTAAAATGCCCGCTTTGGAGACCTGGGACTGAGCCTGGATACCAAGTAGATTCGACCGTTCTCGACATTCTTGTGTACTATTTTCCGTATCAGAACAGTACCCTGTTGAAAAAACAAAACAAAACAACAATAACAACACCAACAAAAAACATTACCTCTTTGTCGTTTCAACGGTTAATTCGAAATGCAATTACAAAATACGTTCCACACTTTTTTTCTACATTCTTTATATGCCATTTTCCAAGAGCTGATTACTGTGTGCTATTAATCGGTGTGAATTAATTATATTTCTATGGAGTGATTGTTAACCCTTATATAAGCTATATAGGTATGAGCCGCCCCATTGGGTAGGGTTTTTGCGCCGTTTTGGTATAAAACGAGTATACACTTTGCCTATTTTGGTCTGGAATCGGGTATGGTTTTCGAGGGAACTAAAGGAGTGTATGAACGTTTTTTATAGTTTCCCATCCAAAGGAGTAAGAAAGAAAGAGTAATATGCGAACTCGAATTTTTTTTGTTTGTTAATTTTTTCTTTATTTTTTTTGCACAAGCACCACTTCATCTATACCAATAAACTACTACTACAGGTACACAAAATACACTCCCTACTATGCATAAATAATGACTGATACAAAGACTGTTTAGGTACAATTACTACTACAAAATAGGATGGCTTCGAGGAATTTTTTTTGTTTGCGCTCTAATCTAAGTAATGACAACATAATTTCTACCTAAAGGATAGGCCTGAAAAACGCGGTATGGATTTTAGAGGTCTGGTCTGAAAACGGGTGAGGAAAATTACATTATTTGGTCTGAAATAGGGTCAGGATTTGGCACACCCACACCAAGAATTACCAGGAGTACCCTCCGGGTGTTAACAAACTCATGTTGTTAATTTGGTAATACACACGACTCCCGATAATTTTAACCTTCAAGGGAAATAGAAAAATTTCGTGTTACCGGGAGTTCGAGTTATCGACGGTAAAATTATATAGAAAACGATCTGAAGGGAAATGAAAATTGCTTCGAGCTCGAGTTAGCGAGAGGTTCGAGTTATAGAGGGTTCGAGTTGCCGTGAGTCGATTTTATATACCTCGTGAAGTTTGTAGTCCTCTTGATAAGTTAATCCTGGTTTCTTCTTTCCTGGAAAAAAATTTAAGAAGAATCTTGGGATGAGAGAGATGTATTGACTTTTCACCCGGTCACACAGTATTGGGGTTAAATATTTCACATCATTTGTATACCTGACCGTGTCCGTTAGAATATTTGCAAGTACTATGACACCCTAGCAAGTACCCTCTCTGACTAAGAAAGCCAGCAAAAACATGAGGTACACCAGAAAAGCGGAGATCCTGGCAACAAACCTTTTCATTGTTTTTCCAGGCCGTATGCAGCTCAACCAATTGGCACCTAATTCGTTTTTCTCTTCATCCTTCATGTCTTTAATTTTTTTCAAGTTGATAAGCTTCAGGGTCTTCGGCAAAACTTGGTCTTTGAGAAAGTCCAACAGCTCTTTACACTGTTTAGCGGGACGACCATTCCTCACGCTTACATTTAGCGTAGCCAGGGCGGGTCCGTGAGGTTTATGGTACTTTTTGCACATCTCTCGAATTTGTAAGTTGAGCTGGAGCCCATCTCCGTCATTTTCGTCTCCAGCCTGGTTAACGTGAGAGTTAATAATAATAATAATCAATAATAATAATAATAATAATAATAATAATGATGATGATGAATAATGATAACTAGTAATAATGATAATAACGGGTAATAACCCGAGGTTGCGAAGTGCGGGCGACAACGATCGCAGGTCAAAGCGCTTTTGGTCCATCGCTGTGCTTTGCGTAAGTTTCACGTGAGAGATAGTCAAAACACGCGTGACCAGATTACGCGTGATAATAGGTCCAAACGCGCGTGATCAAATTGCGCTATGTGCGTTCCATTCATTCTTGGTGGAAGTCCAAACAAATACATGAGACGCATGCGTAATAACAACCTAGAGATTAGGATTGCGGGCTCCTCCTGTCGCCCGTAATAATTATAATTGGTGAAAAGGAGAATGAGTTCAAGAGTATTAGGAGCTTAAAAGAGAAACTGCAAGGATGTGGGACATGAGAACTGTGCAGGTGATACCGATTGTTGTAGGATCATTGGAAAGTGTGACAAAGAACTTGGATAAGTGGCTGGAAAAGTTGGACAAAAGAATTAGTATTTCATTGTTTTTAAACTACGCTACTAGAAACAGCAAGGATTTTAAGAAAAGTTTTGGAGTTACATGGGAAAGGAGGTGAACTCTAAGGGGCCTTTGGTCATGGGTTATGACTCGCTTCCTTAGCAAGTTAATCGGTATGAGATAAGCCAATGTACAAAGCAAGAAATAATAATAATAATAATAATAATAATAGTAATAATAATAATAAACTCATGGATTTACGTTTATCTTTTTTGTATGAACGTTCGGATGACACTACTAAGAAAACTGGGCTGTGTTAGTAAAAAAAAAACGAAATTTAACGGACGACTTATGAAATCAGTATTGAACAAAAGTGAACCGCGTATTGAATATTCATATCAATTCAGCATTTAGCAATTAACTTACAAGACAAGTCGAATTGAAATGACGCTAAATTCAGTTTGAGATTTTATATTAAATGAAATAAGGCAGGTACTATTTAGTGCTCTGCATAAGGATATTCGTCCCGTTTGGGCTAATGAACTGAAGAAAAAAATTCCCTCCTCTTTGGCCGCCACAACAAGGTTCTCAACGGGAGAGAAATACTTGACGCCAATTTCATTTGAATGAATAACATGAAAATGTACAAAGTAAGATGTAAATCTTATATCTTGCGAACCTTTAACGCCAGTCTAATCCTACCAATTTCGTTTTTTTTCCTCTTTCAAGCAACAGCAAAGGGAATTTTTTTTGTCCTTTTTACAGTGTCTACAGGTTGCATGTAAAGACGATTTCAAAATTAAAATGTATGTAGCAAAATATTTACGAATCTTTTAGTGTATTTCACGGAAAAAGCATAGATTAGAATAACGTCTTCGGCGCCTTGCGAAGGCTCGCTTCGACTTGCTACCTGGAAATTATTTAGTACAGACCTCGATTTGGGCATCACAGCTAAATTTCTTGCCTATAAGAGAAATTGCTGGCATTTTGGTTTCGTTATCTGATTCCCCTTTCGTCTTCTCCGCCGAAGCCAAGCAACAAACAAATTTTCTAAGCTTCGTTTCCGACAATAGCAGGTGAACTCTGTAGGCGCTAAATACATTAGCATAAATTATTTATAATTTTTGACACGTTGTCAGACGCCTAAACCGCTTTTTCCTATTGGAAGAAATCAAGGCGAGTTGGTCTTTAGCTGATAAAAACATTACCAATTTTTATCTGTAAATCTGCTAAATGTGTTTCACACATTAAATTTTCACCATTGAAGGATCTGCTCTATTCATAAACAATAATGGGTTAAGGAGTGCAGCTGAGTTCAGAATTGACTGACGAGAGCTAACGTATTCATAGAGCAACAGGTTTCGCTATCGCTATCACTAAAACGAAATCCTTTGTCAACAAAACCTTTGAAAATATTATATCCCTAACCAGAAGGGCTTGGCATCTTATTTTATAGACAATATTTTCTCTCGCTCTCTTTTTGTTGCTTTTTTTAATTCGAGTTTCTTCTACGGGAGGAATTAGTGGTCACAAAAAATAAAAGTACAGGAATGATATCAAATCTTACTTTCATCGGCTGCTGACAAGCTAATTATTGGTTTGTTCCATTGATGAGATGTACTGTGTTTTCGTCAATGACTGGTTATATGAAATATTTAAGTTACTACTTTAGACGCCACGAAGTGAAACGTTATGATTATATTATTACTTTTCAGAGCGTTACGTTTCTTTCCTTCGCCTGACACTTTGATGCTTTCTTCATTGTTATTTAAATCTTCCTTTCTCATAGTTCTATGCAAAATTCATGAAGGTAGCTGGACAGCTATATTTGTCGTAATTTGTTTTTCAGTCTGTTTATGTGACCGCTATTCGATTAGACAAGATTGAAGAAGCTTTTATTAATTTACATACACGAAACTTATTACAATGGAACCTCGATGTAACGAAGGACCTAGGGACTGGCAAAACGAGGTTTCATTAAATCGAGGCTCTTTTTCACATGTTTTACTTCTACTGGGGTAAAAAACATCGTTCGTTATACCGAGGACTTCGTTATATAGAGGTCCGTTATTTTGAGGTTCTGCTGCATATGTCAGGTTTGCTAGGCGACTCTAACTTTGTCAATTTGGGTAAAACTGTTGTGTTTCACTCATTTATGATATAAATGTACAGAAAATAATCGTCTCGACATAACAATTTCCTTTAAATAACGAGACAATTGACATTGTTGGATTAGGTAGAAAAAATCGGTAGGTGGAATGCAAAAACACTTAATCTTAAAGTTGGTAATCCTCTCCCCTTTCAGCACCTGTAATTTTACCAAAATAAATAAATAGTAATAAATAATAATAATAATAATAATAATAATAATAATAATAGGGCTCAAACAACAGATTTTAGAACTGGTTTTTAATACTAGCAATTTTTTTATTGTTGTGCAGTCATCTCATCTGACTCTTTCTTCCATACAAGCCTTCGGAAATACAAAGGCTGTCCATGAAAGGTTCCCCTTTGTTCTTTCAAAACTCTTTCCACCTCCCTTTTATCAGAAAATCTGACAATACAAATCAACTTTCTATCAACTAACACTCGATGCTGGTTCAAGAATACTCCATTTGGAACAACTCCAAAAGTTTTTTCAAAGTACTCTTGCACAGCCATAGGCCGTGTTGCTAATGGCAGACCCTCAACAGACAGTTTCAGCTCTCGGAGCCTTGCTGATGCAAGATTGCTTGGATCATGATATCTTGATACTTTGACCTCCGATCCATTAATGATATGAAACTTGTTTTCTAAAATGCCATCAACTATGGCTTCATGTGGAAAACGAACAAAAGCCACATTGGCATCTTTGTCAAAACTGTAAGACGCATTGCCACCATGTACAATGAAGTCAACACACTCAACATCACCAAACTTTTCAAAGTAATCTCTTAAGTTTTCCACATTTAAATCATCAGGAACTGACGTTATGGAGATACATTTGGTTTTTCCTGAGAATTCCTTGGGTTTACGTGGGAACTCCATAACTTGGGCATCAATGTCTTGGTTAGCGATCTTTTGGGTTGGTTGTTCAAGTGCTTTCTTCACTGCAGATAATGACCTAAACATCACGTAGTAGCTGCAAACATTTTCATCTTTTGGATCCTTGTGAGCTAAGAACACTTTATTGACTTCTCCAAATTGAGAAAAGTGATCTTCAATCTCCTTTCTGCAAACGTTCTTTGATATCTTGTTCACAAGCACGGTCAATTCTTTCTTTTGACGTTCAGCTGGCTTCGCCATTTTCAATGGAATGTCTACCGTGACGTTATGACCATCGATAATGTGGGAATCTGCTCTTGCAAGAACTTTCTGAGCACTTTTGGCATCGCGGAACGTCACAAAGGCGAACCCTCGAGGGAAATTAGTAAGCTTATGGCGAAAGTATTCCAGTTTCTCAATCTCACCATACTGCGAGAAATATTTAAAAACTGTATCCTCAGTAGTGTAATCTTTACCCTTCAGAAGATTTCCAACATGTAGTCTCCGGATACTTGTGTCAACTGTTCTCAGATCTCTCTTTTCTTCATGTTCAGTAGATTGTACTTCACTCAAGTCTGCTGACGTTGATGAGACATTCCTCACTTTGAGAGATCGTAAAAGTGGAAGAAACGATGGGCCAGTGCGGCAGAATACAGAATTTGCGGATGTTGATCGAAGGAGGAACAGCGCCATGTTGGATTCTTGAGAGTATCCTTAAGTACGAAATGAATCATGGGAAGCACTTTCGTCGTGCCAGTACTCCTTTTTAGCCGCGGTCTCGCGGGAATCGAGAAAAGCACTCGAGACTCGTGAACACCTTATAAACAGCCAATCTCGACCCCCAGGCGAGTGGCAAAAGATGCCACAATCAATCTCGACCCAGAGCTCTTCTGCGCATGTAGAGGAGAGAGATCTCACGCGCACATTCCCAAACCCCTAAGCATTGGGGATGAGAATGATGCCATGATGCCACACACCATCTGCTTGACCCTAGTGCCATCATGTGCGGAAGAGCTCTGGGGACGAGACTGGTAAACAGCCAAAACTGGGAAAAAACGATGCAAATGAATCAAATGACCACTGACGATCATGGTCTAGCCTTCCACGCAAACTTCTTCAGGGCCATCATACCGCAGCTCTCCTTCCAATAAAGAACTGCCCTGAGCTGGTGTAAGAGCCAAGACAAGGGCCCATCTGGGAAAAGCTATGTAAAAGGCGGATGACTAAATTTAAAGTCTGATATCAATTACAGCTAGTGCAGGTTTTTTCGTTTTGTTGGCTAGTTTTGCCATTTAGAGAAAGGAATCAGTTAAAAAGGTATAATAAACTGTACTTTATTTAGAGATCTTTAACACAGAAAACAACATCCATTTCAAAATCTCAGCCTGGGCTTTATTCCTAAAATATTCTTAATTTTTCGAAAATTTCAGTCTCGATATTCTTATACAATCAAAAAGACTGTAGCCTGCAAGCATTTTTTTCCCACCCCCTCTGGCCATGACTTACTCGCAGAATAACTATCTGGCCCCAGTTTTTCAAAAGCTGGATAACGCTATCCATTGGATCAATCACTATCCCGTGGATAAGCATAAGGGCAATCAATTGCACTATCCAGTAGATGCGAACTTTCCGTATAAACGGCACATTTCGTCTAAAATAAGACGCGGCTTAGCTAAGACGCGTCTTATTAGATAAGACATGCTCGTATAAATGGTACAGTTCGCGTCTCATTTAAGACACGTCTTGTGTAAGACGCGTCTTATTTTTCCTCGTATAAATGGCCCTAATATTGCTGTTGTCAATGTGCCATTAATATTGCGTGAAACATTGGACAGAGATTTATCCGGTGGTAGTGTTATCCAGCTTTTGTATGGCTTGATGATTGATTCCATGTGATACAGAGAATGCTTGGCTTTTTAAACAAATGGCTGCTTCATTCATCAGATATCTTAGGGGGAGGAAAATCAGACAAGCCATAAAAACATAAATTCTCTGTCTCTGTTGGAGGTTAAGTACATGTGGACCGTGAACTTAATCTGAAATGCATTGTTCCTTGTATCATTTGAGATATTAACAGCTTTTATGACAGATTATGATTGTTGTTTACCTCTACTGTTTGTAAGCCAATTTTTTCTACAAAGAACAGAGTCCAGTGAAAATTGTCAAACACAATGGGGGAAAAAGTCATGTTCACCATGCTCACATTTACATCAAAGTCAAGTTTATTTGTCTTAGTATATCTTAAAAAAACTCTATTCAAACTTTGCTTCATAGCCTGTAAATAAGAAAATACATTTGCTACAAAGAGAGAGGGAAAAGGCTGTTCAGAGCTATCTGTTTGGTTAAAATAATTAATATTTGAAGTTTTACTGATGACAGCCAAAGGATTAGCAATAGATTATCAAAATAATGATTTATCAACACATAACTGGATGAGTTATTAGCCTGCATCACAGACAAAACTTAACTCTGGTTAAGTCCATCTACTAAACAAGCATTGGAATCCTTGTTCAGGGCCCCTTCCTGTCTACCAGGATTTGAACACACATCATGACTGACCTGTTAGAAAAGCCATTGTCAGTTTGCCAATCAGGATGAAAGGAAATTCAAAACACAAATTCATTAAGTCTCTGGGGGACCCACAACAAGGATCACAATGCTGCTTTGTAGATGTTCCTAAGCAAGGTTAAATTATGTCTGCAATACAGGCTAGTTGCTTATCTCTTTAGTTCATTTAATTAATTTTTAATTCCCTACTACATCAGAGTTTTTTCTTGAATTTCTCCAAACAAGTCGACGGAAATGCAATGTAGTTCCTTCAAATGTGACCTTTGGTTCTCGTAGAACCATGTCTACCTCGTTTTGCTCTGAAAACCTAACAATGCAAGGAGTCTGGTTATTTCTAAGTACTTGACGCCTGTCAAAAAATACTCCAATTGGCACAATGTCAAAAGCTTTTTTAAGGTAGTGCCTTATAAGAGCTACACCTGTTGATAATGGAAGGCCTTCCACTGACAGTTTCAAATGCCGGAGCTTATCTGGGAGGTCAACAGCTTGGTCTCTATGTTTTGCAACATTTACATCTAATCCGTTAATGACATGATAACTCTTTTGTGTTATTTCTTCTACTACAGCTGCAGAAGAGAAACGAATAAAGGCCACATTGCGTTTGCCCTCTTCACCAGACATGAGTGGGATATTGACAAGTAATTCCACCCACTCTACATCCCCAAATGCCAGGAAGTGATCTCTCAAATTTTCAACAGTAATCTGGTCTGGTACTGACGTTAGGACCAGCTTTTTGGTTTTTCCAATGATATGGCTTGACTGTGGAAATTCCATCACTTCCGATTCAGTTCTTTGCTCCCCGATTCTTTGTAGTGGTAGTTGTAAGGCTTCATGCACACCTGATAACGATGCAAACATGACATAGTAGCTGCTTAGATTTTCATCTGCTGGATCATGCTGAGCCAAAAACACCTTGTTTACTATACCAAACTGAGAAAAGTGATCTTCGATTGCTTGTTTGCTTGTACTTCTTAAAACTTTTTTCACAAGAACAGTAAGATTTCTTTTTCCTTGAATAGCCATAGTTTGATTTCTTAAAGGAGCCACCTTGAGAGTCTGACCATCAATTATATGAGGCTCTTCGACTGCCAGGACTTTCTGAGCAACATGTACATCGCGAAATGTCACGAACCCAAATCCTCGACCGGACGGATTGCGAGGAGATTTAGTAGGAAATTCCATGAGCTCAACTTCACCAAAAGTCGAAAAGTATTTGAATAACTCGTCCTTTGCGATTTGACGATTCTCTTTGGTAGTCTGTCCTTTAAAGAGATTGCCAACGTAAATTTTTCTTAGGTTGATATTGTAATTTGAAGAAGGTGAACGAGCGCTTGGTAAGCCACGTGGTGCACCTTCTTCGAGTTCACGAGCTTTAACCGACGTCGACAAGACTCTCTCTTGACCCGCATGCAATAAAGAATACCGATGAAGACTGATTGAAGGAAAAAAATGTTTGGATACACTGAAGACTCTATTTGTGAGGGCATTTCTCCAACACAGCTGATGCAAGAAGACCGCCATTTTGGATATTTACCTTCCAAATGAAGAATCATGGGAAATATTTTGCAACGGCGGGGAGGACTGGGAAATAACACTTTTATCAAGATGGTGGCTTACACATGACATCACAAAATTCCTCGAAACTATTTGCATGTCTCTTGACGAATTCTTTCTCTGTCAAGACTTAGTGTTGTTTTTCAACAGGAAAAGGGATTTATGGATTGATTTAGTTGTTAAAGTCGCTTGATGCAGCTGCATATTCTATAAGTATCTTGAATCAACAATCTTCTCACGGCATGGATGTTGCTAATTTCCTGTCTGCTGTTTTTCCGTCGAAGGAAGACGAAAATATTGCGACTCCAAGGTAACAAAAATCCGTGTTATCCTCAGTAAGACCTAGTTAAATGTTTTAAATGCTTTTCCATTGGTAAAAGATGGAGCATTCGTCAAAAAGGCACATTCTTTAAAGCACAAATAAGGTCAATTTTGGATGGGTCAAAAATATGATGACGGCGATGGCTAGCTTGAGACCACACCCTCTCCACATTATCTCTATGTCTTTTTAAAATTTTTTCCTATCTCTTCTCTCCTCTTAAAAAAAGGAAAAGAAAAGAGAAAGAGAAAAGCACGTAAATGCAGGATGGCTAGATTGCAGAAGCCCTTGCAGTCCTCCAGTCGTCCAATTTGCATAGTAAATTCTGACGTTGACAAGGGGAGTGCTGGACTGTGGGAGCACTAGTATACCTTGTTCTATAAGCACACTAGTTACTGGACATCGACTACAGGAGTATGGGACTGTGAGAGCACTAGTTGTGTACCCACTTGATATTCACTTTTCTGCAACTGCGGGAGAAGCACTTGTTTTACTTACTTTAATAGATCGAAGTATTCAGCATAATAGAACACGACTGCAGGACTGTGGAAGCGGGTTTTCAAGTAAGACATTTAGTGAGCTGGATATTCTGAAATTGCTCCTTCAGGATATGATGATGATGATGGTGATAATGATGATTATGTTTATTTATTAATTTTAATGTTTTTATTTATTTATATTTTTTTTCATTATTTGTAATGGTCTGGTTATGATTTTTGTCACCCTTGCAGAAGGTTATTGGAGTATGGCACCCTTCAAGATCACATTGATGAGATTCTAGCCCAATATGACGAGGAACCAAAACCAGGTATGCTTCTCTCTGTGATTAACAATAAATTATTGGAGTACATGATCTTGAAGGGTAAAACCTGGGCTGTCATTAAGGGCCGGAGGCCGCAGATTTACCCCAGCAACTATGAGCACGATCCCCAGCTACTTTTATAGGAATTAAAGGAAAAATGGGACTGAAAGAACTTCCTTCAGTCTGTAGCCTGTTGAATAATAATATTGAATAAACCATCAACTTGAAATCTTAGCTTCTCATTTTATATAAAGAAATTCGATCCAGGCCCTAATGGAAAGAGTGAATGAATGTGGAATGACCCTTCTATTAAATCCTTTAGTTTGAAATGTCAGACCGCTGCAAAAATGAAAAGATGGTAAATTTTAAGCTTGGTAAATGAATATGTGATTCAAAGATGTGATAATCAGAATGCTGGGTAGAGAACATGATGTAACTTTTTTTTAACAGTACTGTACACAGGCTACAGCCATTGTAAAGTCTGTCTTAATTTATTGGTATTGAGACATTGCTGGTTTACTTGAAATATTTGCTCCAAAAAATATTTAAATTTACCTAGTAGTAACCAAAGGTTAGGAAGTGCTGGGATTAATCAAAGGTCAAAAGGCTCTTGCTCCAGTGCTCTACTGTTTTTAAGTTTCATGTTATAGGAGGCCAAAATGCACATGATCAGGTAATGACCTATAGAAGGTCCAAACAAGTGTGATCAGATTGCCTTCTGTGCATTCCATTTATTCTAAGTGGAAGTCCAAACAAAATTTGGCAACGTACGTGTCACGCATACACAATGGCTGCCTGGAAATTAACTGTGATTTCTTTTCCTCCCATTCAAAGAGCTTGATGCTGAGGAAAGAGCATTAACTGATGGTAGAATTGGACCAGGTAATGTGGGGATTGACAGAGCAAGTCTTTGTGGGTCAATGACTATCAAAGATGGAATGGAGGTATGGCAGACATTTATTTGTAAATATGTTTTACTGAAAAGCCCAGTAGTTAATTACAAGGATACTCTAAAGTGTAACCCTGATCAACTTTTAACAAAACTATACTGCTGTTTAGATTGAAAGCAAAGGCAACTTCAGCAGTGTAAGGGCCAATGCCTGTGTTTGCAAAGGTAGGTGCTAGTATATGCTATGGAATATATTTTCACTTAATGATCGCCAAAGGGAATAGGTTCTAATTCTCTCAACTAATTCCATAAAAAAATGTATGGAGATCAGTTGGGAGAATTTGTATGCATATATTGGGGTTAATTTTTGACCAGTTGACTGCTGTTTTCTTTGAAGGAAAATGGATGTATGAGATTCTTTTGGGTTCTAAAGGAATCATGCAACTGGGATGGGCAACTTTACTATGCAAATTCACCAATGAGGTTTGCGAAAAGTCAGTTTTCTATCCTTTTAGTCTCTTGATAATATCCCATGATGCAATTATTCATGCTCAAGTCAATGTTTAATTTCTTACCAAAGGAAGGTGTTGGTGACACTCCTGACTCTTTTGCTTATGATGGCCATCGTGTTAGGAAATGGAATGTGACAACTGGAAAATATGGAGAGGTATGATCAGGCAGCTGTTGATGCATTCCCCAATAAATTTGCACTTAGGCAAGAGGTATGCCCAGGACTATTGCTAATCCCCCTGGATAAAATGCTAGTCCATTGCAGGGTTACCTCCCAGCAGTATGTCGCTGGCACCCACAAAGTGGAGAAAATTTCCTTGTCTAAGGAAACAGGGCGATGGTAGGGGCTTGAACCCTGGACCTTAAGATCCTGAGTTTAAGGTGTTAACCGCTCGGTCACACACACCTACACAAATAACCAGAAAAGTCGGTAATAGAAGCTAAAAATCTAGAGCACTCTAGGTCTTCAGTGCAAGAATGCAGACAACAGGGATCAAACTTTTTCATATGAAATGAATCCTTGTGTCCATGATGACAATGAAAACTGGCTATTTTTCTTCACAGGAGTGGATGGCTGGTGATGTCATAGGATGTTGTATTGACCTAGATGAAGGCACAATATCTTACAGTAGGTCAGTGTCCCCAGATTCTAAAAGGAATATTTATGATTTTCCTACCCACAAAAATCATTTTTATTGTTTGTGTTATCTTTGTCTTAATAAGTGTTTAGTTTATTGTCAGTTAGTCTCATTCTCAACCTTGCCATACCGTCACTATTACTCCCATCTTAACTGTCTTGATCATCATCATCATCTTTAGTAGTAGCATCAGCATCAATTTATCATCAGCCTTATTATTATCATTATCATCAGCATTATTATCATTATATGGTCATTGTCTTTTTCAACACCACTACCAACACTACTATTGTTATCATCATCTCCATCACAATCATCGCCATCCTTCTTCTCCTTCTCCTCCTCCTCCTCATCATCATCATCATCATCATCATCATCATCATCAATAGTTTTATTCTCAGTTTTTAGTCACTGATTTCTTGGAATTTGAATCCATTCTTTTCTTTGTTATTTATAGGAATGGACATTTCTTGGGTGTTGCTTTTGATAATGTTCAGTATGGACCAGGACTTGCTTATTTTCCTGCAGCCAGCTTATCCTATGGAGAGTCATGTCAGATGAATTTCGGAGCATCTCCATTCAAGTATAGTTTTTATTGTTTGTTAATTTTTATTCTGATAATAGTTTAATTATGTATATCTAATTTGAGATGTGATGTATGTTTTACAGTCAAACCAGGTCAAGCGTTCCCGTCGCTAGCAAACTAATGAATTCATTAATGGAAAAATGATTTCGTTTGTTTATTCAATAATCCATTCATAAAAATGAATAATCTAACAGTCAAATTGGACCTCGATTCAGTAATTAAATTTTGATTTGGTTTATGAACAAAATATACCTGTTCTTTATTCTTGTCTGTTGAGTTCAATCATATTTGCTTCCCTTTTCCTGCCGTTTACGATTGTGTTTTTAATTGCCTTTAATCAAAAGAACAGCTAGAATAGACAGACCGCAAATGCAAAAAAACTGACAAAGGCCGAGGATCGAAATCCACCAATCACCGTACATACACTGGCCTCAGTTTGACTATGGTGTTTTCTAAGAGGTCAGGTCCGTTGCAAACAGTTTGTTTGGGCTTGAACTTCAGAACTGGCCCGCACTCGACTCGAAGAAAAAAAAGTGTAGTTTTTAAAAAAACGGTAATCGAATCAACATTCGATTATGGAATCGAGGCTAAATATGAATATGGACCATTCATTTTATGAATGGATTATTGAATCAACAAACGAAATCATTTTTCCGTCAATGAATTTATTAGTTCGTTAGCGACGGGAACGCTTCACCTGGTTTGACTGTAATGGATGCCTAGCAAATTAATAGTCTAAATGACTTCTTATGGAGAAGTTGCCTTGTGATTGCTTTCAAAACTAGGGCAGGATTGGACTCTAAGGTTCTTCTTTTGTACACTCTTTCAGTAATAACCACACTAATTTCCTTACAAGTTCATAATTTCGACGAGAAGATTGCCATACTTGGGAAATTCACACAATGATAAAATACAGGATTTATATGCAGTGCTCGACCAATCAGCGTGTGAGAAATCACTCAGTATATTGTAAAGAAAAATAGACAAAAAATTTTTATATGGTAGTTTTTCTAAATTTATGTCTTAACCACTTTAGATTTCCTGTTGAAGGTTACAAACCTCTTCAAGATCCTCCAACATCCGATGTTGCCAAAGCAACAGAACTCATTTCATGCTTGGAGAGGCTACTTCCTGCTGTAAGTAAGCTTTGTTTTTCTTGTTAGAGATGATATACAGATTTCTTGACCATCTTCGGTCCTGTCATCAATCCCTTCCTTGCCAAGCTTGCTTGTGACTGCTAGGAGAACTTTGATCCTGGTCTCCCTTTGTTGGAAATGAATAGGGCACCTTCATCAGGGTTGTCATTAAGAATTCTAGTGGCAGGAGAAAGGTGTAACGTTACAGGAGAATATTTTGAAAGAGGCTCCACATCTGAATTTATAATAGTCATAGGCTGCCAAATGTTTGCTGGAGAATCATGTGTAATAAATGGAGAATTGTTGGATCTCCGATGCCTAATGAATATGGCCCGCCTCAAAGGAAACATCGCTCGAGCTAGTAACCATCCCCAGGCCTGCTGCCATTAAAGCTGATAAATTATTGTTTTAAAATTTTTAGCCAGAGAGAATCCCTTGGTTGCCAGCCTCTCTTCATGGCCGATCTGACACGCTGACTCTTCTCACCACTGCACATGTCTTTGAAAAACTGGGACCTCTGCTAGTAAGAAATTTTATGCTTTTCGGGAATGAGTCACAGTATTAGAATGCATGGGTACACAGAATATTTCTTCCCTTGAGTAGACATGACTTGCAAGATGAAGAGAGAGTACTCTCTTCCATGAAACTAAGGAATTTGGCAACAGGGTTCGTGGTTTAAAGTTTTAGATTGTTAGAATTTTGTTTTCATTAAATCATAATTTCAGATTAACGTATTTTAAATAAATTATTTTATCATAGTTAATTCATAATCTTAGCAATGAGTAATTCAATAATTCAAACTTTTAAACTTATTTTTGTATTTTAGTTTCTGCCTTAATTAACCCGTGGGATATCTGTAAACAAGTCGTATGGCTAAGCATATTTCACCACATAAAATAAAGTGTCTATGTTGTTGTCTGTGTCTATGTCTATGAAGAGACATGACCCATGGTGTGAAGATAAATAATCATGTCTCCTCGTAGCAATCACTTTGGTTTTTAGGAGACTGTATTAAGTAAAGTTCTCTGCTGTTTTGTTTTTCAAGACTGGAGGATATGTTGTGGAAGAAGTTCTTTTGCCCTTCTTACTTAAGTCCTGCTCAGAAACCAGTCCTTTGGAGCATCAACCTGGTGTTGAGAAAGTGTTAGATTTAATGTGGGTCTGTATGGAGGTGAGCTAATCTACTTGCTGAATGTTTTATCCCTTTTTACTTCTGAACATCAGGGGTCCCGTCAAAAAAAGTTCCGTCCGGTTATCCGGGATGAGTAAATTTTCTTGCTGGGCAAGTAACTTTTAAAGCTTACTTACCTGAACAGGTTTTACAATATTGTGTTGTTTTTTCTTTTGGTAGGATTTTGAACTCGAACCTTGTTTGGGTCATTTACTGAATGTGCTTATCAAATACTATTGGTTTAAGCCAGTAACAATGGATTTCAGATCTCAGGTAAGATAAGGACATTCTCTTCTATGTTAGGACTTCTGCTTTTGAGAGAAAGGCTGTTTAAGACAGTAACAGTGGATTTCAGGTCTTTGATAAGATTGCTTGTTTAACTCATCATAGTAAGTTAAGAGTTACTGTCACTGAAAGAAAGACCATTAAATTAACGCTTTTTACAATGTTTTTTCAATTACTTTATAAAAAAATATATATGATTAGAGTGGAACCTCAACATGACAGATGACTAAGGGACTGGCAAAATGTTTGCTTAATTAATTGCAGTTTTGTTGTATCAATGTTCTTTGCTATATACAGTGTATTTTAGTATTTCTTTGGCGAAGAATATTGTCCCTTATACAGAGGACTTCCTTATACTGTATAAATGTTTAGGGGTTTATACAATCAGTCTTGATGACGCAAATTCCCTTACAAGTCCTCTATATTACCATAATAACTGTATCGGATTTCAAATGAAGGTATGATAATCGCAGTGGTAATTGCAATTTAAGCAATTGCAAATTAACCCAAAAGATATTTTTCGGGACTTCAACTGGATTCAAACCCATGGCCTGTGCATTAGCACTGGAGTGCTCCACAAATTGAGCTATGAAGACCCATACATTAATTGGGAGCAAACTAATTTGTTGAGTTCATCTTAACCAGTGAGTGGAATGAAACATTGACGATGATTTGAACTGCAGATTTGTTATGAAAAGACCCAGGTTATGTTTAAAGTGTCTTATTTTTTCTAGGTCCACTGTCTTTCCTTGGCTCTTGCTATACTCAAACATGAAAGAACGCGGAGAATGTGGATTACTTGTAAAACATATCCTTTTGAGTTTACGAAGGGCGGGGCATGGGCAGCTGACTACTGGGTCAATATCAGAGACCTTTAGATTCTAAGATGAGTACGACTATGAGTCCTCAATAATAATAGTTAGACTAGTTTTTTGGATTAATTTAAGCCTCTATTGCAATGATTATTGTTCCTATGGATGCTGTACTACTATGGGATTGTATTTAGACTGCAAAACAGTCCATATTTTTGCATATTCAAGTACGCAGGAGCAGTCGAACAAAAGGTCTGGAATGAGTCTGAAAACAGAGAGCGAGACTGGGGAGAGACGCTTACCCCACGCTTTACCGATTTCTTTACTGATTTTGAGAAAAAAACCGACTGTTTTGCAGTCTAGATTGTATTGGGATGCTAGTGCTTCTTTTATGGGCTAACAGGAGTATGAACATTGAATTCATCCTGCAAAACAGTCCCATTTTGCGACTGACCCAGTCACACACAACCTCAAAATGTCTAATTAAGATCTTAGCACATAGTTCCTTTTTTGTTTTCGTCTTTGTAGTATTACCTGTACAACCTGATTGCCTTCAGTCAGTTTGTTTTCCTTGACTGTTTAAACTTTCCCTCAGAAATTCAGTTATTTTATGCATATAAAACCTCCTGATGATAACATTCTTCAATCATCATTCCCCTTAGTGTGGTGGGAAAGCGAGGATGTGAGTATTCAATATAGCTGAGGGGGGAAATGTAATGGTAGTTTTAACCTGGAGCAAGCTCTCCATTTAAGAATTGCAAGAAGTGAAGGGTCACGCACATTTGTGCCTATTCTTTTTATGCTAGTGAGGAACAAAATCGATTAAATAATTTGTAAAAGCGTAATTTTGCCTTTTCAGTGTTCAAAACAATTTATCTTCACTTGTAAATGACACTAAGCAAAAGTTTTATCAAATTGACCTTAAGTTAGACTAAGGGTAGCATCATTTTTCTTCTTCAAAGCTGCAAAGTTAGAATGCGTAACACGCCAGTAGTGAGGAGCGCACTTCGCCGGTCACCCATGGCAGTTTTCTACTCTCACGCTTTCTGCTCCAGGGAGAAGGAAATAAGGGGCTACTCGTTATCTCGGAAAGGTGCAGGCTCGAATTTCCGCCCCTCTCTTTGGTCTGGTCTTGTTCCTCCCAAGAAGTCTTTTTGGGGAGGAGCTCGGGCTTATTTCCTGAACAGGGGCTGGCAATCGAGCCTAGGAAAAGTGTAACAGACGTTTTTAACTCTGCTTGTGTTGAACAAATTAAATTAATCATTGTTCTGTTTTAGGAGTCTTCAAAGCCAAGTGAAGCATCAAAAACAGAGTACATGGCAGCCTGCAATAAACTCAAAAATAAAGTTCAAGGTGCGGTCAAGAAATTAACTGTTTTATTTTTGCCCGTATAATTTGAGCCTGTTTTTCAGGCTCCGAGTTAGTAGGGTCCGCAAAATTGAGCTGAGAAAACGCAAACACAAAAATGAAACGGGAGGAAACTGGGGAGAGACTTCTTTCCCGCCACCACCCCCTCTTTTCCCAGATCACGCGCTAATATTTTCGCGTGTATTTCACTTACGCTTCATCTCTATTATCTGAGCGTCTGCAACGGGTTATTATAATTTTGACCATAAATATGTTTAAATCTTTGTGTGAAAGATCTGGATTCAGTGTCGGTACTGGACTAATTATTTCTCTCATTCTCCACTGGTGGTTTTTTGAGAATCCTTTCCCAATAAAACCCTTGGATTCCAAATGCAGAAAAGCAAACGTTTGTGTTTTATCCTTTACTGATCAGTGGCATCAGTGGGTTTATAATTTTTTCTAGGGAATACAAATCTTAAAATGCGGACAAGGATTACTCACAAAGGAAATACATCTCACGGTGCAAATAACAGCTTTCTACATTATTTTTCATTTCAGTACTCGAAAATATCCAAGTTGAAATTTGCAAGATTTTAATGACAGGTGATGATCGACCAACACAGGTAATGGCTTATCTTCCGTATCATGCAAATTGTTCAATTGGAGATATTTTTGCAGGTTTTGTTCTGGGAATTAGTTAAAAGCTGTTTTTTAGCTGAAACTGTAATTTTTTCCCTTTTATTCCTAAACGATTCACGTTGTCTGCAGCTTTTGAATCTCTTTAAAGTGCCCAGTGTACTTTACAAAATCAGTTTAACCCTTGAAACGCTAATATCAACAATCATATTCTCCACCTGTTCTCCATAAAATTCTTATGGTAATGATAAGGAGAATTTGTTTAACGATCAATCAATGAAGCAGTGTTTGTGTAAGGATACATTAATGTTGGGTTAAAAGGCAGGACCATAGCTAGAAAAAATTGTGACTGAGGCAATGTCCGGCCGATCCATGGTTAAGTGAACATTCTAGTTTACCTAGATGTTTTGTGTTTGGGTATTTAATTGCTACTTTATTTTTAATTATTTATTTGCTAGCAGTGTTTTCCCTTCACCCCCCTCAAAAAGTAAATGCCTCGGTTTGCCTCATTTTGGCTATGACCCTGCAAGGCAGTGGTGTTTCACTGTGGGTGATACAGTGATAACACAAGTGTCCAAAGATCACGTTATGAGGGTGAAATGTAATTTACATTCTGTGTGGTGAGCGAGTCAGGGTGAATATAAAACCACAGTTTCTTAACAATCCAACCTTGTTTATCTTTCAATACACTCTGCTGACGTATTAATTATTTTCTTTCTTCATAGAACTCCAAACCAACAAGGGTCCTGTTTTTAGAAAAATTTCGAAAATTTCTCCAAGAGAACATGATGACCATCACGGTACGGGCCACATGCAGCTAAGTATAAACGTCTTCAGGAAACTGTTTTGCATAATAAATAAATAAATAAATAAATAAATAAATAAATAAATGATAACCATATTTTCGCAGGATAAAATACCCGTCAGTGTATAAAAAACACTGTTGTCAATGGGTTCCTTTAAAAAGAAGCTTAATAATGTCGTACGTGTCAACCGGCGTCTGACGTTCAGTCCGGTTGAACTTTTATTTTGACCCTTGACGTGAGGTTTTATGTAACAAGGTCCTGGTCGCATCGATAGCCTTTCAACTGGATTTGTTCTTTGTTTTGTTAGAAGAATTACATCTCAGCGTTTTTCTTTATTTACACAGTTACAGCCATCCAGCGCATGCGCGGGGCCAGTGATCACGTGTTTCTATCACAGACTTGTACAAGCACTCCGCTGGCATTGGGAGCAGTGGGCGCGCGAGAAAGATTCGCCGATTAAAAGTAAAGGTTTGTTGGATGGAGGCTGGCCTGTGTGCTGGCGTCTGCTGTCGCCTTTGCCACGCGAGCAGTAAGAGACGTCTACACACAACCTAGATACAGGGCAGAAATAATCTTTTTACTTCGTGTAGAAAATCTCCTAATGCTCTATAACTGTATTGTGCTTATAGTGTTCATAAGTGTTTTTGTTGTTGTTTTGAGGTTATGCAGTTAGTTATGAAATGAGGATTGTAATTGTAAACGAAATCGTCTCTTTCCAGCTTTTCCGGCCTCAGCCGGATATATGTAGGGCTACAATCATGTCAGACAAATGCATGAACAAACATCAGCGCTTACCTGTGCAATAAGTACTCTTCGTAAAAATAATAAGCTCCAATACATAATCAGTAAAAATCAACCTCGTAATCAGGGTTACTGGGTTCTTTTTCAACCACTTAGGTTGTTTATTTAACTGCAAGGATCATTTCCACTTTCGTATCTTTAACCGCAGTTCAAAATATGAGTCATTTCATAATTTTATTTCCATTCAAGTGGGTTACTGTGAATCCTTCCTTTAAGAACCACAACAGATCAACCGCCATTCGGTTACAGTGTGGTAATAGTAATGTAATTTAGATTCATGATTAACGATATGATTAATTTAACTCGTTCTTATACAACGCTTCCCAGAACTATCATATTAGTCAATAATATTATTGTACAGTTTTTAGATTTTAATCTGTTAAGTGTGTAACAGGGATTATTTATGTCTAAAAGCCTTTGGAAGGATCATATAACAAAGTATATAGAGTATGTATGTATCTAGATTGTGCTACCTCAGCTCGAGCGGAGGTACCCTGGGTGCCAGAGACTTTTCTTGCAAGTTTTTCGGTTTCAGTCAAATCCAGTGACCCGCGTGAGAAGCTTAGCCACTTGTGGATCCAGCCTTCGGCCGAAGATCTGTCGGCCGGCGGCCTATACCGAAGCATTCCGCCGCACGCAAAAAAAAAAAACCCTTGTTACCCAGGGTACAGCGGAGGAGTAAAAACTAACACATTGTTTGTTGAGGTAAATGGATTAAGAAGCTCACTTTTCGCGCGCTAGTCCTTCGGTAAAGCGCTTCGTTTCACGAATGGCTAGCGCACGATTCGCGGGCTTTCATGCAACAACTGCTGAGCTTCCTCTTATGGTTTATGGCAGATACTGTTCTAAGTCCTTAGTGGACCGGCGGCCAACACCTAAGCATCTTGCTGCCTGCTAGAAAAAAGTAAATCCTTTCTTACCCAGGATAAAGCAGAGGAGTATAAACTAAAACATTAGGGCCATTTGTACGAGGAAAAATAAGACGCGAACTTTCCGTATAAACGGCACATTTCGTCTAAAATAAGACGCGGCTTAGCTAAGACGCGTCTTATATAGATAAGACATGCTCGTATAAATGGTACAGTTCGCGTCTTATTTAAGACGCGTCTTATTTTTCCTCGTATAAATGGCCCTATTGTTTGTTTGTGGAGGTAAATGGATTAAGAGGCTCACGTTCCGTACGCTAGTCCTTCGATAAAGCGTTTCGTTTCACGAATGGCTAGCGCACGTTCCGTTGGCTATCATACAACAACTGCTGAGCTTCCTTTCATCGTTTATAGCACATACTGTACTAGTGTTAATGATATATGAAATAGATCATATATGAATTGCGGAAATGAAATGAAAATGAAGAAATGATCGTCGCAGTGAACGCAATTTATGCAATTGCGTAAAGAAGCCTACTTTACGCAATTGCATAAATTGCGTTCACTGCGACGATCATTTCTTCATTTTCATACTGTACTAGTGCTAGGTTGGCCAGCGGCCAACACCAAAGCATCCCGCCGCACGCAAGAAAAGTATAAATCCTTTGTTACCCAGGGTACAGCGGAGGAGTAAAAACTAAAGCATTGTTCGTTGAGGTAATTGGATTAAGAAGCTTACGTTTCGCGCGCTAGTCCTTTGGTAAAGCTTTTCGTTTAACGAATGGCTAGTGCACGATACGTAGGCTTAAACTTTCATACAACGACTTCCGAGCTTCCTGTCGTGGTTTATGGCACATACTGTATAAGTGCTCTTAATTTGCCTTTGGTTTGGATGGAGTCCAGAAATGAGGCCGTCGATGCAAAAACTTTTGAGCAATACTTTCCAGTAATTAAAAACACTTTCTTGATGTTGTTTGCACTTGTTAGATTGGCCATTTTCACAGTAGAGACGAATTTCCACCTGAGACGGATAATCCATCTTCAAAATCCGTCAAAATTGAAGGAAAAACAGATTGGTAGAGTCAGGCGGATTGTCCATCCAAAATAAGACCGTTTCATTTTTCAAATTAAGACCCATTATCAGTCTGACGCAAATTATCCGTCGGATAACCCGTCTCAGACGGATAATCCGTCTTTAGCGTAAATACGGCCGTTGATTGAAATGAAGAACAGTACATTTTTTAGGCATTTTGGGTGATCTTTCAAGTTAAGACTTTATTGTTAATTTACATTCAACTCTGTTTAAGAGGGACACCTTTGGGACTTGCTCTAATTGTCTAAGAGTGATGTCCGTCTCATAGAAAGTCAAATAAAGGGAGTAAAGAAAGGCAGGGACCAATTCTAGATGTCCGTTTTACCGAGAGGTTTGTCTTATAGAGGGGTCCGTCACGAAAGAGTCGACTGTATTTATCTGTACGATAGTTAATTGTTAAATATCCTCAAAGAGTAACACATAATCTCGCTTTAAGTTCCTTTGGTTAATTCATTATAATTTTCAAACACTATTTTCGGTTCTTAGATGCTTATGTTCCCAATCATATCTTTCTTGATGACAGAGTTCATTATTGGGACCTTTCCAGGTAATGGTATCGTTGAATCGGATAATTATACGTTTCTGGGAAACTGCACACCTACCCCTCCCCTAAGCCAACATTTTTCCCTGAGTGAGAAGTAGGTGTTAATGTTAGCTTAAGGGAGAGGTAGGTGGCAGTTTCCCAGAAGCGAAAAAACCCATGAAATTCCCGCAGGCTCGCAATGGTGGTGATTTCAGAGCATCAAATCGCCGTGATATCCCTGCCAGTTTGCACAGGCGATTTGCTATTCGCAGAAAATTGCTCCCAAATAGCCTATGTAAACAGACCTGTTTGCTCCGTTTGCATTTTAACCTACGAACAGAGCTGACAGGGTGTTGAACAGCTCGCCACGGGTAGTTACACTACAGTCACTGCAATCAAAACGCGTCCTTTTTGATTGCTAAATAGCTCTTTTTTTTTTCTTTTTCATAGACTGGGTGGTGTCTTGTCACATCTCAAGAAAGCATATAATGGTAGGTCCATTAATAGGAACCTAATTCTTGGCTTTATACACATATAGCGAATAAATTGAACCATAAAGAACAGGTGGCTGGGTTTAAGACTTAAATCGATACAGCGATTTTTGTTTTACCTTTAAAAAGTGGTTTTTAAAAGCATTTTTAACTTGCTTTATCAGGCGATAGTTAAAAAGATCAAAAGGTGGACTCGTCATTTGGCTACCAAAAAAAACTGCAAAGTAAAGGGTCATTTTGGATTGTTTAGTGTGTGTTTCTCAAAATTATGCAAAGATTACTGTTAGCTGGAAATATGATGCCTCTTCCCAAAACCAACCAAAAAATTCTTACACCCTTGTTCCTTTGTTGCTGTCTGGGATGACTATTATGACTAAGATGACTGGGATGACTAGGGATGACTAGGGATGACTAGGGATGACTAGGGATGACTAGGGATGACTGGGATGACTAGGGATGACTAGGGATGACTAGGGATGACTAGGGATGACTAGGGATGACTGGGATGACTAGGGATGACTGGGTTGACTAGGGATTACTAGGGATGACTGGGATGACTAGGGATGACTAGGGATGACTAGGGATGACTAGGGATGACTAGGGATGACTAGGGATGACTGGGTTGACTAGGGATTACTAGGGATGACTGGGATGACTAGGGATGACTAGGGATGACTAGGGATGACTAGGGATGACTAGGGATGACTAGGGATAACTGGGATGACTAGGGATGACTGGGTTGACTAGGGATAACTAGGGATGACTGGGTTGACGAGGGATTACTAGGGATGACTGGGATGACTAGGGATGACTAGGGATGACTAGGGATGAGTAGGGATGACTAAGGATGACTGGGATGACTAGGGATGACTGGGTTGACTAGGGATTACTAGGGATGACTGGGATGACTAGGGATGACTAGGGATGACTAGGGATGACTGGGATGACTAGGGATGACTAGGGATGACTAGGGATGACTAGGGATGACTAGGATGACTGGGATGACTAGGGATGACTGGGATGACTAGGGATGACTGGGATGACTAGGGATTACTAGGGATGACTGGGATGACTAGGGATGACTAGGGATGACTAGGGATGACTAGGGATGACTAGGGATGACTAGGGATGACTAGGGATGACTAGGATGACTAGGGATGACAAGGGATGACTAGGGATGACTAGGGATGACTAGGGATGACTAGGGATGACTAGGGATGACTAGGGATGACTAGGGATGACTAGGGATGACTAGGGATGACTAGGGATGACTAGGGATGACTAGGGATGACTAGGGATGACTAGGGATGACTAGGGATGACTAGGGATGACTAGGGATGACCAGGGATGACTAGGATGACTAGGGATGACTAGGGATGACTAGGGATGACTAGGGATGACTAGGGATGACTAGGGATGACTAGGGATGACTAGGGATGACTAGGGATGACTAGGGATGACTAGGGATGACTAGGGATGACTAGGGATGACTAGGGATGACTAGGGATGACTAGGGATGACTAGGGATGACTGGGATGACTAGGGATGACTAGGGATGACTAGGGATGACTAGGGATGACTAGGAATGACTAGGGATGACTAGGGATGACTAGGGATGACTAGGGATGACTAGGGATGACTAGGGATGACTAGGGATGACTAGGGATGACTAGGGATGACTAGGGATGACTAGGATGACTAGGGATGACTAGGGATGACTAGGGATGACTAGGGATGACTAGGGATGACTAGGGATGACTAGGGATGACTAGGGATGACTAGGGATGACTAGGGATGACTAGGGATGACTAGGGATGACTAGGGATGACTGGGATGACTAGGGATGACTGGGATGACTAGGGATGACTAGGGATGACTAGGGATGACTAGGGATGACTAGGGATGACTAGGGATGACTAGGGATGACTAGGGATGACTAGGGATGACTAGGGATGACTAGGGATGACTAGGGATGACTGGGATGACTAGGGATGACTGGGTTGACTAGGGATTACTAGGGATGACTGGGATGACTGAAATGACTAGGGATGACTAGGGATGACTGGGATGACTAGGGATGACTAGGGATGACTAGGGATGACTAGGGATGACTGGGATGACTAGGGATGACTAGGATGACTAGGGATGACTAGGGATGACTGGGATGACTAGGGATGACTAGGGATGACTGGGATGACTAGGGATGACTAGGGATGACTAGGGATGACTAGGGATGACTAGGGATGACTAGGGATGACTAGGGATGACTAAGGATGACTAGGGATGACTAGGGATGACTAGGGATGACTGGGATGACTAGGGATGACTAGGGATGACTAGGATGACTAAGGATGACTAGGGATGACTGGGATGACTAGGGATGACTAGGTATATAGGGATGACTAGGGATGACTAGGGATGACTAGGGATGACTAAGGATGACTAAGGATGACTAGGGATGACTAGGGATGACTGGGATGACTAGGGATGACTAGGGATGACTGGGATGACTAGGGATGACTAGGGATGACTAGGGATGACTAGGGATGACTAGGGATGACTAGGGATGACTGGGATGACTAGGGATGACTAGGGATGACTAGGGATGACTAGGGATGACTAGGGATGACTAGGGATGACTAGGGATGACTAGGGATGACTAGGGATGACTCGGGATGACTAGGGATGACTAGGGATGACTAGGGATGACTAGGGATGACTAGGGATGACTAGGGATGACTAGGGATGACTAGGGATGACTAGGGATGACTAGGATGACTAGGGATGACTAGGGATGACTAGGGATGACTAGGGATGACTAGGGATGACTAGGGATGACTAGGGATGACTAGGGATGACTAGGGATGACTAGGGATGACTAGGGATGACTAGGGATGACTAGGGATGACTAGGGATGACTAGGGATGACTAGGGATGACTAGGGATGACTAGGGATGACTAGGGATGACTAGGGATGACTAGGGATGACTGGGATGACTAGGGATGACTAGGGATGACTGGGATGACTAGGGATGACTAGGGATGACTAGGGATGACTAGGGATGACTAGGGATGACTAAGGATGACTAGGGATGACTAGGGATGACTAGGGATGACTGGGATGACTAGGGATGACTGGGATGACTAGGGATGACTAGGGATGACTAGGGATGACTAGGGATGACTAGGGATGACTAGGGATGACTAGGGATGACTAGGGATGACTAGGGATGACTAGGGATGACTAGGGATGACTAGGGATGACTAGGGATGACTAGGGATGACTGGGATGACTAGGGATGACTAGGGATGACTAGGGATGACTAGGGATGACTAGGGATGACTGATGACTAGGGATGACTAGGGATGACTAGGGATGACTAGGGATGACTAGGGATGACTGGGATGACTAGGGATGACTAGGGATGACTGGGATGACTAGGGATGACTAGGGATGACTAGGGATGACTAGGGATGACTGGGATGACTAGGGATGACTAGGGATGACTAGGGATGACTGGGATGACTAGGGATGACTAGGGATGACTAGGGATGACTAGGGATGACTAGGGATGACTAGGGATGACTAGGGATGACTGGGATGACTAGGGATGACTAGGGATGACTAGGGATGACTAGGGATGACTGGGATGACTAGGGATGACTAGGGATGACTAGGGATGACTAGGGATGACTGGGATGACTAGGGATGACTAGGGATGACTGGGATGACTAGGGATGACTAGGATGACTAGGGATGACTGGGATGACTAGGGATGACTAGGGATGACTAGGAATGACTAGGGATGGCTGGGTTGACTAGGGATGACTAGGGATGACTAGGGATGACTAGGGATGACTAGGGATGACTAGGGATGACTAGGGATGACTAGGGATGACTAGGGATGACTAGGGATCACTGGGATGACTAGGGATGACTGGGATGACTAGGGATGCCTAGGGATGACTGGGATGACTGGGGATGACTAGGGATGACTAGGATAACTGGGATGACTGGGGATGACTGGGATGACTGGGGATGACTGGGATGACTGGGGATGACTAGGGATGACTAGGGATGACTAGGGATGACAAGGGATGACTAGGGATGACTGGGATGACTAGGGATGACTAGGGATGACTAGGGATGACTAGGGATGACTGGGATGACTAGGGATGACTAGGGATGACTAGGGATGACTAGGGATGACTAGGGATGACTAGGGATGACTGGGATGACTAGGGATGACTAGGGATGACTGGGATGACTAGGGATGACTAGGGATGACTGGGATGACTAGGGATGACTAGGGATGACTAGGGATGACTAGGGATGACTAGGGATGACTAGGGATGACTAGGGATGACTAGGGATGACTAGGGATGACTAGGGATGACTAGGGATGACTAGGGATGACTAGGGATGACTAGGGATGACTAGGGATGACTAAGGATGACTAGGGATGACTAGGGATGACTAGGGATGACTAGAGATGACTAGGGATGACTAGGGATGACTAGGGATGACTAGGGATGACTGAGGGATGACTAGGGATGACTAGGGATGACTAGGGATGACTAGGGATGACTAGGGATGACTAGGGATGACTAGGGATGACTAGGGATGACTAAGGATGACTAGGGATGACTAGGGATGACTAGGGATGACTGGGATGACTAGGGATGACTAGGGATGACTAGGGATGACTAGGGATGACTAGGGATGACTAGGGATGACTGGGATGACTAGGGATGACTAGGGATGACTAGGGATGACTAGGGATGACTAGGGATGACTAGGGATGACTAGGGATGACTAGGGATGACTAGGGATGACTAGGGATGACTAGGGATGACTAGGGATGACTAGGGATGACTAGGGATGACTAGGGATGACTAGGGATGACTAGGGATGACTAGGGATGACTGGGATGACTAGGGATGACTAGGGATGACTAGGGATGACTAGGGATGACTAGGGATGACTAGGGATGACTGGGATGACTAGGGATGACTGGGATGACTAGGGATGACTAGGGATGACTAGGGATGACTAGGGATGACTAGGGATGACTGGGATGACTAGGGATGACTAGGGATGACTAGGGATGACTAGGGATGACTGGGATGACTAGGGATGACTAAGGATGACTAGGGATGACTGGGATGACTAGGGATGACTAGGGATGACTGGGATGACTAGGGATGACTAGGGATGACTAGGGATGACAAGGGATGACTAGGGATGACTAGGGATGACTAGGGATGACTAGGGATGACTAGGGATGACTAGGGATGACTAGGATGACTAGGGATGACTAGGGATGGCTGGGATGACTAGGGATGACTAGGGATGACTGGGATGACTAGGGATGACTAGGGATGACTAGGGATGACTAGGGATGACTAGGATGACTAGGGATGACTAGGGATGACTGGGGATGACTAGGGATGACTATGACTAGGGATGACTAGGGATGACTAGGGATGACTAGGGATGACTGGGATGACTAGGGATGACTAGGGATGACTAGGGATGACTAGGATGACTAGGGATGACTAGGGATGACTAGGGATGACTAGGGATGACTAGGGATGACTGGGATGACTAGGGATGACTAGGGATGACTGGGATGACTAGGGATGACTAGGGATGACTAGGGATGACTAGGGATGACTAGGGATGACTAGGGATGACTGGGATGACTAGGGATGACTAGGGATGACTAGGGATGACTAGGGATGACTAGGGATGACTAGGGATGACTAGGGATGACTGGGATGACTAGGGATGACTAGGGATGACTGGGATGACTAGGATGACTAGGGATGACTAGGGATGACTGGGATGACTAGGGATGACTGGGATGACTAGGGATGACTAGGGATGACTAGGGATGACTAGGGATGACTAGGGATGACTAGGGATGACTGGGATGACTAGGGATGACTAGGGATGACTAGGGATGACTAGGGATGACTAGGGATGACTAGGGATGACTAGGGATGACTGGGATGACTAGGGATGACTAGGGATGACTAGGGATGACTAGGGATGACTGGGATGACTAGGGATGACTAGGGATGACTAGGGATGACTAGGGATGACTAGGGATGACTGGGATGACTAGGGATGACTAGGGATGACTAGGGATGACTAGGGATGACTAGGGATGACTGGGATGACTAGGGATGACTAGGGATGACTGGGATGACTATGGATGACTAGGGATGACTAGGGATGACTAGGATGACTAGGGATGACTAGGGATGACTAAGGATGACTAGGGATGACTGAGGATAACAAAGGATTACTGGGATGACTATGGATGACTAGGGATGACTAGGAATGACGAGGCATGACTGGGATGACTACGGATGACTAGGATGACTAGGAATGACTAGGGATGATTAGAGATGACTAGGATGACTAGGGATGACTAGGAAGGACTGGGATGACTAAGGATGACTAGGGATGGCTAGGAATGACTAGGATAACAAGGGATGACTAGGGATGACTAGCATGACTAGGGATCCCTCGGATGACTAGGGAGTACTAGGGATGACTAGGGATGACTGGGATGACTAGGGATGACTGGGATGACTAGGGATGACTAGGGATGACTTGGTTGACTAGGGATGACTAGGGATGACTAGGGATGACTAGGGATGACTAGGGATGACTGGGATGACTAGGAATGACTAGGGATGACTGGGATGACTAGGGATGACTAGGGATGACTAGGGATGACTAGGGATGACTAGGGATGACTGGGGATGACTAGGGATGACTAGGGATGACTGGGATGACTAGGGATGAATGGGATGACTAGGGATAATTAGGGATGACTAGGGATAACAGGGGATGACTAGAGATGACTAGGGAGGAAAAGGGATGACCGGGATGACTAGGGATGACTAGGGATGACTAGGATGAGTGAGACGACTAGGGATAACTAGGGATGACTAAGGATGACTAGGGATGACTGGGGTGACTAGGGATCACTGGGATGACTAGGGATGACTAGGGATGACGAGGGATGACTAGGGATGACTAGGGATGACTAGGGATGACTGGGATGACTAGGGATGACTGGGATGACTAGGGATGACTAGGGATGACTAGGGATGACTAGGGATGAGTAGGGATGACTAGGGATGACTAGGGATGACTGGGATGACTAGGGATGACTAGGGATGACTAGGGATGACTAGGGATGACTAGGGATGACTAGGGATGACTAGGGATGACTAGGGATGACTAGGGATGACTAGGGATGACTAAGGATGACTAGGGATGACTAGGGATGACTAGATGGGGATGACTAGGGATGACTAGGGATGACTAAGGATGACTAGGGATGACTAGGGATGACTAGGGATGACTAGGGATGACTAGGGATGACTAGGGATGACTAGGGATGACTAGGGATGACTGGGATGACTAGGGATGACTAGGGATGACTGGGATGACTAGGGATGACTAGGGATGACTGGGATGACTAGGGATGACTGGGATGACTAGGGATGACTAGGGATGACTAGGGATGACTAGGGATGACTAGGGATGACTGGGATGACTAGGGATGACTGGGATGACTAGGGATGACTAGGGATGACTAGGGATGACTAGGGATGACTAGGGATGACTGGGATGACTAGGGATGACTGGGTTGACTAGGGATTACTAGGGATGACTGGGATGACTAGGGATGACTAGGGATGACTAGGGATGACTAGGGATGACTAGGGATGACTAGGGATGACTAGGGATGACTAGGGATGACTAGGGATGACTGGGATGACTAGGGATGACTATTGATGACTGGGATGACTAGGGATGACTGGGATGACTAGGGATGACTAGGGATGACTGGGATGACTAGGGATGACTAGGGATGACTAGGGATGACTAGGGATGACTGGGATGACTAGGGATGACTAGGGATGACTAGGGATGACTAGGGATGAGTAGGGATGACTGGGATGACTAGGGATGACTAGGGATGACTAGGGATGACTAGGGATGACTAGGGATGACTAGGGATGACTAGGGATGACTAGGGATGACTAGGGATGACTAGGGATGACTAGGGATGACTAGGGATGACTAGGGATGACTAGGGATGACTAGGGATGACTCGGGATGACTAGGGATTACTAGGGATGACTAGGGATGACTAGGGATGACTAGGGATGACTAGGGATGACTAGGGATGACTACTAGGGATGACTAGGGATGACTGGGATGACTAGGGATGACTAGGGATGACTAGGGATGACTGGGATGACTAGGGATGACTAGGGATGACTAGGGATGACTAGGGATGACTGGGATGACTAGGGATGACTAGGGATGACTAGGGATGACTCGGGATGACTAGGGATGACTAGGGATGACTGGGATGACAAGGGATGACTAGGGATGACTAGGGATGACTAGGGATGACTGGGATGACAAGGGATGACTAGGGATGACTAGGGATGACTAGGGATGACTAGGATGACTGGGATGACTAGGGATGACTAGGGATGACTAGGGATGACTAGGGATGACTAGGGATGACTGGGATGACTAGGGATGACTAGGGATGACTGGGATGACTAGGGATGACTAGGGATGACTAGGGATGACTAGGGATGACTAGGGATGACTAGGGATGACTAGGGATGACTAGGGATGACTGGGATGACTAGGGATGACTAGGGATGACTGGGATGACTAGGGATGACTAGGGATGACTAGGGATGACTAGGGATGACTGGGATGACTAGGGATGACTGGGGATGACTAGGGATGACTAGGGATGACTGGGATAACTAGGGATGACTGGGTTGATTGGGGATTACTAGGGATGACTGGGATGACTAGGGATGAATGGGGATGACTAGGGATGATTAGGGATGAGTAGGGATGACTGGGATGACTCGGGATGACTAGGGATGACTGGGATGACTAGGGATTACTAGGGATGACTAGGGATGACTGGGATGACTAAAGATGACTAGGGATGACTGGGATGACTAGGGATGACTTGGATGACTAGGGATGACTGGGTTGACTAGGGATGACTAGGGATGACTAGTGATGACTAGGGATGACTGGGATGACTAGGGATGACTAGGGATGACTAGGGTGACTAGGGATGACTGGGATGACTAGGGATGACTGGGTTGACTAGGGATTACTGGGATGACTAGGAATGACTAGGGATGCCTAGGGATGACTAGGGATGACTAGGGATGACTGGGATGACTAGGGATGACTAGGGATGACTAGGGATGACTAGGGATGACTAGGGATGACTAGGGATGACTAGTGATGACTAGGGATGACTAGGGATGACTAGGGATGACTGGGATTACTAGGGATGAGTAGGGATGACTAGGGATGACTAGGGATGACTAGGGTTGACTGGGATGACTAGGGATGACTAGGGATGACTAGGGATGACTACGGATGACTAGGGATGACTGGGTTGACTAGGGATGACTAGGGATGACTGGGGATGACTAGGGATGACTGGGATGACACGAAATGACTTGGGATGACTAGGATGACTAGGGATGACCAGGTAAGAGTTGGGATGACTGGGGATGACTGGGATGACTAGGGATGACTATGGATGACTGGGATGACTAGGGATGACTTGGGATAAGTAGGGATGACTAGGGATGACTATTGATGACTAGGGATGTCTAGGGATGACTGGGATGACTAGGGATGACTAGGGATTACTAGAGTTTACTGGGATGACTAGAGATGACTCATGAGGACTAGGGATGACAAGGGATGACTGGGATGACAAGGGATGACTGAGGTGACTAGGGATGACTAGGGATGACTGGGATGACTAGGGATGACTAGGGATGACTGGGGTGACTAGGGATGACTAGGGATGACTAGGGATGACTGGGGTGACTAGGGATGACTAGGGATGACTGGGATGACTTTTATTACTATGGATCGCTAGGGATGACTAGGGATAACTAGGGATTTCTGGGATGACCTGGGATGACTAGGAATGACTGGGATTACTCGGGATGACTAGGGATGACTAGGGATGACAGAGATGAGTAGGGATTACTAGGGATGACTGGGATGACTGGGATGACTAGAGATGACTTGTGATTATTGGGGATGACAAGGGATGACTGGGATAACTAGGGATTACTAGGGATGACTAAGGATGACTGGGATGACTAGGGATGACTAGAGATGAGTAGGGATGCCTAGGGATAACTAGGGATGACTAGGGATGACTCGGAATGACTTGTGATGGCTGGGATGACTAGGGATGACCAGGTAAGAGTTGGGATGATTGGGGATGACTGGGATGACTTGGGATGACTAGGGATGACTGGGATGACTAGGGATGACTTGGGATGAGTAGGGATGACTAGGGATGCCTATTGACGACTAGGTATGACTAGGGATGACTGGGATGACTAGGGATGATTAGGGATGTGTAGGGATGTCTGGGATGACTAGGGATGACTGGGATGATCAGGGATGACTAGGGATGACTAGGGATGACTGGGATGACTAGGGATGACTCGGGATGACTGAGATGAGTCGTGATGACTAGGGATGACTGGGATGAGTAGGGATTACTAGGGATGACTAGGGATAACTCGGGATGACTGGGATGACTAGAGATGTCTTGTGATGACTAGGGATGACAAGGGATTACTGGGATGACTAGGGATGACTAGGGATGACTAGGGATGAGTAGGGATGACTGGGGATGACTGGGACGAGTAGGGATGACTAGAGATGCCTAGGGATGACTAGGGATGACTTGGAATGACTTGAGATGACTGGGATGACTAGGGATGACCAGGGAAGATTTGGGATGACTGGGGATGACTGGGATGACCTGGGATGACTAGGGATGACTGGGATGACTAGGAATTAGTAGGAATGACTAAGGATGACTAGGGATGAATAGTGATGACTAGGGATGTCTAGGGATGACTGGGATGACTAGGGATGACTGGGATGACCAGGGATGACTAGGGATTACTAGGAATGTCTAGGGATGACTCGCGATGGCTAGGGATGACTAGGGATGACTACGGATGACTATGGATGACTGGGGATGACTATGGATGACTAGGAATGATTGGGATTACTAGGGATGACTGGGATGACTAGGGATGACTAGAAGGGACTAGGGATTTCTACGGATGACTAGGGATGACTAGCGATGACTGGTAATGATTAGCGAGGACTATTGATGAATAGGGATGATTGGGGTGACTAGGGATGACTAGGGATTACTAGGGATGACTGGGATGACTAGGGATGACTAGGGATGACTGGGATGACTAGGGATTACTAGGCATGACTAGGGATGACTGGGATGACTAGGGATGACTCGGGATGACTAGGGATGTGTGGGATGACTGGGGATGACTGGGGATGAGTAGGGATGACTAGGGATGACTGGGATTACTAGGGATGACTTGGGATGACTAGGGATGACTAGGGATGAGTAGGGATGACTGTGATGACTAGAGATGACTCGTGATGACTAGGGATGACTAGGGATGACTGGGATGACTAGGGATGAGTAGGAATGAGTTTGGATGACTAGGGATGACTGGGATGACAAGGGATGACTATGGATGACTGGGAATGACTTGAGATGACTGGGATGACTAGGGATGACCAGGGAAGATTTGGGATAACTGGGGATGACTGGGATGACCTGGGATGACTAGGGATGACTGGGATGACTAGGAGTTAGTAGGAATGACTAAGGATGACTAGGGATGAATAGTGATGACTAGGGATGTCTAGGGATGACTGGGATGACTAGGGATGACTGGGATGACCAGGGATGACTAGGGATTACTAGGAATGTCTAGGGATGACTCGGGATGGCTAGGGATGACTAGGGATGACTACGGATGACTATGGATGACTGGGGATGACTATGGATGACTAGGAATGATTGGGATTACTAGGGATGACTAGGGATGACTAGAAGGGACTAGGGAGTTCTACGGATGACTAGGGATGACTAGCGATGACTGGTAATGACTAGCGAGGACTATTGATGAATAGGGATGATTGGGATGACTAGGGATGACTAGGGATTACTAGGGATGACTGGGATGACTAGGGATGACTAGGGATGACTGGGATGACTAGGGATTACTAGGCATGACTAGGGATGACTAGGGATGACTCGGGATGGCTAGGGATGAGTGAGATGACTGGGGATGACTGGGGATGAGTAGGGATGAGTAGGGATGACTGGGATTACTAGGGATGACTAGGGATGACTAGGGATGACTGTGATGACTAGAGATTACTCGTGATGAGTAGGGATGACTAGGGATGACTAGGGATGACTGGGATGACTAGGGATGAGTAGGAATGAGTTTGGATGACTAGGGATGACTGGGATGACAAGGGATGACTATGGATGACTGGGATGACTAGGAATGACTAGGAGGGACTAGGGATGTCTAGGGATGACTAGGGATGACTAGGGATGACTTGGATGCTTAGGAATGATTAGGGATGACTAGGTATGACTGGGATGACTAGGGATGACTATTGATCACTGGGATGACTAGGGATGACTAGGGATGACTGGGATGACTATGGATGACTAGGGATGACTAGGGATGACTGGGAATGATTAGGGATTACTAGGGATGACTAGTTATGACTAGGGGTTACTTGGATGGCTGGGTATTGTGCAATTATTTTAAATGCTTTATATCAAACATGGATCACAATGTTTGATTACAATATCAAATAATAAGAAAACAATGGCTAAATTTTGACGTGGAGCGGGCTATTTTTGCCGAACTTAAAAGTTGTTTATATTGTATTTGATGAAATACTGTCTAATTTTTTATTATTTTATTACTTTAAAAATAATTTTTAGAAGGAGCAGTTACGAATATAAAGATGTCGAGTTTTTCACCTGATTTCCAAATAATCACTCAAATTTAGTTGCCTTGGTATTTTCTGTATAAATTACTAATGTTTCGAGAAGGTCAAACGCAAATCCCTTTAAAACAATTTTTTTAGAGATCAGCTTTGAGATGTAACGAGCGGTAGAGTTTTATCTTTTTTTTGGTTTCTTAGATGCTATCGAAGAGTCAGCTAATCGAGCAGACACTGATGAAACAGTCGAGGACCGCAACCTAGATACGTCATTGGTGGAAATGCTGGATGACGTGATCATGCTTTATCACATTGCCGTACACAAACAGCTTTCCAAAGTACGAAGAATCAGTATTTGTAAAATTATTATGTGAAGAGTTCAACATGCCTAATACAGTTGACTCTCGGCTTGCGGACACCCTGCTATAACGGACACGCCGATAATACGGACAGCAACTAAATCCCAGGCAAAAATAAAGTACTGTGTACAGACGTTTGACTGACATAAACTCCTGCTGTTACGGACCCTCCCTAACACTAACTCAAGCCGCGTAAGCACTGTTTTCAGTTTCTCTTGAGGCGCTTGTAAGCCCCAAGAGAAACTGAAAACATTGCTCATTGAAAATTTTTGGAGGGACAAAGAAGAGTAGTAAAGTATTTTAAAAAAGGCCCATGACGACGGCTATCACGTTTTCCCGCCAAAATGACGCTGGCGCTCACGCGAACACCACATATTGTCCTCATAGTGCTAGTCTTAGAATCTAACGGTCTCCAATGAAAAGATAATACTGACAATATAATGTAGCGTTTGTGGACAGTACGTTTATTTCTTTCAGGTAAGAGCCGTGCGAGATAACATGAAACAGAACATCAAAGCACTCGAAGAAACGATGTCCAAGATCAGACGGTGCGAGCCAGAGGTACTGCAGTGTAGTTGTACAGCAGACAGGATTCCATTATCCAAATTCAAAAATCCAAATCCAATTGAAATCTGGCCATTACCCATGTGAAGGTTGGGTCCCCCGTTTGTTTTCCCGCTCTTCGAGGTCACATGAGTGATGACCCAGTCTTAGTTCTTCTTGTTATGTTTAGTTTTGGGTGTTCACTCGAAATAAAGACCAAAAAGTGACCAAACATCTACCTGAACTTTATCAACTGCATTGTTGGGGCGACTGTATTGATGGAGCAGACTGTCCCCCTTCTTGTCTCAGGGTCTAGATGACCCTCCCCCCCCACACCCACTCATCCGAAGCTCTGGATCTGGCACTGCAGTGTGTCCTTTGCTTTCTAGCAAGGCGTTTGTGTACCACGTGAATAGCTGGCTGCAAGGGGCTTATAGTCTTGATAGTATATTCTACTTCACGTTAACATGTAATTCTTCCGCACATTCTAGTGGTAAACGTGCTGTCAAATCTCGTAACCGGTAGCTATAATATATAAAAACCGTGGGGAGAAAGCAAAATACAAAACAAAACATATAAAAACTCCCAATTCTTCTGTTTCTGCTCCTTCTTCGGTATTTGCAACTTGAGCCACGAGGCTCTTAGAAACTTTTATTTTCATTGGCCTTTGAAAACACACCTGTTAGAGGAATGGGTCCGAGCTGTCGGCGCAATGATTTCTGGGATTGTTTTGGTGGATAAGCAAAAAAACAACTCGGTCGGAGAGATTCGTTGCGCCAAAGTGAGCATCTAAAGTAGCCAACGCCTATTACCAGCAACAACAATTTTCCTCTAACTGTCTGGTCCACGTACGCCTCCAGAATGACTTTGTTTTTTACCTTTGTTTAGAGAACAGACATTTTAACAGAGCTGGAAAGATCAAAACGCGTCTTCATGCAGGAAACAACCAATTGTGCAAGACATATGGCTTGGGTGCAAACTCTCATCTTTACTGAGGTTTGTTTTAGATCTAAATCAAAGCGGACTCAAACACTCTTCACTTCCTTCAACATCTTTAAAGTTCATTTTCACAACGACCATCCACTTTTTTGCAGGAAAAACAAGGCGATGTGCACTGGATGTTACAGTGTATCTTATCGTCTGTGGAGCGAGGTGCCACCAAGGGACCCCTGTTCGAATTCACGCCTGAGTTCTATATGGATGCCGCTATCAATGCGTTCCACGGGCTCAGGCACTACTTTCACCCAACGACAAACTTCAATGACATTCCAGGTACAATTTTCTTCTAAAGTCGCCACTTTCTAAGACGGACACCTTTGCGACCGCCACTAAGTGTCCGTCTTAAAGAGGGTCGAATAAACCTGAGAGAGTAAAGAAAGGCAGGGACCAACTCTAGCTGTTCGTTTTATAGACGCGTCCTTTAAGAGAGAGGGACTGTAAATAAGGACCAGGTATAGCATCGTTTAGTTTTGCCGTTTTAAATCATGTTAGACTGTCTACAAACAATTTGAATTGCCCTCTTGTCTCAAGAGAATTGTTACAGCTTCGAGGTATTCGAATGCAAACATTTCAAAATCACCGCGGTACAGCTCTCCAGGTGCTTAATATAAGTACCAGGAAGCTGGGAATAGTACTCATAGCCTACTGATCAGGAATATCTAAACAAATGATGTAAATCAATATCATGTAAACAGTTGTTTTATTGTTTTTTAATTATGTTACACTGCCTATCAACGATTTGAATTGTCCTCCTTGCTTGTATTGTGTCTCAAGAGAGGTTTCACAGCACCGAGGTATTCGTATCCAAACATTTCAAAATCACTGCGGTATAGCTCTCCAAGTCGCTTAATATACTCGGTAGGAACCTGGGAATAGTACTCAAGAACTTCATCTGTGTTGGTCGATTCGTGAATTGGCGGGAAAGTCACGCGGTCGTCAATTCCCGCCGTTTTTAACAAGAGGGGAGCGTCCTCAGCCATGGTCTCCAAGTGTCCAATGAAAGTGTAGTTGACAAGACACGGATGGCAGAGTTTTTCATATTCCCGCCAATGCTGATTTCGTGGAATATCTTCGGAAAAGTATTTAATAAATTCTGCAAAGCTAACGAAATTTTCATTTTTGTTCAAATCTTGCGGTCGATATTTGTTTATGATGTATTGCCGATCTAATCTACTCAATTTCGCGTCTCCTCCTATAAACTTGTCCTTGTACGCCGACAGCAAACGTTTTAGAGGCTCGCGAACAAAAAGAAACTTGAAATATGTCTTAATGCGTATTGCTCTTTCTTCTTCGTTGTATTGGTACAAGCGATTCCACAAATCCCACTCGTGGACCTAGAAAATGCAAGAAACTCAATAAACACGCAGTAAATAGATAAATAAGTTAATAGTAAATAAGTTGCTAAACTTATCTGAAAGTCCTGCCGTTTCATACTTTGATGAGGGTTTCTGAAATTTGTTTGTGAAAGGGACAACCTCGCAAATTCAGTGCCTTCCGTTTCCTGAGTTTTCTGTTGAATGGTTGGCTCGAAATCTTAGGAAAACCTTCCCAGAAAATCATTCATTCCAGCGTAGACCTCGGTTGTGTGGTACAACCTTTCATGGGCTGGGTGGGTAATGAAGAGGTTGATATCAATTGGGACGTTAGTTCTGATTCATCCCTTATCACCGTGTTGAGTCACCGTGGCGAACTCAACAAAGAAAAAAGGAAAATCCGAATGGATTGTGCCCACAAATTGCTGGCTTCGAGCAGCCACTTGAAGGGGTCGACATTGGCTTGAAGACAAGTAGACGAGCCAAATAGAACCAGAAACTCATAAGGGGTTTTCAACCACTTATGAGTTTCTGATAAAACCTAATGTCGTCGATAAGACTGAAAAATTAACGTCCCTTTTTCACGCTTTTCTAAACGGCTTTGGTCATCTTACCGACTTCTCGTTTTTCACCTTGATCCCACGCAGTTTTGCCAACACGTTCTTCCAGGTTGTCGTGCTTACTTTGGGAATTGTACAGTAGATGATCTTGTGTTCATCATCAACCACAATGTAGCCTAAACTATCACGATTCACTTTAGGTTCCTTCTCGTATGAATGCGTAAGACAATATTCCTCCACGATCTTTCTCCTGGCCATCTGCCTTGCTGTAGCATCTGCAATAAACGTGTCAAAAACGTTATCGGCGCCTTGAAAGATCGCGCGTACGTTGTATTAGCTTTGGTTAAGTATTACTGACTAGCTGCCGTCTGTCATAAAACATTCCGGGCTTTTACCTTAGGATTCCAAAAAGAACCCTCTCCCCAAAAGTCGCGGGTCCTTGAAAAACTAGTTGCTCAAAAATAAAAGCCGAAATGTGATGTATTTATTCATTTATTTATCTATTTTAGTTAGAGGAATTTTTCCCGGTAACTAGAACGCACGGGTAACCTATTTCATTCAACAAAAAGCCTTTATCATCACATTTTCAGGACAGCTTCATTCATAACCGACTGAGCCTTTGACATAGCTAACGCTATAGTAGCTTGTTTGCAGTTGTGCTTGAGAATTAGTTGGTATTGAATCGCATTGTGGGACTCTTTTAGGGGACGAATTTTGACCTAGTTTGCTGCGGAACCTCGTAACAGCCAATAGATTGATTAAGCATCGCGTTTACGGCAAACGTGAGATTTTCAAAATGAGAAATGAGCAGATAAAAACAGCGTAAACCAATTGTTATGGATAGAATTGGCGTGAATCCACCGATTTTCGTGTAGTTATAATGAACAGTAATTATTAGGGACTTAAAGATTCAACGACCCGACGGCAGCGAGAACATCTTAAAAACAATAGGTTTAATTAGCCAAACAAGGACTTTACACGTGCTTCACGCTTTTTTACATTTCTTTCCCTGTTTTGCACAACTACGGTGTGAAAATGCCTAATTTCGTGTTTTACGGAGAACGTAAACACGCAACGACGAAATGTTATTTCGCTTTCTGAACTTGAATATGGCCTCTTGGATTCAAATGTAGGAGGGTCCGCGTACAATTGAGAAAGTAAGTAAGTAGGAATTATCGCGATAAAGACTGAAAGAACGCGAATTCACTTTTAAAGCGACGTTCTCGTTGCTGTCTCGTCGCTGGATTTTAAAGTCCGTAATGAAAGAAGCGATCGCGTCCCCAAACCGCCCCCACAGTGCAATTCGATACAACACCGACACAGTTCCACTCGCAGCAAGGTCATTAGCCTCTGTTTCAAGGCGAAGCTAAGTGCGAAGATATTGATATGAAAATTATTATAATTCTCATGCAAAAAACTCGTTTTAATAGGGAAAGTTTCGCAGTTAGCCTCGGCGTTTTGAAAGTGAGAGTTTGTTTGTTTGTTTGTTTGTTTCAACTTGGTTACGTTGTTGTTGTTTTTGTTGTTGTTTTTTATAAGGGTAACTAATCGTAGGCTGTGTGCAAATTCATAAGGAAATCCTATGCCTGGATTTTCTTAAGCCTAATAAATTTAAAATTTTAGTCTTGTTTTCAATCACCCATGTTCCCATGGCAACTAGAAAATGTTACCAGAAAAGAATCAAAGCGATTGACCCGAGGTCGACCTTCGTTTCGCGAACTATATTGAAAAATACTTGGGTTTTTCGAGAGTTTATATTCTTTACTTGTTAGAGATAAACTAGTGATTTTTTTATAAGTCTTTTGTGTGTGTGTGTGTGTGTGGCAATCAACATGTTTACCTAACATGGAATGAAAATGACTATTCATGTTTTCCAATTATATAATTATTTTTTTCATGTGTCATGAGGAAATTTTAACACGTTTAATTAATCCAATATAGTCACATTAGTAGATTGAAATTATTTAAATGTCCAGTACTTTCACATATTCTTTCAATTTATTATCTCTCTCTTTCTCTCTTTTTTTTTTCATTCCTCGATTTTCAGTTCTAAAAGCTGGCATTAATACCCGCATCGCATTAAAACCCTTATACTCAATTTTGTACTGTCGAGTTAACAACATAGTGTTTCAGATAGATTCGACTTACATGGACTGGTACCACGTAAAACCTCGCTAACCTTCTTTCACCTCCTTTCCGTCTCTTTAGGCCGTTCTAATTCTTCTTTTTAACCAATTCGAACTCAAATCGTTTCGTCTTTTTGTTAACAGAAACGAAGGACGAAACACTTACCTAAGTTGATTCTTATTACTTCAGTCGACACTATCGCGGTCCAAGCTCCATAAACAAGGAGCAAAGCGAGAGTTGAAAGAACAAAAGCATACAAAATAAGTTTGACGTTTCGCCTAACTAACGCTTCAATTGCCATTCGTAGTCGCTTTAGTTCCTGCCCTGCTTGTTATCGGACGATTTTCTTCTTCAAGTATTCTTCTTCCTTTCGCGTGGAAGTGTACGGTATGCTACTCCCCTTCACCAGCTAAATCATTGTCTTTTAAGTGATTATCTCTTTAATTGCATGCATGCTTAACTTGAAGTAAGGTTTCCATGTTAATGTGTAATGGAGTGCGTTTCAAGTCAACTTTTCAAGCGGTTTTTCTTGGAGAATTTTTGGCAGGCTGCCGTTTCTTTAAGATTTCTGTTGCTCAACCTGTCTGTCCTTGACCTGCTACTCGCCGATGGCCTCCATGGAAAACCCAGGAATTATTGCAAAGTATTTATACGTTCAATCAAATTCAATCGGACTGAATTAATGCTTTTAAAGCACTTGTCAAAGATATTTTTTTACTTTTCGATCTCAAGTCATGCAGAAATTGGTACCAGCGAAAGTAACAATTACCAGCTCGTCAAAAGGGATAAACTCAGCATTGTTCTTGTTTTGTACCTACTACTCTGCATTTTATGTATATATTTTTGACACCAGTTTCGGTGTTATATTTATAGTTACAACGATAGAATGCTTTACAGACCTACGTGACCCCGACAACGCTGTTAGCAGTCGGAATTATACATTGTAATTTCATGGTTTTTTTAACCTACCATGGCCCCGAGGAATCCCGAATTTTATGAATATTTCTTCATTTTGGGTATTTCAACCAGACAGGAACGCTGTTTCAAAAACTTCTGATGTTTCTACTGTAGGTAGCACTTAGTCTTTGGGTCAAGGTAGCTCGCTTTGGCAGCTGTTTTGATTGGTTAACATCCTGGTTGTTTACCATTATTGGGAAGCTCCAGAAAATACGAGATATGATTTGAGGCCGGATGCAATTCAGTTTTCAACTCTTTGTAGTCTGTTCAGGTCTGAATTTGGATAAACAGTCAAACCCTTTAACCCTTTAAGTCCCTAATAATATCCATACATTGTCAAGAGATAAGGATGTGATATAAAATGATCACCAAACAGAAAATGCCTTGATCTTTTATTAAATTCTCTCAACTAATTCTTGAAGGAAATGTATGGAGATCAGTTTGGAGAATTTGTACATATGTATAGGTTAAATTAAGGGCGTAAAACTTAAAGGATTAAAACAACATACAACAGACGGGACCATAAGAAGGTGTCCGTAAAACTTTCAACAGGGTTTCACTGTAAAAATGTTCAGGAGGCACATTTGTTTGCTCCTCTGATAATTGTTACCCCTTTAATTTACATAGTAATTGAGGGCGGGTAACTAAGACCGTTTGTCCGCCCCCGCGGGTAACTAAGACCGTTTGTCCGCGCTGGAATTTCCACTGTTGTTCCACTGCTCCACTCATTGTGCCACTGTTGACCGCCGTCAGCGTAAAATCTCCATAGACGACTGGAGAGAGTTAGAAAAGAAACAAACCGAAACGAACGATGTTGTTTTTACTCTTTTCCAGATGCCACGAACACTCTCAACAAAATGGCTGTCTTTCTTTGCACGCACTTTATCGATCAAAGAATAATAAACCCAGGTAAGTATTTTGGCTTGTTGACAATGTTTGCTTCGACTTATATTTCGGCAGGTGTATTTTGCAGAACATCATGGCTTGCGGTGGTTAGCTCCAAATCTAGGCTCCTCTCACCACCGTACACTTCTATCCAAGCCATTAATTTTCTTTTTTCCTTCTTCTTCTCCTTTATTAGTGTATTCCTACCATACTATATACAATGTAAATATTTTATGAAAGTGTGAATAAAAACTGAATTGAATTGAATTTAAACAGCAGTAAAGTAAGGGTGAGCATTTATCAGGACCACTCGATACAGCTCCTTGTAAAACAGGCAATTGTATTATTTCTTACTTACAGATTTACGGGATGTTATTATACAAGCTTTGGCTGCGTTTGTTTGTTACCCAGACAGCCTTGCGGCAGTGGAGAGTATGCCCGAAGCACTGTAAGTTATAAACTCGTTCCCAATGTCCTCTCTCTCCGGCGATGACGGAGCTAATGCCAGATAGAGAGAGACCTGGAACGAGTACTAAAAAGTTTGCGACATGTTAAAGTTTCGGTATTTGTAATGGTAACAGGACTGCTAATGCCGGTCTGATAGAGAGAGTGATTAACAAAATCGGACGACCGCGTGGAACGAGTACTAAAAATAACTTTTAACAAAATTTTGTTATAATAAGCTATTTTTTAAATCAAAGCACAAGAAATTCGAAATTTTGTTTTGCTAGCAGTGTTTCGGTGATGGCGCGGTCCAAATGCGTACTGTCCTTTTGTTCAGTTGAAAAAAGTTGATAGCGATTTTGTCATAGTTATGATTAAACGGGAAATAGTTTTTAAAAAAATGATATGAAGTGAAGTACCGGTTATCTGCTTCCTAGTTATTTTCAATTTGAGGCATTTAATTTTAGGTTGGAAAAATCTATTCGTTCACTAATGGCAGCTTACGACAAACGATCCTGGGTTCAAACCACTTGGATTCTGGTGCGAATCTGGAAGGTAAGTGTCTTTTAAAAATAAAAACAGTAATTTAAAAACAAAAAGCAAAACAAAATTGAATAAACAAAAATGATTTAGGGACACCTTTCCTTCTCCAAGGCAGGCAAGGACAAATTATATATAAAAAAAAGCATAGCAAATTTCATTCTATTAAGGGCGGGGAAAAAAACAAACAAAACAAATAAATCTTCTGCTTAAACGTTTTGTTTTAAGTACTGCCACTGTATGAAATTTAGACTTTCTCAAAGCCCGTTTCTGGTTCGCATTCGACTTATGGCAAGTCTTTCAGAAATTTCATATACGGCCTTGAACTACACTCGGCGTGCTGTGTCCGCACTTCTAGAGTAATGGTTCAAAAGTCTGCCTTCAGTGCATATTTAAGCCTTGAATTTGAACGCGATGTCGGATTGGAATGCGTGGCATAAGATTCTTGTTCAGAGAATCCCGACCAAACGAAAGGGGCCTAGCGATGATGATGATGATTAGGAGGATGAGGATGACGACGAAGACCACGACGACGACGAAGGCTTCAGTGATTCCACCATTCTCTTTATTGAGATACTGGCAAATAGGAATTTAACCCTGTTGCGTGTTGTCTCGTCATTTTGTTTGAAATCACCTTTGTCTTTACTTCTGATGCGCTGTTTTCTTGACTCTGTTTTAGGGCTGTGGTTATGCGTTTCGTTACACAAGCTCACCAGACGCCCTCACTCTAGGACTGCCGGAGCAAGGTTAACTTTCTTCAGAACGAATTTAGTTTATGAATGTCAGTATATTTCGATGCCAGGCACTTAAAGTCTTTAAATGTCCAAAAGTGACCAGCGTCTAATCTCTGCTTATCATATCGCTCTTTTTTGAAACAGAAGGGTCATAGAAATAAGATATAAGCCGATCATTAAAGGTATAATGTTTAGATTGTTTAACAAGTTCTTTTCGTTTGTATCCGATAAAAATGTGCAGATAGCAGTGTTGCCGAGAAAAAACATGTGTTGCCTGCGTAACAAGCTTCATAGATAAGCGATGCGCGAGCTTGGAGGACTTATTAGGGAACTTAATCCAAGGCGTTTTTGAGCGGTGCAATTCATCCGAAGGTGGAGGACTTTTGCATTGTCGGGCAGTGGTTTTGCCCAAATTTTCAAGCAAGTCGTCTCTATAAGAGTAAAGACACTAAGCAATACAAATTTTAAAGCTTCAAGGCATCACTTCCAGTTGACGTGTGCCGCTTATAAACGCCTTTGCTTATCCCCTTACTTGCGCCCTTTATTGCTTTAAGTGTTAAAGTGATTGTTCGCAATCATTTGTAACCGAACTACTAGTCAGTGTTTTGTTTATTTCATTTATTTTACTCGTGTTTTTTTTTTCTTGTAGGTCATCTGCGGGCCAGTCTTCAACGTAAGTGTTATATGACCGAGTCTTACTCGTTTCTAACCCGTCACATAATTGTTCACGGACAGTTTTATTTCCATACATACTGGAAATAGAAAAGTGTATGACTTTGGCTTTCGACGGCCAGGATGGAAACGGATTGTAACTTGAGAACATTGGGTTAATTCAGTTTTCCAAGTTAAATACGTATGTTTTCGAAAATGACCAAAAACAATCATGCTTTGTTTTCCCTTCGATACAATCGTTTGATATCTTGTTTTTTTTTAGTTCCGAGTAAGGTGACTGAGATACTTGGTTAATATATAGATTTAGCCAAGCCTAAAAGCGGAGCTCTTTTTTGTATTTTAAGCCTTTATTAAAAACTGAATCATTGGATAATGCAATTCTAGCATTTTGATTGGCTTAGCCGTTATGGTATATGAGCTAATATACCATGTTCTCCATATATGGTCGGTGTACGCGTCAGTTTAAAATTGAAAGCTAGCTGAGATTTTTTTTCGCGAAGGATAGAACGGCGCCCGAAGCAAATCGTTTTAATTCATTTCTTAGAATACTAGAAATGCAATTTCAGCGCAAGAAAAAAGACAAAAACAAACAAAAAAGCCTCAAGAGCTTGTTTGAAAGTTTGTCGAAAAACACATGAAAACACATGGAACTAAAGTACCTTGACCAGCTACGAAAGAAGACAAGTGTTGTTTCTTCATGATCGCGAAGCCATTCGCCGATCGAGTCACTCGCCGATAGATAACTGCAGCTTGTTTATCCGACATGAAGAATATAAATCACAAGTAACCAGCTACAAATACAGGCTATGCAGGCATTCACTAGAGCAATCGAGGCGGCAGTATAGCTTCTTTTCTCGTTCAGCAAAACCAGCTTGTGGCTTCAAACAACTTCATAACAAGCGACCGGGGTAATACCGGTAGTTTTTCTCCGTTGTTCTTACTTTTATAACCGCACCGAAAATCCTAATTCATAGTAATTTCGACGGCTGTCACTTAAAAATTCCTTTCCTTCACATTATCTGCCAGGTTTTTTAAGCTGTTCTGCTGTGTAAAATCCTAGATTCACAATGAGTTTTTAAAAAACTAATGTTCATCGCTACAATGTTTTGATTTTTCATTCATGCAGTCTAGGCGAGTCCGTTCGCGCGTTGACAGTTTTGATAGACGTGCGACATGTGAATAGCGGAAGTCCCTTGTCTTTTCCGGTTTGTTCTAGTCGGGGCGATTCAACGAGATTTTGTGGGCGTTTTTAATAAAACAATTATTCCACTCGGGCTTGTTGGATATGAAATGATTATAGCCAACTCGGCGCTATGCGCCTCGTTGGCTATCTATCATCTCATATCCAACGTGCCCTCGTGGAATAATTGTTAAATATACCTTATAACAGTCTCACTAAGCGACTGAAATACTTAGTTGTAATGTCGAACACTTCGTTGGAAGTGATCAATAATATAGACATTTTTAATTTTTGATCCTTTTAGCTCCTCATCCATCCAGCAAGTGCCAGCAACTGTTTGGTCAGTTGTGCGTTAAAGACAACCAACTTGCAAACGAGTTCCTCAACGGCTTGTTAAACCAACTCAACTGGTCTTTTTCGGAGTTCATAGGAATGCTACAAGAGGTACGGAGACATTCAACCTGTTTATACTAGAAAACAGAATAATACAGGAGTTTTAAAAATATTGAGAAAGCTACTCGGAACACTTAGTTGTCCGTGATGTCCGAAGAATTCCGATGTAAACGCGAAGATGTTTCGATTAGATAACAACTCGTCTTGGCTTGACCATTTGTTAAAGATTCCGCTGCTGTAAATTGTCTCTCCACGATACATGATTCTAAAAACGTCTTAAATTTTCGTTGGAGCCAGATAATTCGTGTAGACAAGTTCCTTGCAAATTATCAGACCTATCTGCGATTTTTTTCCGCAGCAACGAAGTTTTTAACGGGGGTATTGCGGTGTTTTAATTTGCTGTTAATTTATTTTCGTTTTTCTAGATCCAACAGGCCACTCATCGCATGGAGAGTGTGCTGGACTCGCGCCAGCTACGAACATGCGCAGTGTGCTTTGACTTAACAGTCGGTTTAATGAGGGTGAGTTCTTGGCAAGCTACAATCATAGTTCTACTTTGCTTTTTTCTCTTGTTTTCCCATGGAAACGGCCAGCAAAATGTGGTAGCAAACTGATCAGTCTCAAACTGATTACGCCAAGAAGGGGAATTGACTAATGAAGAGTCACTTGTCTCAGAAACCTACCACAGAATTCAACACTAAACACACCTCAAATAGGCCGTCGCACTCCCTGTGCAATCCACGAAAAGAGTAACTGTATGAATAAAGGTATATTGACCAGTGATTTTCTTTGTTCGTTGCCACAGTTTCTATCTTAAGGGTCCTTTATTCGCGTAAGATAGCACTGGACACCGGACTTAGTTGGGGCTGTTCTGGGAACCCGTATCCACTCAAAACTAAATATTATATTACATTATTTATGGCGTCTCTACTTGTTAGGTTCTAGAGATGGTAGCTACCGTAGCTCCTGAGGTTTTCACTGACTGGAAACGACAATCTGCTGAACTGCACATCGCTCGCCTTTTCCAGGTGAACAAATCTATCTTAACTTTCCTTTTTTTTCTGCCCCTGTCCCATCTTCACTCATCTCATTTCGCCCTCCCCCCCGCCCCCTCTTCTTTTATTGCTTAAATTGGTTCTGCTTTTTTCCCTTAGTTGTTGACTCAGGTCCTTAATCGGGTAACTGCCAGTTCAAACTTGTTTGAGAACGTAACAAGGCTTCACTTACCAGGTAGATGGTGCATATTTTATCCCTTTCACTCTCAAAAGGAGCCAAAATCAAAGTTCACCAAATTGTTTTCAGCGTGTTGTAAAAGCTCAAAAACAAATAGTTCCATGCGAAAGGACGTCTAGTGAGTTTTCATTTGAATGGCAACACCATAAGATTTCATCCACAAACTCAAAAGTTAGTACTACATACTAAATAAATAGTACCATGTGAAAGTACTGCTGAAGAGGTTTCTTTTGAATGGTAACACCATAAGATTTCATCCACAGACTCAAAAGTTAGAGCAGCATACTAAATAACTAGTATCACTGAATGTGATGTGAAAGTACTGCTGAAGAGATTTCATTTGAATGGTCACACCATAGGATTTCATCCACAGATTCAAAAGTTAGAAACATCCAAGATTCCGTTATTCACCCAGTGAAGGGGTCCATTTAAATAGTCAATTTTAACTTCCTTATAAACGTCAAAACTATATCTATTAGTTTTGGAAAAATCTTTGGGACATGTTATTTTAAGCGAAAAAACATTCAAGCTGAACACTCGACCATGTTTGGTCAGATTTGAAGATACTTGTTACACATTAATTCCTTTTTTTTTTGAGGTTTGAAAATTTAGTTTATTCATTCCTTTATCAAGATATTTCTTTCTATATTCTAAGGACTAGAGACAGTGGATAGGTTTCCCATTCTCGGCGCTGTGACTGGAATTTTATTAACGCTGCTGATGGACGGAACCAGTGAAAGGTTTGTTTCTTTACTCCTCTTTTAATTCATCGAAATTTACCAAAGACTGCTCTCTAAGCTGAGTAGCGACGATTACATTTGTCTTCTATTGATTACATGTAAAGTAAAAAGATTTAAAAATGAGATTGGCTTTCGTAGGCCTCATGGCATGCATGAAAACTTCGCCGTTTGTAAGGTAATTCAAGACACAGTCTTCACGCTGTGGGTTTCGGATTCCTTGTCAACGGAATTGGGATTCCTGATTCCAATCGTTTGCGGGATTCTTGATTCATTGAGCTGAATTGAGGATTCCAGAACCCAGGATTCCAGATTCCACAAGTAAAAATTTCCCGGAATCCAGATTACCTTACACGAGGAGAAAAATTAAACTAAACAAATAAAGTTCTTGATTGATTGACTGATCTTAGCCTTTTCATAGTGTTTAACCTGTAACTGCCACGCGAAGAAAGCCAAAAATATGTAGCACTCGCCTGTTAATCCCACCAGCTATATAGGTTATAGATTGAATAACTGGGTGCTTTGTGTGGTCTTTTTACGCAGTAAAGAGAGGGCAACCTCATCCTTGTTGGCAGAGCCAGGATACAGTCTGGACACGGTTTGTTTCTTGGTTGGAGGGAGAATATCAGGAGCAGATAGCGCCAAACCAAAGTTTTCTTTCAAATCCTGTAGGTGTTTTTTCAAGATTTTAGTACTAGTTTGTGGACAATAATGTTTCGTGATGAAATGTTTTACGCGCTGTAAACTGCTACCTTTGGGAACTTTGTAACTGAAAGCGGCAGATCTAAACTGCCATCGTTTTCCTATTTTCTCTGCGAGAAAGGGAAACAAAGGAGCGCGTCTCTCTTTTCTCCCGCCTCTCTTTCCTCGCGTGTCGCGTCGTATACGCGTGAGAGGGGATTTTCCGCCCTCGCGTGTTTTACTTGCCCTACCATTAGCTCTGATGAAGTGTATCAAGAAGCGACGAAGCGTTTTGCACCTTTAAAAACGTTTAAAAAGGAAACGTTTCTGACCTCTCTTCTACGCGTTTTGCGATTTGGCGTGGATAACTACTACAACTTGGAAAATAGCCCAAAGTAAAACTGTGCTGATGATTTCTTTTTGAAGTGATAAACAGGGACGTAACTGCAGATGAAGTACAGCGACTGGAGAGCCTGGTAACCTACCTTGAGGAGCAAGACTCGCAATCTCTGCTACACAAACAGGTGCGTGACGTCACTACCGTCAGTAAAATTCGGGGAGAATGGTGATCAGTTAGCATAATTTCCAGCCGTTTTGTGCGCCCGCGTTCCTTAGCGCACACAAGCCCGCACGCAATCTCGTCTTAGTGGAAATCTGTATTTGGTCTTTGATTTGTTCGCTTGTATTTATTTTGAGCAATATGTGACAAGAAATGCGGTCCCTTTTTGGCAGGAGTCCGTGGATGTTGATGATTTATGCCCAATCTGTTGCGCAGTGAAGATCTCGGTCAGGTTCATTCCCTGTTCACACGCATCTTGCAGGTGAGTATCACGTGCGATAAAAATGATTGGTTCATTTATATTTCTGTGTCCGTTTAATTGTGTTTTGAATATGCTTTTGTACATTATGCTTTTGTTTCCCCACTAAAATGCGCCACCTTAATGTCCATAGTTTTCCACTAAAATGTTCGGTCGTCTTCAAAAAAGTCATTAAATGCTCGGAAAATCAATGAGAGGCCTTTTTAGTCATTCTAAATGTTCTAAGAGGGTTTAAGGCTAACGAAAATATATGTGGTAAAACAATGTGGCTGTGAATGGCGGCACATGATAGCCGTGGCGATGAACATAACAACAAAACGTTTAATCATACACGAGGCTGAATCAACTCACAAGTATCATCACAAACATCCGTTAGAAATCCGTAGCACGAGAAAGAAAAACTGAAACAAACGACTTACAAAACACTTGGGAAACTTGAAGAAAACCTTAGTGAAACTTCAGGTTATTTCACGGTGGCCTCGTGCCCGCCAATGCCGAGGCCCCGTGCGCATGCTCCTAATAAACGAGGGGGTAAGCCCGCTGGTCAGGATACCAGCAGTTACAAACAACAATGTATAACCATGTAACAGTTTTAATAGAACAAAAAAGGATCTTCTACACGTCTGACATTGCCTCTGTTTTTTGTTTTTAGATCATGTATATCTCGACATCTTATGAACAACAAAGAATGTTTTTTTTGTAAAAGTGCAGTCAACGGAATGGAGGATATTTCGACGGAAGCTGGCTCTAAGAAGCAGTAAGCAGCCTGATGAATCCTTCCATTCGTCTTCTCTCGAAACTGGCAGCCGAATCATAATGTTTTTGTAAAAAGTATATATGAAATAAAAGCTGCCGTGGAGTACTAAGGCGAAGAAGGCAGTAATATGATTCTTTATGTGAAATCTAACACTAAAGCTTTCTTCCAGCCAACAAATTATGTGAACTGAACAACTTCACTAACGTGTCACATTTTCTAGCTGGCTACACATAGCCTACTGATCAGGAATATTTAAACAAATGATGTAAATTAATATCATGTTAAAAGCTGTTCTACTGTTTTCATTTGGGCGTCGCCCAAATAGAGTAAGCGAGTTCGCTTGATTCAAAGTTGCAATAGGCGCGCAATACGTGCGAACGTAAACAAGCAAAGCGACGCGAATGTCTGCCGCGCGCTGTGTCACAACACAGCATTTATCTTCGTTACATACGACCAACAGATAACGCACGGCAAACAAATCGGCAATAGAAAACAAACTTTTTGGAAAAACAAGGTACACTTAGTGAAACAAAGTATTAAATAATTTAAATTTTCCCTTAGGAAAGTAATCGTCCTCGCAACACACGGTGTGAATGGTTTGGCTTATTGCCAAGGGTTTGACAATATTTTGCTCCCAGTTGTCAAGCACCAAAGGGGATGTGACGCAAAATTCCATGATCTCATGCATGAGATAAATTAAGGATAACACTGGATGATGCATAATTTCATTGCATATTTTCGGAAAGGAGGTGATTTCTTAAAATCTTATTGAGGAAAATGACCTGGTAAACAAGATGCATTCTTTCACGGTCGAAGAGTAAAAGGGGCAGAGTCCAACATCTTCACGTGCAATCCACTGTAGGTTCCTCGCATGAATGTTTGAGACAAAGTTGTGAGACAATGTTTCTCCATGGTCTTTCTCCTGTCCGTCTGCCTCGTTGTGGCATCTGTAGTAAACGTCTTACTAAAGTTACTAAAGTTACCTCCGCCTTGAAAGGCGGCGCGTTATATTGGATTTGGTTAAGTATTACTGCAGTGTAACCTCAATATGGGCCAACGGACTGGGAAACATTTGTTCCATATAACGAGGTTTCGTTACGTCGAGGTTCTTTTTCATAAATTTAACTATTACTGCTGACATCGTTAATTTGAGATTCGTTATTTCAGACAACAATGGAGACAGTTCCACTGTAGCTATTTCTGGTGGACAAACAAAACGAGCTTTTGTAGCGATCTTTTGAACCGTCCCCCAACATGGCGGGTCCGTTACTGAAAAACCACTAGCTAACCAACCGGAAAAAAAAACCGTTCGTAACACCGCACACATCATTAAAGGTTTGAACCCAGGAGTCATTTCAAAAGTAGGGACTGTCAACAACAACAGTCCTATTCAGGACTACGTTCACCCGGACGATCAAACTCAACCTACATATATTTAGTTTAGGTAGATTGCAAGGGTAATCATTTATATCCAACAAAAAGCCGAAAACATCCCTTGTAGAACAGCTACATCAGCTTATAGCTGACTGATCCTCTGACAATGCAACCAGATCAACTATCGTCATAATGGCTACCTGATTTTGAGGTTGTATTTGCCTGTTTTGGGGGACGAATTTTGACCTGTAGGTTCCCGTATTGAAACACCTTCTTTAGTCCGATTGTTAGCACTCGGCCCAGGCCCCCTTGTTTATTGGCCCTCCAAAAACCAAGTCTCTTCTAGCTCTGGGAATTGCGAGACAATGGAGTCGTGAAAAATTTGTAATTTTGTCCCCATAAAGCCTTAGAGTCGTGAATGATATAATTTCAATATGTCGAACGTGGGCTATTACCTAGCATTGAAGGAAAATTATTATTCATGTTTGCCAATGATATATAATTATTTTTTCATACGTGTTATAAGGAAATTGTGCATGCATTTAATTAATCCAGTGAAGTCAAATTAGTAGAATCCGAGCCATTTTAACTCCCGAGGACTTTTACTTATTCTCATTGTTTCTATTTTCGGAGATTTTATTCTTGTTGTTTTTTTTTCTTTCTTTTAAGACCTGCATTAAGACCCGCATCACATTTGAATCTTCATATTCAACTTTCTTTGAGATGTTTCAAAAGTAATTCGAAAACTAACTCGTTTAACGTTCTTTGTTCTTCCTTCTTTGATTTTTTTCCCGTCTCTTTAGGCTGTTCTTATTAGTTTTGTTCTTAACCAGCTCGAATTTTGTTCGTCTTATGGTTTAAACATGTACACAAACGCAAACGGGAACATAAGGGGAACACTCTTACCTGAATTGATTCTTGACACGACTTTATTGGATACTACAGGCCAAGCTCCGTAATAAAACAGCAAAGCAAAATTTAAGAGAACGAAAACATATAATATGGGCTTGACTAACGCTCCAATTGCCATTCCTAGTCGCTATAGTTCTTGCCCTGTTATCGCACGATTTTTTTCTACTTTAATTATTCTCCTGCCTTTAAAGTTCTAATTCTTGCCTGCCTTACTGTGCATGTTTAACTTCCATTTATTTTGCGAGGACTTCTAAAAGGCAAAGCATCATTGGGCTTCCTTCCAGTTCAAATTTCGAATTGCCCTCAATCGGTATGGAACTTAAAGTTAATTACACGTAAATGACAAAATCAGAGATCCGACAAAAAAAAATATGCCTTCTGATGTTTTTTGAAGTTGCTCAACTTTGAAAAACTGTTAGGTTTTTGCCCATCCGTTGTTTCTGTTATTTAAACCTTCCTTTAAAGTTTTAAGCGGTTATTTCTATGTTTGTCTTAATTTAACGGGCATTTTGTAATTTCCTAATTTGGCTGAATTTCGTGACACAATTCCTTTAAGCACTTTTTCTTGGATAATTTTTGGCCAGCTGTTTAAAGCCTTCCCTCGCCCCAGGCCGGCAGCTGCTCGGCAATGGTCTACGTAGAGTCACGAAAAGGGACTATCGCAAACTTTATTATTACTATTATTAATATTATTATCATTATTATTATTATTATTATTACTTTAACACGTTTCAAAGACAGTATGGAGTACTCAAAGTGTACTAGAAATTGTTACCAGCGAAAGTTGCAATTAAATACCAGTATAAACAATCAGAATGAGCCCATGGTATATAGAGGATATTACACGGTAGCGCGAAGAAAAACAATATTTTACTCACTCGCTGCGCTCGTTCGTAAAATATTGTTTTTGCCACGAGAAAATAAAATTACTAAAATTCATATCTTCAAGCCGCCGTGTAATGTTCTTTCTATTATATAGACAAAAAGACATCGATAAAATAATACAGGGAAATGACCAAAATTACGTCATCGATAAACTCACGTGTGAGATTATGGAAAATAAACCACTCGGGTCCCGGATGTAGTTTTTATGAATTTTACGAGTGGTATATTTTCCAGTAAAACACTCGTGTCTATATAATAAGGACTGTTATTGCACTTCGTTGTATTTCTATTAAAAGGCTGAGAGTTATATTTCGATTCAATGAGTCTGCGCGTTAAAAGTAATTTTCCCAAACATGTGGTAGCTACGTCATTTCAGGGGCACCCAACGATTTTTTCCTGCGAAATAACTGTTCGAATTAGCAAATATTGTCTACAGGAATATATAGATCTTGAGAAAGGCTAAAATTCCGCATTCGTTCGTTGGTTTATTTATTTTTGCCATTGACCTTTCACATGAGGGGAAAGCCACACACGTTTCCACGTTTGATGCGGTAAAAAAGAAACTCTCGTTCCATGACTGTTTTCGTACTTTATTACCTCTGAAGTTTGTCATAATATTAACCTTAAAATAAATTTATAAATTCCAGCTTATTCAATAAAATACATAGTACGTATATCAAATTATGTAAGTAAGGTTGTATAATGCTTACCCGCGTGGAAGGCGTTAGAAAATGATGGTGAATAGGGCGTGAAAATTGCCTTCCCTTCCCCTTCCACAAGAGTGCAAAACGTCGGTTGGATACCGGTATCGATCCAACAGTGCGTATGTCGCGCCGTGTAACTTTGCCCCAAATTGAGGAGCATCGTTAACATTTAGAACTTTAACTGAGTAAAGGAGATCCATACTAAAGTTCGTATTCTTCCTCCTTAATATCTGTCGAGCAGACTCAAAGTGCACTTTTACCGCTTACGATCTAAAGTTGACACCCCCAATCAAATTAACGCCTCGTTGCACCCATACCGGCGATGTTAATGATGAACGCGTCCTATCTATTTTATGGCCTGTTTACATGGAGGTGGGGGACCCCAGGCAGTTGAGGTAACCCGCTTTGGTGGGTAACCCGCCCGTCCAGATAATCTCTCATTTTAATTTGATCACGTTTACATGATAGGTGAGGTGACCGGCCCCATGTTACCTTACCTACCAGGGGTCCCCCACCTCCATGTAAACAGGCCGTCAAAAGCCCCTGCCTGCCTCAGTTGGACCTCTAAATTTCTATTAACGCCTTGTGGGTCTATTAGAACATTTATGGAGTTGCTATAACAAGAATATTGTGCATATTCAGATGGCAGACAACACTTTAATGTATCTAAACGCTCCATTTATGTCTTTTATACCCGGACGGCCATATTCATAAAAATGGCAGGCATTTTTGCTGTCGCTAGCTACAGGAAATATTCCTTCGAATAAAGCACTAAATGAAGCTGATAGATAAAACTCCAAAAAAAATTAAAATATTTAGCTTATTTTCGAGGCATGCAGGCGCTAATTCAGGAAGCGAAGGAGAAAAATGTCAACAACCAAAACGACGACTTCAAAAAAACAATAGGTTTTCAAGATCAAAACATCAGCCACGCACGTGCATCACGCTTTTTAGTACATTTCTTTGACGTCCACTGCACGACTACGACGTGAAACCTCCAAATTTGACGTTTTATGGAGGACGTGGACATACGACCACGGATTTTCCTTCCTCTTTTTGAACCAGAATAAAATCCTTAAGAATTCAACTCCAGGAAAAGTCGCCTGCATTTGACTTATTGAACAGGTCCAAATAGACGCGATTAAGTTTGAAAGAACGCAAATTCATTTTTTTAACGACTGTTTCACTGCCGTCGTCGTCGTCCTTGCTTAAGGTCCCTATTCTCATTACGAGAAGACATGTTGAGCGCTCCTAAGTATATGACTTAATCTGTCGAGAACTTTAAACCCCTGAGTAGCAATTTAGACTCGCCAATGAACATCTCTTCCCAGTAATCTTTATAAAAACTTGACTATTTTCCTAGTGTTCAATTGTTTTTATATTACATGATAATTTGCGGCTCTGGCGAGGAGTTCGATATGGATTTATGCGGAAGAATTCTTCCGCCGTTGATATATAATTCATCTTTTACTATGACATCTTCTCCTAGAACAGACACTCCTTCCATTCGAACCTAGACAAAAAAGGCAGAAAGTTGTATAAACGATTGTGCTCCAGGGAAACAAAGGTAAATATTCACTAAGAGACAGCGAGATCTCCAAGCAGGATTTTAGGTGGAGATTGCAAGAATATCAATTTTTACATATTTCCAAGCTAGTAAAATTAGTTTAACCAGATGGTTGGTGCCTAACATACTTTAGCATCAATGGTAATACAACAGGTCGATCCCGTTGCAAGATATTCGTAGTGCCTGGCGAATTCCCTGAAGGCGATGTTTATTGTTACATGGGTCAATTTGCAACGAAGATTTAGGGCAACAATGTTGGAACAATGGAGTCACAATTTAAAACAACGTCGTAACAAATGAAAGTTGCAACGCTCTGTTGCACTGAAATCGTCCCGTATAACATAAGAGTGTCGGAAAATAAAGAACAAATGAAATCAGGTAAGGACGATAGTAATGTTAATCACAACGGTGAATGGCGGTAACGGAGATGATGATGGTGAGAATAATTATTAATGATGATGATGATGATGATGATGATGATGATGATGATGATGTCAGGAATGATGATGATTTTAAAACTTTTTATTTTAAATTAATCTATTTTCAATTAATTCAATTTATTGCTGTGTATATGAAACACAAATAAATAACCTACCCACTGTCCAACAACTGACTTCCAACCAATAATTGCAGAATGAATCCATGAATGAGATCTTATGACTGACTCTTGCATTATTGTACAGCGTGAAAGACATACCCCTGATGAAAAAATCAGCAAGAAAACCGTGCGTTTGACAAAGCAAAAAGGTCTTAATAAGACATTTGTATGTACAGGAATAGTGACTTCTGTTTACTACAGAAAGCAGTTGATGTGACGAAGTGTTCTGATTTCATGCCCTTGTTGAGTTGTTCACAATCCATTTGATAACAGCAGAGATAGGAGTCAATGTTAGACCAAGTATGGCCAAACTAACCTCAAGTGCATCAACCACCGTGACTCATTTGGAATACGAAATGTTACTTTGGTCCCCAGAATGTAAAATAAAAAAGTAAGTTTAGCCAACGCATTTAAAACGCTTTAAGCAAAGAATTCTCCAAACAGGACTACCATTAAGGCAAGAGTTGGTCTTGAATGAATGTTGGGAAGGAAACATAAAGTATGGTGCTGATTAAACTGGCGATTTACTGCTTTTTGTTTGACCACTCAAAAGTTGACTGGCAATGAATTTAGTGCCATAAAATCGAAGCTCTACAAGTTTTTACTTTTACATGGTTTCACTTCGAACCTTCGTCACGAGACTTACATCTGTTTTATCGCTAGAAATCTCGATTCATGGACTACAATGTTACAGGATCACGCGTCACAGTGAATATATAATTCAAGAATCACGGCTGTATTTCATGAGTTTTCCCGCTTCACACTCTGTTTACCGGTCAATTCACGGATCATGCAAAACCCCTCCCACACCCTGTTCGGAGAAAATCGATGTTGGTCACTCATAACATTACTCACCATCCTGAATGACAGCATTTGGGCCAATGACTACATTAGGTCCTATTCTACAGTTCTCCCCTATTTTAGCGCTAGGATCCTGGATAAGCAAAAAGGAACAAGTAGGTTGAGTATAACTTGCGGGTGAACATAGTCCTGAATAGGACTGTTGTTGTTGACAGTGACTGAGGTTTTGACAACCTGTGTGGTAGTCATCTTCAGAGTCAAAATGAGTTGTATCACGTCAGTTGATGGTATTAAATTCTGGTTATTGACCTGATTGCTCAATCAAGTCATGATGTATTGCTTGTCTGTCAGTTAAGCTGTGATGTTATTGGCTATGAAAACTCGTAATGTCATTGGTGCATTTCAATCCATCTATTGTCACAGTTAAACAGTTGTGTACTGTTAGTCAGAGTCATTCTCTCGTAGTTACTTTTGCTTGAGTCCAGTGCTGGTAACTGTTGACTACAAAATTTGTAGTCATCCATTTAATGGAAGATATTATGATAGATTTTTAGAACAATTGTACCAATAAGGCCTTACCTGCCTGAGTATTTTTAATTGATAAAGAAGGAATTATGGATTCAAGATGTCCATCTAACAACTTACCACAAGCACATTGCCAATACTCCCAGATCCTTCGTGGAGGAGTTCTGGATGTTTTTCTCTCAAATATTGTAGGTACATAACCATGCCTGTTAAGAAGTCTTTCGGCTGCCCAACATCCATCCAAAACCCTGCAACAAGAACAACAACAACATAATTATTAGCAAATGAATAAGGTATCTAGTCTTCGTGCTGAGGGGGCAGAGAGACATGGTGCGGTCCAAAGCTCCCTCCTCCTGTAACCCTTTTTTCTTGGCTACCTCCTTTAGCCTTTTCCAATTGCTAAGTATCAAGCATTGTTGAGTTTAAGTCCCTCCCATTCCTCCTGCTTCTCACCCTTTCAGAACTCCCTCCTGCCCTTTCCCCCCTACCTCCTACGCCGCTTCCCCTCCCCTATTTTCCCAAGCTCCCAACCTTCCATCCTCTGCTACAAACTTAGACATACTTTGAAGGGGAAAGGCGGAAAGGGGCAATTAACGCTCACAAGAACCCGATGGACTCATGCAACCATCCCTTTCTGTTTATACACAAGCTACAAAGGCAAATGTTGAAATATACCTACCTGAAAGGTCAAATGCAAACAGATTATCATCTTGAGCCATCTTTGGAAAAATCTCCTTTTCTATGGATGTTGGTCTCAGCTGTGTGGCAAAACAAACGGCAAGAAAAAAAATTAATAAGCCCAGCATTGCTTCACCTTATCAAATATCTTAATAATATTGCCCAGCATTAACTCAGGATTGGTCCAGCCTTATCACAATAAACCAGTCCCTCAGTATTATTTTATCCCATATTTTGATGTTCATGAGAAAAACGAGAAAAATTCATTTTCCTTTTTTTTTCCATTCATGCAACATTTATTTCTAACTTACAATGCGATAGAGCTGGATAATATTTCACTAACTTCCATATCTAATTGTTTTGTGCTGTTGGTTGAGGGACAACATGGAAATGAACTTCAATTCGAAAATATAACAAAAACTCTATTTTGTTCAGGGTGCTTAGTGATTCGGTTACCCTTAATACACACACCGGAGGAGGTCAAACCAGAGTGTCTGTAGACACTATATTGGTTTCCTTTAAGAGGAATTGATTGTACGTTTAGTATCTTGAGGACCAAAAGATTCCTCTTTACTAGAGAGGGTTGCATTGTTTCAGAGTTTGTTTAGAGAGGTTTGCCATTGAATACAGGGCTCAAAATAATGGCCATTCAACTGACAATGTCCGGGTAAGATGACCATTTGCCCCGACAAGTGTTTGGTTTGCCGGTCATTTTGACCGACAGATAAATAAGGATTCATGACATTTTAAGAGGACAAGCATCTTTTTCACTTTATGTTTGCCTGTTAGGCTAGTACATATGTAAGTTTTTCATTTTAAGCATTTTGACCAGTCAGAAGAAAATTAACATGACCAAACTAGAATTTCTTTGGCCAGTCAACACGACTGGCAATTTTATTTTGAGTCCTGGACTGATACGTGTGAAATAGTACAACCAAAGATACAAGTAAACCCACCTCAATTCTATCAAGAATCTTTGGGCTAAAAATGTAGAGCCCGGCATTAATCTTGTTTGACACATACACTTGAGGCTTTTCAACGAACTTATCAATCCGTCCTGTTTTTAAATCATACACAACAACACCATACTTGGACGGTTCCTCAACTTTTGTTACCTGTTTCAAAGCAACAGAAACAGCCAAGCTACGTAAGAGAAGAATGCTCTGATTTCAGTGCAAAACACAGTTTACAAAAGGGTTCTATTAATTTTGTGATCAAAAGATCACTTGTGCTAAAGCTAATATTGGAAAAGAGAGCGTGCAAAGAAAGGCGTGTCCAATAGACAACAGCTGGTGAATTTTGTTATGGAGCTGTAAATTTTGTTCTTAACTTGCCCAATTGGCAAATGACATTTTTGGGGGGTCGGAATTCAAATTACAGAAGAACTGTCATCAACCCTGCTCATCAAAAATTTTTTCCAAGCACTGTACTCAAATAAGGTAACTTCAGACAACAAAAGAATCCACACCCCTTCCCCCTTCCCTCCATTCAAAGTTGGGGTGTTTGTTGTTTTCTACAGGCAGCTTGAACAGCGCACAACATTGCATGGAGGGGATGGAGGGAAAAGCTTTATTTTTCCCTTTTGAAGTCGGTAAAACGTCGGAAAGCCCCTTTAGGGCAAAGTGTCTCAACTAATTTTGTCGTCGATTGTATAGTTAAAGGGACGCTTTGCCTGGTAAATGCTAGCAACAGATTACCCGAATGGCAAGTAGTAAATACTGAACTTCTCTGCAGCCTGAAGAGCATTTAAAATGTAACAATTCAAACTATTACCCTAAACTGGCAATAATATTAATATTACTTCCTTGACCATTGGCATGCGCAGCATCTAACTGTAAAATATAGTTTGCATTAATGCAGAAACAATAATTTAGCAAAATTGTGTATGCTCACAACAATGGTTCCTTCTTTTCCATGATTCTTGTGGAATTCTGCCATTTGCTTGAAAGGGAAATCACACAATACATCACTATTTAAGACAAAGAAAGGCTCATCGTCTACTGTCAAGTGATCTCTTGCTAAAGCCAGAGGACCCGCTGAAAATATAAAAAAGATCAAGCTGTAAACATGGTAGTAGCAGAATCTACTATCAGTACTCATGTGTCGCGTAAAGCCTTGGTGGATCTTGGTTGGGGAAGAGGGGAGGGTGGGTGAGTGGGTATTGGGTCACCTTACGTAGGCTCTGCTTGGTGGGCTTATTAGAGAGACTGGCTGGGTGACCAGGCCCAAGTGATGAAAAGACGGATGCCGCCGTTCACTGGACAAACATTCTTTATCCACTGGGTAATGCAATTTGTTTTCCGAACTCTTATCTGCAGGACAGTGATTTATCCAGTGGACTGTATTATCCATTTCCTGAACAAACAGGAACATCTGAGAATTTTCTGTCTTGTAGAAAGTGGTAATAATAAGTAGCACATGATGTAGCTTCTAGTTTGCATCAATTGTCTCTCCAGTTAGTATTTTTCTTATAGAGATGCAACATATTAACTTACCTGTGCCCAGAGGCTCTTTTTCTTGTGAGATTGTGATTGTAATTCCTAACTCTGGAAAGCCAACGGACTCATCGAATTACCGGAAGTGCGTTTGTGGAAATTACAACCTGATTTGGTAAAATCAGTGTTAACAAAACAAACACTTTTAACCTAGGCCATATAAACCATGGCTAGAATCTGGGTCACAGCTGGATCCAGAACAAGGTTTCCACCGTTTTACTAAAACAGAGTTAACCATTTTTTAATTTATAGATGTATTTTAAATAAATAAAAACTTTTTTGTGCCCAGAGGCTTTTTCTGGGGAGAATGGAACTGGTAAAATCCTGTCTGAATGAAAAATCCAAACAAATAATATATTGGTATTAAAATCAAAAATTTTGGAAATCCCAAGGACGTTTTGGTAAAATCCAGTGTTAAAAATAACACTGCTAGCCTAGGAAATATAAACCATGCCTGGAGCTACTCACTCAAAGGATTCATGAAAAAAAAAAATTGATTGTTGTGTAAATGCAGTTTGATTTTATGTTGATTTCTCTTCTTATTCAACAAGAAAATTGAAAGGAGAATCGAGGAGTTGATCAGAACTAGCCTGTTGCTTACTGTCAGCAATACCAACACATTTCTATAACAAGACAATAACAGAGGAAAGAGAGCTAAAATTTTAATAATCTCACCCTATCCTGTTGTTGTTTCATTTCTTTTTCTAACATCTCTGCACGATAACTGACGGCAAGGATAATATGCTTTACACCAACCTTAAAGGAGAAATAAATTTAGACAAAAAGTCATGTTGACTAACAAACTTTGCTCAACATTTTTAACTCCAAGACCAAAGTATGGCAAGATTATTTGTTGACTCTAACTTTTAAATCTGTGGACAAAATCCTATGATGTTACCATTCAAAACAAAACCTGTCCAGCAGTACTTTCATATGGTACTATTTATTTAGTATGTAGTTCTAACTTTCAAATCTATGGATGATATTCTGTGGGGTCACCATTCACATAAAAACTCTCTGACAAAACTTTTACGTGGTGTTATTTATTTCCCAAGAATTTACAAAAAGGAATTTTAGATTTTTGTGAGTTTATGTACATTGCCTATTATTAACATTGAAAGGGCTTGAATTTAGGTAAAAAGAAGCAGATCCGAAAAGTATCATACACAGCTGTCAATAACTTAAAGTGTGATTAACAAGTAAATGTAAAAGACAATCCTGAAAAATAGTTTTATTGTAGAAAAGCTGGAACGAAAGGTTGGAACACAAAAGATCATGCTAGTTGTCATCAGCACCAATGTAGATCAAGGACAAAACAGCTGACAAAACATGTATTCGTTAGCATTAAATTCGATTCAAGATTCCAACGTTCTTTGCGTAAATTAAAAGCTAATATGGAGAACTTCATTATGCTAGATTCTTAAGGAGATTCAGCTGATTATCTGGTGATCAGAGATTATGGCTCAAAGCTTTACCTGTACCAAGGCTTCTATCTGGTGCATTACCATAGGTTTGTTGCAGAATTCAACAAGAGGCTTCGGTTTCGATAGGGTTAGCGGACGTAACCGTGTTCCATAGCCACCTACAAGTATTAGAGCTTTCATTTTGTCGATCTGGATTGCTAAGGGACGAAAAACCTGGAAAATTCTGTATCAAAAGCGTAAAAGCCAAAGATATATCCAGACTTCACTCAGCATTGCAACGTGTCCTATGGCATCGTTGCGAGGAAAATATCTTTTGATCAGGTTTCTTGCGACAACATTATGCACGTTTGACAGTAAAAAAGGTCAAAGTTTTGGCAAAAGTCCTCCCTAGGATGACCTTAAATAAAGTTTCAGTACCTGGTTTTATAAATTGACATTTTTATTTCATAAGAACTTTTCTTTTTCAAATTTTAACTCCCTTACTTTTGTGATTTTTCCACTCAAATTCTCTATTGAGAGTGATAGTTAACCTAATAAACCGCTGACAAAGTCATACGTTTCTACGAGTCCGTGACAGTGTGACAGAGTTTCCTGGGCAATGGGCAAACACTGAGAAAAATCTTCTCCACGATTCAAATTCTATTAATTCTTTAGAGCAAATTAACAGACCCGTATCCTCGATTAACTTGAACCACGTACATGTAGCAAATCCTTTTTTGAAAAATTTGTTGATAAAAATATCCCCTTTACACTTTTACAGGCCTTACATTCTTTTCTATTGATTTCGAATTTAATAAAATATATGTACTAAAAAAGTAGCTCACTTCAGAGGTTTAAAATTAACGAAATAATTTTAGCGTTTCCTTTTCTGGAAGAAACTCACTTCCTGTTCCAGCGGAAGTTACGTCAGTTCTCGTTGCCGTGACGTCACGTTAATGGCCGGTCCCTTGAAGTTCTGGTACTGTTCGTTGTTTTGAGTTGGAGGAGGGTCTGTTTAACTTTATTGTATTCTTTTTCTAGGAAATAATGTCTCATCAAACTGGAATACAAGGTTAGCTTATAATTTACGTTTTATGTTCCGATGCTAAGCTGAATGCAGGTTTTTCCCTGTAAACATTTTTTTTTGGAATTTTGCTTTGATTCCGCCTTCTGCTGAAATCAGCTGAAATATGTTGCTGGCGACTTGGTGTTTCTGTTTTAAATCTAGGGGAACTCAGTAGATCCCTTAGAAACTTCTTTCTTTTGATTTTCTTCAACTGAAAAACAAACAAACATCAATGATAGGTAGCAAGGTAAGTTTCCAAAACATGAACACAAAATTATATTAAACTGAAATGAATTCTATCCAAGCTTGAGTTCACTTTCGACCATGGCATGCCCAATTGCTTGTACAATATTTATGAATGGCAGTTGCCAGGCTTTCTTTGGCGGATAATTTACTGATCAAACTGTTTGGGCTTGCTGTGTGCTTTCAAAACGGAGAGAAATAGATTTAATTGTTATAATTGATTTCTGATTGTCTGATTTTTTAGTGACATTTGGCCTTTTCCGGAAGAAGCGGTGTGGGTTTAAGGGTGGGAGGGTGAGAAACATAGGCAATTTTAAGTCGAATGAAAAGTAGACACTTGTCGCGTTAACTGAAAGAAAGAAAGATATCTCGACTTTAGTAACTGACCTTATCTTTTTTCAGCTAATGACCAACTTAAGGCTGTGTTTGCTGAAGCAAAGGAGGGAAACATACGACTTATTGCAGTTGATATTCAGGAAGGTATGTTATTGAGGCAAAATGGTTGGGACACTTTGGGGGAAGTCCCCTCAATGTTGGTGTCCCTAGTCTGAAACAACTTTTCAAAAGCAGTCGTTTTAAAGTGTCCCAACTATTTTAGTCTGAGACTGTAGTCTGAATTTCAAAAGCAGTTGTTTGCATATTGAAGAGGAGGTCATTTGCTGTCGGTGTTATACTTGTATTTGCGATTTTCGCTGTCTCTGTTGTGGTTTCAACTCATGTTCATGTCATTTCATTTGTCTTATGTCGCTGTTTCGAGGCCATGTCACTTGCTGGAATTTTACCCTAACAGGGCCATTCTATTGGGATTTACTGTATCTTTTAGACAAAAAAGTTATGGCAGTGTATCAATAACTTGACATGGCCTTGAAATACCGGCAAAGGAAATGACTTCCTTATCAATTCCTAAAGATAACTTAAGAAAAAATTGAGAATGTAATGATAACATTTTATTCTTTGCTTCTTCAGAGGAATTAACATGCCTTGACACCAAGGAACCAGTAGGAGACTGGGAAAATGATATCCTTTGATAGCGAGCATTGATTTTTGTTGATTAGAGATTAAAGCTGCCACGAACCAGCTACACCCACATACACTGTACACTGTACTACAACCAAAGCTCTCGTGAGCGACCACCTCGGAAATTCAAAAAAGTTTTCATAACTAGAGCTGGTCACTTACAAGAATTAGCTCTTGTAAGCAACCGCATGATAAAACAATAGAGGGTGGTCGCTTACGAGAGATTAAAAAATTCATTAATGATTCATAAAGAAAAACAAGAGAAATTAATGTTTAATGAGTGTCTTTATATCCAATATAGACACAGCTAAACTTTACGTTCAATGTGCAGTTTCTACAACTGAAGAATTAATTTGTATGAATAAGACTCTGAGTGGTCGCTTTCGATAACTAAACAGAAAGCAAAAATCTAGTTGAGTGATAATACCGTTCTTACCCTCTGTTGCTAGTTCCAGCTTGAATAAATCTGATCTGAACCTTGACTGTTTTCACATTATGATGAGGCCATTCAACCATTTTTGAAAAAGGAGGAACCTTGTTACTTGTTTTATCGATTGGATTCGAAAAACAACCAGGGATATGAGTGGTTGTTTATTTCTTATTCCCCTGATTTTGCCAAGGTATGTACCGCACTGTCCTTCATTTTTCCCTTGGATCACATGTAATGCATTTCTCCCCCATTTTCCAAGGCTATCCACTTTATTTATGCTGTAATTAATATTTCTCTCTGGTTAAAACATTTTCAAAGCAGTCTGATTTTTGTTTCCCTTGGTTGTAGATTATGTTACAATGTACATAATGTATCTCAGACAAAAGAAATGCAATAAAATGATAAGTACTAATAATATTATTAGATTGAAAATTTTCAAATCAAAGAAAGATTTGAACCTCATCATTCATATAAGAACCATTAAAATTCTGGTTGTAAGGCTTGCCCAGGGCTGACATTGTTATAAACATTTTTAAGGCCTTTCTGCAGGGCTTAAGTTTTCAGAGGAGGGGTTAGAGTTAGAAGGGTTAATTTTTGGTAGTTGGATGGAACATTGTTTTAGCGCCTTTTCAATTGCAAATTGTAGGTCATTACCCCCCGGTAACTAAAAAGTCATCCACCATGCAGTAGCCTAAAGTTGAAGAAATGTTGTACTTGTAAAAGTTGTTTAGACAGTCAGGGTTGTTACAAGTTAGCGTTTTGTACTCTTCAGCCTCAGCGAAAGATGTTGTTTGCTGGCACAAAAGCAACACTTAAGAAGGAGTTTGGTGGAGGACATATAAAAGATGAGATGTTTGGTACTCTACCGGTATGTACTGTGCTTGGTGACCTTTTTGAAACCTTGTGACACTCAAAGAGCAGTCATCTCGTATTTCCTTTGCTTCAAGCCAGTGTGAAACTATAAGGAAATAGGAGATGTCTGTATGTAGGCTATTAATTTGTATAGCTAACTACAGTTGTTTTACGGGTACATGTACTTCATGCTGTTCAATAATGTGAACATGTTTGTACAATATTTAGGGTGATGTTTTGTTAAGTGGTTATAAGAAGCACAAAGATCATGAAAGTGCCCCTCCTCCACTCACAGATCAGGAACTGGAATTAGAATTGGTCAAACAACAGGAGGTTAGAAAGAGGATATCATTTTTACTTAAAGGGAACCTCCACTCTTACTACAGAATAAGTTTAAATCGAATAAAATTATGTTGATAAACAAATTTGTTCGAAATTTGTCTTAAAAAAAGTGTTTATATCAGGAAAAGTGAATTTTAAAATCGCTTATTGTCACTTTCAAATTTCGCGGGCGCCGCCATCTTGAATAATTGTGACGTATTACGGTTGCTCTATTGTTCTGACACAAAGCTTTTGTTTAATAACAATAGGGCAACCATTACACGTCACAATTATTCAAGATGACGACACCCGCAAAATTTGAAAACAAAAGTAGGCGAATCTAAAAGTTATTTCTTTCGGATACAAACGCTTTCTTGAAAAATATTTTAGATTGACTTGACTGTAACAGTTATTTCCTGTGATTTAAAGTTGTCTTTTTGTTGAAGTGGAGGTTCCCTTTAAAGCTGTTACAATGTGTTGTTTAAAAAGCAGGACTGAAAAAATGCTCTTGAATTTTAGCTTACTCCTTGGACTGCAAGCAGCTCTCCCTTTTGGGGTCACTGCTTGCATTTCTTAGAATATAAATTGCTCAGTAAAAATATCTGCCTGTCCCAAATTTTTTTGTGAGCCCTGAAAAGTTTAAGTTCCAGAGCAATCATATCATTTTAATGCGTTCATTTTCCCACCTTGTCATGTAAATTACAGTGAAATAATTTTATTCCTGTTATCATAGATTGTGCAAAAATGGTGATTAATATCCACCTAAGGCGCAATTGAACGATAATCAAAGTATTTGAGCACTTATTCCATTCCACAAATAGCAATTCATTTGTACCCATTGTTAACCAAAAGTACTTTTAGAAGTACTGGGTTGAGTGAGGATCAGTCCTTAATTCTGGTGACCACCCTTGTTTTATAAAGCACTGATATAAAGGGGAAATTTTGGGGCTCAAACGGGTTAAATCTTTGTTATTCTGCCTAATCTGTATTGCATTACAGCTGTATATCTAAAACAGAAGAAATATTTTTTCTTTTAATACTATTAATTTACCATATAGGAAAGTACCCAGAAAAAAATACTGTTTTCTAACTCTGACATCTGTCATCCCTTGGTTCCTGCGTTGTTTTCTTTCTGTGATAAAGACTTGATTTACATTTTGTTTCCCAGATGCGAACAGACATTAGTGTTGACAGCAAGCAGAGTCACATGACTGGTGTTCAGTTCCCCGTGTCTGATGAAGGTCTGGCCAAACTGGCAGATCTTAAGGAACATAAATTAAGCCTGGTTCAATTAGTAAGTATATTATACTGTCATATTATTACAAAGTGCACCCCATAAAATGAAAAAAAGAAAAATGAAAATTGAAAAACCACTACAGCATAATTTAGCTGAAGATGTTCAGGGTTCAAAGAAAGTCAGTTTTATTGGGGAAAGCTGTAGCTAGCACGTACTAGCCCAAGAGTTGTAGCTTTATATTAAATTGTTAATGCCTGATGTATTTACCGTGTTTTTAAATAAAGATGATGATGATGATGATGATGATGATGATGAGTCATTTCAAAAAAAAATTACTTGTTGGGATGATGAGATTAAAGAACCCTATTACACTGTACATTCATACATACATTCCAGTTATTTAACCTCGAATTTAGTGTAGCTAAATATGAGCGAGTTACAAGTATAGTTCTAAATACTGTTAAAATTGTGAAATTACAACATTCCAAAATTTTGTACCATTACATACTGTAGAATCTTGCACTTGAAATTAGACAAGTTAGAAGTTGTAAAAGAATCTGGAATATCTAACTTTTATGAGACCCTCATAGAGTTAAAATTCCACCCATGAGAGTTCATAATAGACTATACGCTGTGCATCGTTACCGTAAATCCTCTATTAAGCCCCCCACTCTTATAAGCCTAGACTACGAGTAGTCCCCTATTTTTCCTCAGGGATAGTAGAGCGAGCGTGTCGCCTTTTCTCGCGTGGGGTAATTTTCACGCGCGCCCGCGTTTCGCTCGCTCTACTATCCCTGAGGAAAAATAGGGGACTTCTAATTAAGCCCCCCATTCAGGGAAGACCCCCTATTCAGTTAATTAATAAGCCCCCCTCTCTTTTAAGCCTTCCCCCCCCACCTAATTATTCTTTACTAATAAATGATAGACTGTATTAATCAATCACGACCGTAAAACTTTGTGTGGACTGATCCGGGATTGTTTAGTTTGGCTTTGATTCTGATCCTCGGCTGCTTGACCTGAAACTTCTTGTACCTGAGCTTTTCAACGTTGTATTCTAGTTCTTTATAAAGAACTGATACCATCGTCGTTTCTAAATAAAAGAAGCCCCCTCTCTCAAATAAGCCCCCATCTCTATTAAGCCCCCCCCCCTCAAAGGGCTTGAGATAAATAAGCCCCCCCACCTTGGGGGCTTAATAGAGGATTTACGGCATATCACGTTCTGTGAATAATCATGGATTCTCTCCCATGATAAAGGAACTTAACATACAAGATGAAACAATTGTATTGGCGGACGCAAAGGAGGATGTTACCGCAAGTGATTTGTCCAAGCATGTTCCCGATGACAAAGGAAGATATATTTTCTACCTATTTAAACATACTTTCGAGGGAGACTACCTGGAATCTATAGGTAGGAGGAAACTCTTCAGTTCATATCATAAACAAGTGGTAAATCTTTAAAAATGATAGATAACAACAACTGGTTGAACAGAGCAAATGGTATTAGTAGCGCACACGAAGAGACTACATTTTAGCAGTGCTCTAATAACTCGTTCCTTTAGAATGAAATGAGATATAGAAGTTGGGCAATAAGTTGGGTATTTTTGGTACACTTCTTCAAATTCACCACGTTAGAAACGTGAAGACTTCTGGGATTGATACTAAAGAAAAGGAAACAGGAGCGTATTTCGCCCCCCAGTTTTCCCTCTGGTTTCTAACGAAGCGACTTGAACGAACCGTTATTTTTGGCGTTTTTGCTATTATCCAAATGGTGGCATAAATTAGTAAAAATACCACCATTAATGATCTTCATTCATGACATTTATTTATTTTAGTCATAAATTCAAAAATAATGAAAATGAAGACTGTAACAGAGCTAATCGAGTCTCCTTGGCAGCCGCGCGCTCGGGCCGGAGTCAAGCAATGCGCGCGCCCGCTTGCGTGACTCCGGCCCGAGCAGCTGCGAAGTCGAGGACTGTTGACAACAAACCGAGTTATACTAAATGCAAATACTACAAATAAAATTTGTTATAAGAAAAATGGAAAAAGTTGAAATGACCCACTGCTCTATGTCAAAAGAAGAGTCGGTAGAACGAAGACTGAGACAGATGAAAGAAGAGTTGAAATGAGTTGATTCGATTCGAGTGATTCGAGTCGATTCGAAGTGTTTGAACTACCGCCGTCGTGGTCTCTTACCGCTGACCATAAGCTGCTCCGCCATCGACATGATTGTGTTGTCTTGCAGTGTTCGTATACTCAATGCCTGGATACAAGTGTTCCATTAAAGATCGTATGTTATATTCCACATGCAAAGGACCGTTACTGGATGTGGCTACTGACAGAGTTGGGCTAGAAATCGCAAGAAAGGTAAATAATGAAGTTTCTTCGATCCTAGTTTCACGATGAAAAGACAGCTTTTCACTTTGGTACAACCCGAAGAGGAGCAAGGATTGGGAAAGTGGGTTAGTGCGCGGCCTTCTGTGCTGGAGATTTCGATTTCGATTCCCAGATGTGACCTCAAATCCTTGTCTCGATTTCTTTCCTTTCTGTGTAGCTTTAACTGAGTAGCGTTAACTACCCGTAGAACGTAGCAGTGATGGAGAGAGGGCTTGGGCGGGGGTAAAATGAGTGCACCGTCGGCCTCAGGTTTGTCAATTTAGTTACGAGTTACCGACGTAAACTTTGTTACTGGCTCCCAAAAACAACTCATTAGTAAGATTCGCGGGTGAAACGACGGTGGCCATGACTGGGCCATGTTTGGGTTCCAGTCCTCATTTTCGTTCGTTTTCCCTGCTTTTGCTTGAATCCCTGTTCAGTGGGCTTGCAACCAGACATCTCTCATGCCCCTGAAGCAAGGAAGATACGAGCCGTTTGCTCGCCGACTGTGAAAATCCTGTCCCTAGACAGCAATAGTGGAACCGCGTAGCAATCGCTTCGGCTTCCGAATCGCACCCAACTCAGCATTGCTTTAATAATTTACCCGACGGGGAGGGGGACCCTCCGCTTTTCCACCCCTTCCTCTTCGCGTTTTTGCTCTCGCTTAAACCTTTTGCTTTTGCACTGAGCTTGCATCGCACAGAAAAGCTTGCCACTCAGGCTAAAGATGCTCTCGACTCTTTGTCTTTTTACTACACTTGATACAACGTTTTGAATGATTGAGTCAGTGATTGATTGATTGATTGATTGATTGATTGATTTTAGATTGAAACTTCAGACCCTCATGAGTTGAATGAAGAGTACCTACAAGACCAAGTCCACCCCCGAAGGGATCTCATTAGGCAGAAGTTTGCCAAGCCCCCAAAGCCAGCTGGGAGTCGAGGACCTAGGAGGCTCCATAATTCTTCAGGGGCGGGGGCTAGTGCGGAATGATTCGCCTGAAAAAGGAACCAGAAGAACAATACTTGTATTTTTCTTTTACCATAGAGGTTTAATAAGAAATAGATTGTCGTTTTCTACGTACATATACTGAATGAAACATAAATTTGGGACTGTTATTTTTGCTGACAGGATTTTGTTACAGTTCTCTGAAGAGAAAATACTCGAGCAAAATATATGATAGCTTCGCAAAAATATCTTCCTGAAATGTTTTGTTCTAGTAAATCGCTTATATGTATATAAAGCAATTTAAACATACTTTCATGTAGGTAGTTCAGTTCTTTTGATTTATATGAAACATTATTGCACGTTTTAACTAGTCAGTTACTGAGCGTTAAAGCGACAGATACCGTATTTCACGGAAAAATCGCCGTCCTCAATATTAGGGACCTTAAGCATCGACGACGAAATGGGACGACGACGCCGACCGGAAGTGAAATTTTCCCGCGCGAACCCTCTGGGCATGCGTAAGGTTGTGAAAACGTCGTCCAGCCTTCGTCGACGACGTAATTCAGGGAGGTTTGCCGTCGTCGCTAAAACGTAAGTATAAAACTATACTTTTTGCGTGTAAATCACTCTTTTCCCCCCTTGTCATTCAGTACAAGTAGAAATATATTCTTTGTGGATTAGCAGAATCCAAATGTTAAACACTTTGTCGGTTTCTTCGCCTGCTAACTTGAATTTATTTTTCAGGTTCGGTTTGTTTGAAAACCTGAGTGATGGCGGAACAACAAGTCGGACAGACAAGTAAGCTTTCCTCTGCTATCTTTCGAACCTTTTAGATTAGCTGCTGTTCGTTCCCTTACGGTCCTATGTTTACTCATGCATTCTAGGTTGTACTATAGGATAAATGTTCATTTTTTCGTACTAAGATTTAATAATTTCCCATGTTGTTTTTAGCCGCTATTAAAGGCAACTATTTTCCAGTGGACTCAGCTGGAACATGATGTGACTATGAGGAACCCTGAGAGAGGAAAAATATTGGAGAACATTGTAGCAGCACTGAATTCTCTTCAGCAGCCGAAATTTAGCTTAATTGCAAGTCAAGAGCTGTTCGAGATCGGTATACAGGTCTAACTTCATTTCAAAACAAAAACAAAAGCTGTGCGACGAAGAGAAAGCCTCCACAATCAATTAATCCAGGTCCTAAAGAACAATGAATTCGCCATCGTCGATTAAACCATCTTCATACCTTATAAAATGCAAATTACGGACGTCTTTGAATGCCCTAACAAGACTGTAACAAGACAAAGTTCTTCGCAAAGAAAAAGTCGTCGTCCGTCTGGGAAGCTGCACTGCTTAAACTTCGTTTTCCCCGCCGAAAACGAAACCCTTGGCCCAGTCTGCCTCGGTTGCGAAGCGTCGTCGTCGTCCGTTTCGTTGTCGATGCTTAAGGTCCCTATTCCCTTCTTATCTACTTCCACCCTCCCCTCCATCTCCCCCTCGGGTTTTGTATTATTTTAACCCTGCCACTTCCTCAGGCGCTTCGTTTTTCGCACACGAGCGAGAAACACGAGTAGCTGGTGAGAGATACGCCTGGGCACGAGGCAAATTCTGGCCCTAAAGGTCTCAGTTAAAGTCGATTGTGTTATTTTTTTTACACATTTGAAAAATTCTTTAAACATTCATTCCTTTTTGTTTTGAATTAGTATGAGTTTTTGAGCTGAATTAAATTATGGATATAACTGCTAGTTTTCCTATTGCATCGCTGTTTCTCCTTTAATTTGGTAATAAAAAGAATCGCATCCTGTGCTCTTGGGATGTACAAGCTGGAATGGCTTAACAGAACGCTCAAGAACCCTCTTTCAGACGAATCTTCAATGTCATGTCAAATTTGAAGACAAAATGCGACGATTGTGAGGAATTACGTGGCCAGCCACAGCAAACCCTTGAGGCACTTAAACTTCTATTGCAACTTAATTTATAAGCTTCGTAGAAAAGATGCATGTGGAAGAAATTGTTTTGAACTACTGTAGTGGAAATTTAACCTCTTCTGCGCTCTTTTTCAACATACGGATTTAAAACAGATCCTTAAAAATACAATAGTGATGCTTAAGCTAAGAGTGTTGCAAATGGTTGTTTGGGCACTGCTTAACGCTGTGTGGTCTGGAAGATGACGCATGAAAATTTAGGAACTTCCCTCTGTGTATATTCCCTTTGAGATCGAGCAGACCTCTGGCGCCCTCATAAAGACCTAACAATCAGTTTCACATCGTTAAGCAATATGGAAGCGGAAAATGGTATAAAAACAATCAGTTTTTAAGTGATAAGAGTCCAGACAAGGATTAGTTTCTCTAAATTATAGAAGAAATGTTAGTGTAATGGTTAAGACTTTTCCTAAACGTTAACTTGAAACAAATAAGGAGCAAAAAAGCGCCCCTGAAATTTAACAACTGAAGAAACAAGTGATCGTGTCCGCAATAACTTGGCGTGACCTAAGTTGATCACCTTGACGTGTTTGTTACGTAGTAGCATTTAAGTTCATTTTGCGGAATTTCATCGTCGTAGAAGTAGGACAATCGTTCTACACAATTAGGTACAAAACTGCGAATTATAATGGCTGGTGAATGCTATTTGCCTCTGGTTCAGAAAGAGAGCAGGCTAACTCATTCATTTTAGCCTGAGTGTACCAACTTTTTAAGAGCCAACGCCTCGAAAAAAGATCTTTCCAGAGGCAAAGAGGCAAAATGCAGGGGGGTACTCAACAGAGTTTAATACGGGGAGGATCCACCCCTCGGTCAAGCCCCTTATTCTTTGATATACCATTTTTGACAGGAAAGGTACCCCTTTCGTCTACCCTCTATTGACGAACGGTAGCCCTTTCACATACCTAGATTATAGCTTTGCATCCCTTCAAACTGCTGTAAACGCAGTGTCTTTGAAATATGAATAAGTCACAAAGCTAGAACGTTTTTTCGATTTTTTCACAACCATAAAATGCATCTGTTAGGCCTTTTGGGCCTTTTTCCAAACCGAAATGAGAGATTTCCCTTCCCTGCCCTTTCATATACCTGAGGCCTGCAAAAGGTAACCCTGTCGTGCCGACCCTCCCCGGCCATTATAGGGAGTTCCCCCCGGAACCAAAATGAAGACCTTGGCCTTAAACTCAAATTCGAGTCAAAATAATTCAAGTCACAGTCTTCACAAATCACTTTTTGTATACATCACCTACAATTTATTAATTCCGTTTGTATGATTTTCCTTTTTCTTGAAATTTGTCATGTCCTAAACGGGACTGAAAAAGCGAACGACCGTCTGAGTCTCGTGTTTACAAGGCGTATTTTTTTGTGAAGAAGAAAATCTAAATCTGAGAAATATATCTCAATAAAAAAAAGAAAGAGTTTCCTTAGTTAGATAAAACACTAGTGACTTTTAGGCGTGTACTTTATTTTACTTCTGGGGAAAGTTCTTCGTGAATTTTGCACGAAAAGTGCAGAAAAAAGAACCATTATTTTTGACAAAGTGTTTTTACGATATCGAACACCTGCTCCTAAAGGAACAAAGGAAAAAAAATTCAAAATTGCCTCGTCGTTTACGGCTCTAAAGAAGCCGATCGTTTAAAAGACACTTTCAGATTCAATTGAAAAAGAAAATCTTTTGTTTGAAAATTAGCCTTCTTCCGTCATATTGCTATTATCACCCGGATGGCAAACATCTGAGTTATTGCTCACCTCCACCGGCGGAATTGACATTCATCTTCATTTTCAAATTGAAACGAGTCCCCATACACATACTGCCGACTGCTTTTAGTTAAGGAGTGCTTCTGCAATTCTTATCCGTGTTGAACATTTGTTTATCTCATCTCATTGCAATTACTTCTCTTTTTTAAGAGGAACCGCAATGCGTGAAGGTAGCTAATCGCGAAATTAAATTGACGCCTGGGGTCGGATCGTGCTACTGCCTTTAGTTACAACGAAAACGTAATTACCATTGTTTTTACCATTTATCGTTATACAGCTGTTAATTCAGAGGAAACATTTCGAATTCTTCATTTAGGCTGAAGGTTTTGACAGGATCTGATTTGACTATTTTATGAGTTTGTGGTCGTTTTTCAGTCTCTGGCACTCAACCCTCGCTACCTCAGTAAACGCTCACTCAGAATCATTTGCTAGAGTGCAAATACAGTCAAAACTCATCAAATTAAAACGGACAGCACCGGGTGTTAAACATGCCGCGTAGAACTGACTACCGCATTACTTTCGGAACCCGGAGTAAACCGCCGGTAGTACGGGAAAATTCTGTGGAGGTGTGCGACATGATTCCGGCCTTTTTAGACCAAAATATGTCGTGATTTTCTCTTCCCCATTTCAGACCAAAATATGTTATTTTTCCTGCCCTATTTAAGATCAAACGAAAGCCAAAATGTGACATTCTCTCCCTCCTATTTCAGACCAAAATATCAGGAATTTTACCTTCCCTGTTTCAGAATTAAACCGCTGTTCTCGAGAGGCAGTTGATGACAAATGTATTTGCGGATACAGTCCTCCTGAGGCACTGAGCCCGGATATGGGCTTCAAACTATTTACGATAAAGATCTCGACATTGCTCCAGCTACAATTATGCCCTGCATATTCAAGTGTTTACGCAAAAAACCCCGAACTTTTAAATTATATCAGTTACAATTTGAACTCCCAAATTAAATATTGAAACCAAACCCAAATTAAAAGTCGCAAATAAAAAGATATAATAATGATATTTTATGTTTTTCAATCAATTGTGTTGAATGAGGGTTAAATAGATGTATAGAAAACTGAAATGAATTCAGCGTCAGAACATCCTTGAATTTACCATTAACTGATTTTAATAGTAACATTTCAGGGAAAAGACTGTGAATAAGATTTAAAAGGATAAAATATTTAAAACCAGTTTTAACTCATTAATTTTTAAATTTCTCCCAAAACTTAAAAGAGCTTAGTAAAACGGTCATGCCGAGATGTCTGTTCAGATCGACGCGTACAAAATTAAGTGCAAAAAAATCCTCCCAAAACTTTAGACAAACCAATAGTTGACATTCGATATTTTCTCGCTGAATCGGGCGATATTAACACGGAACACCAACACGGAACTAAATAACCAAAGACACGGGCCGAAAAACTCCATTAGTAACAAAAAATATCATATTTGGTTTGTTCACTGTTTTAGATGATGAATTCAGCGAGGTGCATCAAGATAACACGACAGCTTATGGACTTAAAGATTTTATGCTATTTCCTGAAGTTATTATTTAGATCTGTGAAAAATGCTTCCAGTCAAACAGTTTACAGACCAGGATTTTCAAAAATAATACATTTTCGCGGCTGTTCCATCTCCAAGTTCCTTTTATCCAGCTCAAGAGCCATAATGGCTCTTGTTCATGTTCTTATGGTAAAACAAGAAACTTAACAACTTCAAAGCAAGGAGGTTGCTTAATACGTAGTTAGAGAAGCATTATCAACGTTAAACTGTACATTCAAGTACCTTTTTTAGCGTTTTCATGCGTGTTAAAAGAAGGGCTGCACAAATCTGTCCACACCCAGCGACAAAAATTTGCTATTCTGGTTACGGCCGGTTGGAAAGTTGTATTTCGACTCCGAAAAAGCTATAATTACTTGTCGTTTTTTAGGATCCTACCTCCTTTGTATCGTAGTTAAATACTGAATTTATTTAGGTTTTACGGTTATTTGTGATCTCAGAAATCTATTTCATCATTGAAAAGACAACCAGCTTGTAACATCGGTGACATTTATTTATAGAGAGATACTTGAAATCTATCGATAACATCTTCTAATAAATGGGCCTCATGTATTTCCGACTGAGTACCCTTGTGAACAAAGGAAAAACAGGATAAACAGATTGAACAAGAAACAAATGAATTGGCCATCAATCACTGAAACCAGCTGCCACGCGTCAGCTGAAAATTCACTGCGTTTGTTGTACACCCGTGATCCCGGCCAAGTTCAACGAAAATCACCCGTGTTTTGTTGATCTGCCTTGATATATTACTATCCGGCGTTAAGCAAAAAACAGGCAGTCAAAAACACGCCCCGGCCTAGCAGTGAGAGGTTTGGCTTTAACAGTGAAGAGCTGCGGGGGCGTCTATTAAGTCTGGACTAAATAATTATAAATTCAGCCGATTACATTTGAAGAGGAGCACTGTTCTTCGAAGTCCAGTAAGAATCTAACACAAAACTCACGTGAAAATGAAATCTATTTTCTCTGGCATAGGCCTTTTTTCATTTCTACTGGCTGTAAGTTTAGCGGAGGTAAGTTAAGATGATTTGTTTTTATAGTGATTTTTTTTTCCACACTTGCGAATCTATGCATTTTTTCTGTTCTCCCTTCTTGTTTTCTTAAGTCAATGTACGCGTTGTGGTTGTCGATGATGCCAGAGATAGTTTTATTCATTTCACAGTACCCCAGTATAACCAAATGCTTTTTTGGGCGTTGAATCGTACTGTAATATAACTTCCACTCTGGTCATCTTATAAATAGAGAATTGAGATATATAAAAAAGAGTTATCCATGAATTAGCCTCAACTGTTATAGAAATACGCAGAGCAAAAATAACTTTAGTATGGGCCTCTTTTCAGGCTTCGACTGATTTGCCCACAGCAATAACGAATTACGATATTTATAAACTATATGATAAAAATTTGAAACGTTCCAAGGAATGCTTTAGTGTTCTGATATCTAATCATTGAAAATGAAATCAAAAATTACCAAAACAGGCACTACCAGTGACTGATAACGTGTGCTTTGTTGAAACTACAGACAAGGCGTATGCACTGAGAGATAAATTAAGGTATATTTTTGAATATGTGGTTTTGAATTGCGGTCTAAATTTATTTCGATTCATGGCTGTTATCAATGCGTTTTAAATTGTAACCATCAAAGTAAAACTATTTAAGTAAACCTTTTTTGTCGTCAGAAATCCCATCACTGACTTATATTTTTGTATTGTCTGAGGAAGAAAAATTATTGTATAGTGTGTGTTTAGCCAAAATGGACATTTCGTAAGGCTGAGGGCAAATCCAAATTAAGGGAAACTATTAAACTGATCAAAACGTGTCCAGTTTGACAGCTGCAATTTCATTGAAACTTCATAGAGGAAATTTTAATTTAGGAAACCTTAAGGCGATGACAAGATAATGTATGTTTGAGAGAGACTGTAGAAAGACTTGCCCACCGAGAGATTTCTAAGCTGTGTATTCAGGAACTGAAAAAAAAAGGAAGAAAAAACAGGAAGTTTAACAAATTTGATACTTGATTTTAATTTTTGGAGGTTGCACATTTGCTTCTCTACGGGGTGTAACTGATGTGGGCAAGTAAATGATATTTTGAACAGAAAGAAATTAAGGAAGAAAAGTTAAGATTGTTTTTCAATCTACAGCTATCTGCTTTGTTATCGCGGTAATTCAGTGTTCGTCGCGATGTCGGGGCTCTTGTGATATAACTCACACCTTGCTCGAAAATGAATATCTTTCTGAATTTTCTACTAAGTAAATTTTACTCTATTATCTTTCTATATAAATAAGTCAATCAATGCTGTTTACTTGACCTAATTCATGTCGTATTTGGCTAAAAACTAACTCCAGCTAATAGACCTTTATGAGGAAATTCTACAACAAAAGAAAGTCAAATCTCCTATATGCAGGTTTAAACTGAGGTCCTTTGGTATCAGAATTTAAGAATAGGAAGTGAAAGTTTGTAAAAAATATTCATGTACCACTTAGCTTTCACAATGACTGTTTTTCTTAAAACTTAAGGCAAACGTCTTTGTGCACCGCAAGTTTACTTTCACACAATTGTTTCATTTAAAGTGGTTTCCTATGCTTGCTATGCGTGGGATGTGTTCTTAGAACTTTTTTTAATCTGACATGTACTGTGCAGGTGCTTACAATACGGGAAATTAAAATGACCTTACATAACTGAAAATTTTAAACAATATCACAAAATAATATTTTTAAATCAAGCTTTCTGATTGATCACAACTGGACAAAAGCATGCCTAACGGTATTTTTCTACTTCATTGTTTCGTGCAGGAACTAAGATTATCAATAAACTCTAACCGCGTTGTATTTTAGGAAATTACAAATAAGCGACGCTAATTCACTCAGTACTTTCATGTTAAAAATAAAACGTTTTATTCTTTTTAACATATAAGCTAAAGACGTTGGAAACAATAGCCCAAACTGCAGTGTGATTCACTGTTTTAGACTATTGTTTTCTGAATGGGACATGTTACACTCTTTTTCAGTATACAACCCTTTTAGTTAAGAATGACTTTGAATAAAATTTGTATGTCACTAAGAATGACGCAAGCTTATCACTTCCATTTTCCTCACCTATTTTGCATCGAAGCAATGAACTGGATATGGGGAGAAAAAAAGTTCTATCGAATTACAAATCTGATATGTGTAAACAGAGAATGTATAGAACAACTTCTTTTGGCGTCCGGGGTAGAGTTTCGTTCTAAAATATGAATTAAACCAAGAGCCCTGATTCCTGATTAAATAGGAATAAATCTGTTAAATAAGAATATTGCTAATGACATAAAAAAACTACAATCCGTGTCTCTTTTTTTTTTCTCCGGGAACTCTAATTTTTCCGGCCCCTCCTCAAAAGCAAAATTTCCAATTTTAATTTTTTTTTGGCTTGGATGCACGCGATCCCTAGGTTAAAAAAAAATTACATTTACATTTTTTAACTCTGCGTTAAAGAAATCAGGTGTTTTTACTTCTTCTATTTATAAAACAAAAATAGGAGACTATTTTAATTGTTTTCCGCGTTCACCACTTTGATGATTTCAGTCGGTGACCTGGAAACCAGCTTCCGGCACTTAACGTTCTCTGGCATCGTCTGGACAACCAGCGCATTTCTGATTGGTCGCCAGTATCTAGTGGCAACTAATAACCAATCATAGATGCTGCTTATTACAGATGTAAAGGTCTTTATAGGCGAATTACTCGTGACATTGTTTTCCGCTTGACATACGGATTTACCGCCTATACACGTGGCGGTTTTTAGCACTGGAGTATTTACAATAAATGGCAAAAACTCTAGCAAGCAATACAACCTTTGTCAAATTTCGATTTTTTTAAAATAGATTTTTTCCAAAAAACCTCTAGCATCTGGAATGAACTAGTTTTCCTTGAAAGCTAATGTAGCAATGACTTTGTCCCCCATTTGTATTTTATGCCTAGATTAAAATACATGTTGACTGTGCGTTTTCCCCTTTGCTTGCTAGATAACTTCAATTGATTATTCTGCTAGAACGCGACGTGTTCTTGCGAAAGCTTCTGATGATCGTCCAGCCATGGATACATTAGAACTTCCTCAGCCCTTGCAGGTAAACCTGTTTTATTATGAACATATCCAGTGCGTTCACACTAAGAAAAGGGGCAGTGTCCGAGAAGATTTAGCAAAGATAACAGAGTTAAAAAAAGATACCTAAAATTAAACTACTAAAAAGTGTTTCAATGGGTAGGAAAGAAGTGTTCTAAGTTAACCTTGAAAACGTTTGGACGATCTTGACAGTGTTATTGAAAACATTAAAAACCATTAACTACGGTTTGCTAATACCCTGAAAAACAAATTCTTTCTCTTATTTAATGGTACGTTGGTTTTGCTTCAAAAATGAAAATATACCTTTACAATTTGCAATTCTAGTGTATTTTTAAGTGTCCCTTTGATCAACCGATGTGCCGTTTTTAGGTTTGTTTTAAGTTTGTGGTCTAACAAAATAATTAAATTAACGCTTCCTGACTATTTTGGAGAAAAACATTAATTTGCATCCAAAAGAGGCAACATATTCGCCGAACGATACATCCGTTACATTTTATTTTAAATGTTCATGTCAGTAACTCAAATGGAATAGAAGTCTCTGGCAATTTTTCCTTAAGTACTTGCCTTTAAATTGTGCAAGTTCGGATGTAACTTAATTTACGTCGGTTTCATCTGGCTACGGATTTATTTCCGTGGTTATAGTTGAATTTGTAGTTGAATGCGTTGGCTAGCTAAATGACCTCTTTGGAGTTTAGTTCATAGCTTATAGGTCAGTGATTGATTACTATCCAGAACTTTCGATCTCTATTTTAGCTAAGTTTGATAATCCTTTTTACTGTCTACGTGACCCATTATATCCTATTCGCCAGGAAATATTTTAAAAAATATAAATACATTTTACAGTTGTATCGTTTTAGAGAAAACAATTCAGTTTTGATGGATATGCTTTAAGGCCAGCTGTCTGCATTTCACAAAATAGATAACATTAACGTTTTCACCAATTTGTTTACATATTGTGCTTTGTTGGTTACTTTTACAAGATAATCATGGAGCCATGTCAGTTAATGCTGCTCTTTAACAGATGTGTTTGCATAGCAGACACTATGCTTCGGCCTTGCCTTAATTCTCCGCAGGCATCTCCTTTCGTAACTGTTACACTGACTGTAAGGAGTCTGAGAAAGAAAAAAGTGAAAGGTTTGACCAGAATGGATACCTTAATCAGGGGCACCCAACGTCAATTTTTGGAATATATCTGTTCGGAAGACGATTTGAGATCTAGAATTTTTGGAACATTTGTGGTAAAATTTCGTGCTTGCCTGCTTCTCTTAAGATTTTCGCACATCTAAAAAAAGGTATAATTGCCCATTTTTAACTGAATTTCACCCCAAAAAGGTCACCTAGAATTTTTGGGAGCATTTTTTCTGGCTGAAATTTTTGAAAAGGTAAGTTTTGATCCCTATGATTTTCGGATCACAAGACTTTCAGCTAGGAAACCCGAACAGATGAAAAATTTTTAGGGGATAAAAATCATGCCCCGTTCTCCCAACTATTCTCAAAAACAAGACAGTGATGCCTGCTGCTGAGGGGGCTACAATCTTGGACAGAATAAAATGGAACAGCAAACTTCCATCCCCCCCCTTTCCCTGCCCCATTCTCCCCCCCAAATCAAGGATGAAGCCGAGCAAAAGCCAAAACGCGCCATTTTCCCGTCCTTGATTTGGCGGGGAGAGGGGGTGGGGAGAGGGTACAAATTTGTCTAAGACTGTAGTTGAGGTCATCGAAGAGAAATCTTTGCGGCAATACATTATCTTCATTACTATAGTCCCCCTTTTTGGGATATGTCCAAGTTTGCACGCAGTAGCAAAAATTACGAAAAATTGGAGAAATCGCAGTTTTTTCTAATATTACTGACAGGTGGTAAAGACTAAAGAAGGTAGAAGGGTGCCCAGTCAAAACTGCGATTTCTGCGATTTCTCCAAAAATTGCAAAAAAAGAACTGGAGAAATTTCAGTTTTTGCAGCTAAAATTACTAAATTCAAGTTGTAAACGTGAAGGAGGTTGAAGGGTGCCCAGCAAAAACTGCGATTTCTCCAAAAATTGCGAAAAATTGGAGAAATGGCAGTTTTTGTAGTTAAAATTACTAAATTCAAGTTGTAAAATATTTCATTTTTTCAGAAATTTGGAAAATGCTGGAATCATAGTGATTGCAGTCCAAAGGAGTGCTGTGCAGGAGTGGACCCAGATACCATGGGAGCCTGCGTTCATCAACCACAGCTGTATGAAGTCTGCAGTCCCCGCATAGCAGTAAAAATGACTTATACTCTTTTGTATTTCTTTTGAGCCATTTACATACATGGTCGAGAATTAATACTGCAATTTGCCTTATGACGTTTCACTGCCAAACGTGGCCAAAGGCAAATTTCGACCAAATTTCCAAATTTCATTCTCTAAAATTTTGAGAAATAAATAGCATCATGTGAAAGTACAGGTAGAGAGCTTTCATTTGAATGGTCACATCATAGGATTTTGTCCGCAGACTCAAAAGTTAGAGCCACCTTACAAAACTCCACCAAGTGCTCTGGCAGTGAAAGGGTTAAACCGTTTCATGACTTCTTGTATTAAACCAGGCGTTTCCGGAAAGAGCGGCCGGGTTAGACGTGACCGAATCGCCGTCGTAAAAATAATGAGGCCTCGATCAAATAGCGGGCAGAGATTGCTTTGGGGCTACTAATAAACGCCTTGAAACAAGAAATAGGCAATCAGGGAGCGCGCAGAGCTATATTCCCTTGTACTGCGTAAACTAAATACTTGTTAATTTTTCTTTCCACAGCCTGGTTCCAAGATTTGCCCTTGTCGGGTAGGCCTGACATGTTCAACGCGAAAAAGGCGTTGCGTTTACATTACTCCAGACCCGGATGAGGTAGAAGAATCTCTTTTAAGAGACGACAGTGAAGGGAATTAATTCACTAGAAAAAATGTAGACAATAAAATTAATTTAATGCAAAGCCGGCGAAACTTACTTTATGTGTAAATTTTTATTTAAGTAAAACACATGAACTTGAGTAAAACACATAAAAACAGGGTTCAAGATCGTGTTACCTTATTTCTTAATAACTGACGCAAAATGTCCTCTGACCAATTTAATCTAGTGGCTGAGAGATGGCCGGCTGATGAATTTCATTTCTTTTCATTTTATTTTTTCCATTCCATCATAAATAGTACTAGATAAATCACAGACAAACGTTAGAGCTCGAGTGCAGTTAAGATCATTACATTTAGATAAGTTTGTCACAAAAAGAAGAAAGAAAGAAGACTGGAAAGGAGAGGAACACATCTAGGTGGACTAATATTGTGCCCCTAAAATAACTTAATAAATAGTGATTTAAGTTAAAAAACGACATAGGAAAAAGTGGAAATATATCAATAAATGAAAAAAAAAATAGATGTTTCACTAGTACTGAGCGAGATACCAATGCAAAACTGGCTTTTTAAACGTTTTTGTAGTTGTTTAGCTCTGACCGGTTGCGGAATACCATTCCAAAAAAATCTTCCAATAACCGACTAGGACAAAATCTCCTTAGGTTAGTTCGAAATTAAGGTATAGCTATTTGAGCAGAAGAGGCGTAACGGGTATTACAATTATGAACTTCAACTGCTAGATTTTTGCTACCTATGTAGTCAATATGGTCATGCCAGTTAAGGTGACAATCAATATACACACCGAGATATTTGACATAAGAAGATTTTTCTAAAAAGGCATTTGACGACTGACGAATACGTCTTAAGTGAACCGTCTGTTAAATCACCGTGATATTTGAGGTCCAATCAATTCCGTAATAATCGATAACAAACGAAATGGTTCCTTGGAATGAAAACCCATAAAAAATGGCATGGGTCATATTATCAATTTGCCGTTCCATTATAAAACAAACTGAGAGAGCTATCATGGATCAGGCCCGCCATGGTCGCAGTGGAAAACCGATCCTTAAGAGCTTTAAAAAAAGCTTCATCATCCTTGTGAACCTGTTAGTGAAACGAAGAAGGAAAAAGATTTTACTCAGTGTGAGTTTAAAAAGCTTAATCACATAACTGTACATGTAGCATTGTATACAGTGCATCAAAGAAGCTGTTTTGGGGAGAATCTCATGTTAATTGAAGACCAGTTTTCCGGGAGACGTGAGTACACAACAGTGAAATCTGTGTGAGAGTCTTCTTCACTTGAACACAGTTCCTACGATATTCATATACTGGATTCATTTAGTTTTACCGAACAGATCAAAAGAGTTTGAGTCCTCATCAAGTGGTGTGGGTAAAAGTGTGCCAGCCATTTTCCAGTCTAACCACGCAACCGGCAAAGAAACTGAACTAAATATGAGACGACGCACGCAAGAAAAAGTTATTGATTTCTCCAGATACAAATATTCAGTTACAAAAAAGAAAAAGCTACCTTGCCTACAAAAGGTTTCTTGGTTCAGAAAACCACATTTATTTACCAAATTCGGTGACTGGGAACAGACAAGCAGCCTGATAGCCTTCGCCACAAACGGAAATTAACTTCTGGTTAAGCCCCTCTGCGCTGAAACAGCGCCGAAATCACAGTTCTGGGTTCCCACCTGTGTACCAGGATTTGAGTGCGCGCCATGACTGGCCCGTTAAAACGGCTATTGTCAATTTGCCAATCAAGTTGAGGGAAAATTCGAACGCATTTCCGGTAATTCTTTGAGTCCTTTGTGGGCCCAGAACAAGAATATCGACGCTGCTTAGCAGACGTCACTAGGCGGGGTTAAATTACGTCTGCAAAGCAGGTTAGCAGCCTGATCGTAACAAAAAAATTCAGGGGACAACCCTGCCTCCTTGCTCCTTCCAAGTTGCCTTGCGGGCTTCATTCCAAGGCTTTCCCGCCATCCATGCTTTATTTACTTATCTAAGGGCCTGTTTACATGAAGGTGGGGGACTCCAGGTAACATGTGGCGGGTCCGGCCCCACCTAACATGCAAACGTGATCACATTACAATGAGAGATTTATATGGACAGGCGGGTTACCTCACCTAAGCGGGTTACCTCACCTACTTGGGATCCCCCACCTCCCTGTAAACAGGCCCTAATTGACGTGTGCATTTAGTTCGTTATTTAACACATAACATTTTCTTTGACTGTTTTCACACTCATACATGGCTTCTCCTAAAATGTTCTACAATTGGTGTAGAATTTAATTGAGCCAAAACCAATTGTGGAATTGCACAGATTTTAGGCATCCTAGTGATGAACAGTTACAACTTTAGATATTTCGAACAACAAGAATTTGCCGCCTGTTCTCTTTGAATACACATCTAGGTAGGAGGAGGAGCCCATAACCCGGAGTGAGCAACTATGTTGTGCCTATAAAACGGCGTTTTCATGGATTCGATATTTTAAGATCGATTTTCGCGCGAATTTTGACTATCGAACAAGTAGCGCAAATCAGGCAGCAAAATAGCCCTATTTCGGTAGCCGGTTTACAGACCCTCTATTTCTTCTCTTTAGAAATCGTGGAGCGCGGATATGAAAGTAAAACCCGCGGGGGATTTATTGCCCCTAAGGGTAAGGGATTAAGATGTTTGCTTTCCTTTTTTTTCTCGCGCTTGGGGCTTGTTCTCGAGGAGTAGAATTGTAGAAAAAAAAGACCCCCGTGGACAGGCTGGTATTTCTAACATTTTGATAGCAACAAGCTATTCCTTCTGTCATTATCGTACAATGAATGCGCACATATGTGGGAGAGTGCTTCCGTTTTCGCGGGAAAAAGTTCTCCAACATGATGCTATAAATAAACTGACCTGTGAAGACGCCATTGCATTGGCTAAATATGGGAGTCAGGCACGCTTCTGGTTATGCCTGCGCGCTATAAGACAGGCCTCAAAACGCCAAACTACGCTTACCTTCTACGGGTATACAGAATCCATCAGAATCACATTCCCTGCCATAGTCACATTCATAATCGCTAAAGCACTCGCGGAAGGAAAAATACCCATTGTAACTGGAACGTTTTCTGTTATCTAAAAAGACAAAAAAGGAAGAAACTTGCCATGAAATGGAATGAAAAATGACGTCAGAGAATTAAGAAATTCAAAACTTCACTGTAGTCTTCTCAAGCAGCGTTTCTTTAATTTGTAGTCGAGTCATTTCATTTGTATACTCTGAGAAAACACTACAAAGATTTTTTTTAAAGTTGTTTTTATTTTCCTCCGATATGCGTTTTCTTTTTCGTTAAAACTGCCTCGCTCCCGAGTAAATTATTTTGCGGTCAACGAGTCCGCGCCTTTTTTCTATTTTCAAACAACTGGAATTTTGTTAGGAATAACCCTCTGACAAGGATTTTGGTATTGAATCAACAGTATATTGGATAAAACAGCGAGAATAACACCCCTAGGTTTGGTTAGAGTTCAAGTTTCTCTCCTGTTCATGCAGTACAATAGTCCGGATCATAAGATACTTAATACGCACTTAATTTTTTCAAGGCAAAAAGACATGGAAATTCCTACCTTGTTTTTTGTTAGAATAACTCAGCCCTGCTGCAGTGAACTGGCTCTGCATAACTAATATCAGAGCCCAGAGAATAAAGATAATTAGTGGAATCTTATGAGAAACCATCCTCTGGCCGTCTTTATGTACAGGTAATGAGATATTGCCTCAATAAAGACGTGGGCTTTTTAGCAGCTCTTTTATAGCCCGCCTTTCGGATTTGCGCATAAAATATTAAAGGAAAATGGAAAAAAAAATAAAAGAGATAAATCGACCCGACCTTGATTAGCCGATGCTTTGACATGTCTCAAACGAAACAGCGATAAACAGAAAGGTGTTACTCACAAAAACAAATGACATATTCAGTTCGCGCAATTGCTGTTATAATTACATGGCTAGACAATTTTTTAAAAGAAAGTATGCGACTGTATGGTCACGCGCAATGGGTTCGCAATGAAAAATTACCTTGAGAACGGCTCTAGAAAGATAGCAGGATTAGGCTAAAGGCGCGAAGAAATTCTAAATTGAATTGCTTGCGTCCTGGCAGGTACGTGCATTAAGTGCATCTGTTAGTGATAAATTGTTCTGTTTAATTAAAGGAATGCTTTAATGATTCTATTTTACAACGGCCTTGCTAATATTTTTTAGGGCGAGCATGGGGAATACTGATATGATTAAAGTCAATAACAAGGATCTTTGCGGAAATTACCCAAGCTTGTTCAACTAATTCCGATAAAAGTGTGAATTAAAGTAGCATAGCTTTAGAAAATTAATTTGTGTTATTCATCTACACGACTTCAAATTCAATAAATAAGCAGGTGCTTTAGGTAGAGGTTTGAAACTGATCACGGTTGCCCGGTAGCGGCCGAAGTACACGTTATTACTAGTTTATTTAATAGTTTCAAAATATTTCTTTGTAAATGTTTTGATTATTTCCCTAATCTATGGGTTTGACCACCAGACACTGAAGCTGAAAAATTGACCATATATTTCATAATGTTTAAGACACTCGAAAAGTGCATTACTTTTATTTCTTTCTTCACGGAAAATTAGGCGTATTTCATTGCACTGAATTACTTTAAGTTGCTTTCTTCCTTTAGTATTAAGGAGGCTTTGAATTTTTGGCTACGAAACCTTTAAGACCCTTAAAATATCGACTGATGAGCGATATAGTCGAACCTTTCATGAAGGCTATCAGTTTAACAGGTTCAGTCAGGCAAAAAGACATGATGAGCCACAGACTGCCCAAGCTCAGTATGGGAGTTAATCATTGATACCAGTGGTGTCATTTTGTGTTATCTTCAAAATGGGGGATGGCCGAGAGCAAAAAGGATTTGTGTGGGAATTTAGGTAATAGATTCCAGAAGATAAAATACTTGCTAGAATTTTCAACAAAATACACGTTATCTTAATTATTTACTTGCTTTGTTCTTGCTTGCTTTGTCCTTTTTTCCCGATCCGCGCGCGGTTTTAGTAATTTTGTAGAGAGTCTGAATGGGGTTACCTTGATCTGAACACTTCACACTTATTTTTCGGCTGTGTAACAAGAAACAGTGAAATTTTACGCATTTTAACACTAACAGTGAAAAGTTGACTGTACCAGTAATTTTTTCCAGAAAGAGGCAAATACTACTCAAGAAGGCCAATATGATTTTGTTTAGTATATCCTGACCAGAAGTTTTCGACAATTCCCGATTATTTCAGAAGATTTCCGAAGACTGCCGAAGTCATCCGAAGACTACCGAAGATTGCTGACTG